ATATATATTAATAATACTAATAAATCTTATATATATATATTAATCTTAATATATATTAATACTAATAAATCTTATATATATATATATATTAAAATTAATATAAATTAATACTAATATATCTATAATATCTCTAATATATATCTCCAAAACACTAATAATACTAATTTATTAATACTTATTTTTTATTTAATAGAAATATAAATCATTAATTTAAATATCTTTTAATTTTTATTTCCCATAAATGCTATCTGTAGAACACTATACAGAACAAGTGAGAACTTTGACTCAACAGGGCATCGAAACCTTTGATCGATTTATGGATGTAAACAAATTTCTTTTTTACATCTTAGGAATCATACGATAGAGTCAATGGAGCCATTGACTCCATTAACAATTAAATGTGTTTAAAGCCAGTTCCTGAATAGAAGAAGGACTAAAGAACAAGTACCGAACTTGTAAAATTACCGGATGCTGCGAAAGTGAAGATAGAAGTGATAATCATTATCACTCCTGATGAGACCAAATCATTTAGGTAAAAAAGAAGTTTATTAATTACTTTATATAGACGTGTGTAATAATAGAAGGTAGAAGTAGTAGTACAGGAAGAGCAGGAGGTATTTGAGAGATAGGAGGATCTCTTTTAAATTTTATCTAATGCTAATTAGATTATTATTGATGATGATGACTCATCATCAATATACAAGAAACTCTTAGATATGCTCAAGAAGGAGTAAATCAAAGATTTTGTCTCATATCTCTAATCATTTAAATATTAGGATCAAATGGAAAAGGAGCAAATGAAAAAGATAATTAATATCCTGAAGAATTTAAAAGATCATGAATTCAAGTTGTAAGACTATTCCCCAGAAGCTTTTGAAGAGATAAAAAAGGATCTGATGAATAAGATATAAGGTGATAAGAACATAATGGAGTTATTGAAATTTTTAGTCATGCTATCTAGTATAGATGATCAATTCATCTAATGTGGATCCAATTCACTTCATATGTTGGTAATGATGAAGGTAGATATGAGAAACTAATCATTTGAGAATATCAGGATGAAGAATACATCTATAATTGGAGGTAACTTTGTTCGATGTAATATGAATGGATCAGAATTTGAGAATGTGGATATCAGCGGAGTCAATTTGAATGGAGCTTAGATGTTCAATTGTAAATGGAAGAACATTTAAGTCCATGAATTGAATAAACTGGATGGTCATACACGATCATACTAGTAGTGTCTGCTCAGTCTTTTTCTCTCCTGACGGAAACACAATAGCATCGTGCAGTGAAGATAACTCTATCCGTCTATGGGATGTTAAAACAGGATAATAACAGCCTAATTAGATGTAATTAGTGGATATGTCTAATCAGTCTGTTTTTCTCCTGATGGAAATACATTAGCTTCTAGTAATGGTGATAAGACTATCCGTCTATGGGATGTCAAAACCGGATAATAAAAAGCCAAATTAGATGGTCATAGTAATTGTATCAACTCAGTCTGTTTTTCTCCTGATGGAAATACATTAGCTTCTGGTAGTCATGATGAGTCAATCTGTCTATGGGATGTCAAAACAGGATAATAAAAAGCCAAATTAGATGGTCATAGTAATTGTATCAACTCAGTCTGTTTCTCTCCTGATGGAAATACATTAGCTTCTGGTAGTGATGATGAGTCTATCCGTCTATGGGATGTCAAAACAGGATAATAAAAAGCCAAATTAGATGGTCATACTAGTTATGTCTACTCAGTCTGTTTCTCTCCTGATGGAAATACATTAGCTTCTGGTAGTCGTCATTACTCTATCCGTCTATGGGATGTGAAAACAGGATAATAAAAAACCTAATTAGATGGTCATACTCATAATGTCTACTCAGTCTGTTTCTCTCCTGATGGAACTACATTAGCTTCTGGTAGTAATGATAACTCTATCCGTCTATGGGATGTAAAGACAGGATAAGAAATTAAATCCTCTGATAAAAGCTACAAAGATATTCTTGCATAATTTAAAATACCACTTTAAAATAGTTAATTATTACCAAATGGTATTTTTTATTTATTATTATTTAGTTGAGCCAGTTCGTACAATACTTAGAATTTGTTAGAATCCTTTATTAGAAGCATCAGGTACACTCATCTTAGAAGGAGATTTTATAAACCATTAAGGAATAGATTTAAAACCTTTATTCAAGTTTAAAGGATGTTGCTTTTTAGAAGACTTAAAGAAAAAATTAATTTGATATTATACCAAAAAACAATTATAATTACAATCAATATCTAATATTAATTATAAATTCTGTCTTTATAAGTTTCACTCTTAATCTTAAGCTCTAAAACTAGGTAAGTTCTTATTTTACAAAGTTTTGTTCCATTTCTGTTATATATAGAGATTATATATTGAAATATAATAAACGCTATTATCAATTAAAATTAATAGACATTTAAATTTAAATGACACCAAATTAAATTAATAATCTAAATAGAGAACAGCCAATTCAGTGTTTAAAATAAAAATCGATATCATTACTTTAAACATTCTTTTATAAAAAATCTAGGATATTATAACTTAATTTATTACAATTAATAAACGGGATTAGTCTTAAATAATATTACTAATACTTTTGTAATATTAGTTCATAAATAGTAAAGATATATTTATCAATAAGATAATTAAAAAGATACTTCAAGAATTCAAAAATAAATTTAATCTTCTCTTTCATAAAGTTAAAACTTTGAGATTGAATGATTTTTCCGATTACTCTACTCTATTCTTGCTAATATCTTCATAACCTCTTCAATTAATATGAAAAGTATTAAATAGTATAAACAACTTTAAAGATATATTATATATCAAGAAGTATTATATCCCGTAAAAAGATTAAGATTTAAGGAGATACTTATTATATTTTTCCTAACAACCATCTAAGAATATTTATTACTGATTAACTTAAAGAACTACTTGAATTTTTACATACATCAAATAATAAACATTTATTAATCACTGAGATTATGTATTATCATTTTTAACTTCAAGAGGATTTTAACTAAATTAATTAATATCTAAACCAAAAATAATATCCCTTAAGACTTTTAAAACTCATCAACTAATTAAATCTAACAATTAAATTAATAAATTATTCATAATTCATAATAAATAAAAAGCAAATCTATTGTAAAAATTGAAGGAATAGATGAATAAAAGTAAACCACACATATCACAATATTAAATCTGAGAAAAAAACTAAATTTTTCTCCTCTATAAAAATGAGAATAACCCTCTAAAATGAATTGGATGTTAATTTTTTAGAACTAACTAAATATATAAAAAGTACAAACGTAGTGATATTAATCATTTGCTACAAGTAAATGCTTGTGAATATTTACTTATATTATCATTAAAATAATTATTCATTAATAAACCATTTGATAATTATATAAATTCAAGAATTAAGTTTTATAAAAATATTATAAAATACAGGATTTAAAGTTANTTAATAATCTAAATAGAGAACAGCCAATTCAGTGTTTAAAATAAAAATCGATATCATTACTTTAAACATTCTTTTATAAAAAATCTAGGATATTATAACTTAATTTATTACAATTAATAAACGGGATTAGTCTTAAATAATATTACTAATACTTTTGTAATATTAGTTCATAAATAGTAAAGATATATTTATCAATAAGATAATTAAAAAGATACTTCAAGAATTCAAAAATAAATTTAATCTTCTCTTTCATAAAGTTAAAACTTTGAGATTGAATGATTTTTCCGATTACTCTACTCTATTCTTGCTAATATCTTCATAACCTCTTCAATTAATATGAAAAGTATTAAATAGTATAAACAACTTTAAAGATATATTATATATCAAGAAGTATTATATCCCGTAAAAAGATTAAGATTTAAGGAGATACTTATTATATTTTTCCTAACAACCATCTAAGAATATTTATTACTGATTAACTTAAAGAACTACTTGAATTTTTACATACATCAAATAATAAACATTTATTAATCACTGAGATTATGTATTATCATTTTTAACTTCAAGAGGATTTTAACTAAATTAATTAATATCTAAACCAAAAATAATATCCCTTAAGACTTTTAAAACTCATCAACTAATTAAATCTAACAATTAAATTAATAAATTATTCATAATTCATAATAAATAAAAAGCAAATCTATTGTAAAAATTGAAGGAATAGATGAATAAAAGTAAACCACACATATCACAATATTAAATCTGAGAAAAAAACTAAATTTTTCTCCTCTATAAAAATGAGAATAACCCTCTAAAATGAATTGGATGTTAATTTTTTAGAACTAACTAAATATATAAAAAGTACAAACGTAGTGATATTAATCATTTGCTACAAGTAAATGCTTGTGAATATTTACTTATATTATCATTAAAATAATTATTCATTAATAAACCATTTGATAATTATATAAATTCAAGAATTAAGTTTTATAAAAATATTATAAAATACAGGATTTAAAGTTACAAAGGGAAAGTCTGTTTTCTTCGCAAATTTTCTCCTCCTCTTTCTTCTATTTCTGACTATTCCTCGTCTAGTTTCTACCTTTATGCTCTTCTTTATAACCTCCGCTGGCATAGGAGGTTTGCTACCCCTTATGTACCCCTGCTTCCAGTGTAAATAAAGGTGTTTCTTAAACTCTTTTCGCTCGCATTATCCACCGTCTCCCCCACCAACCCGTTCTTCTCAGCAGGGACCTAAAGCCCTTTGGCTTCGGCGTCCTTTAGGGCGCAGCAACATTAGAAACAAAAATAACTTAAGTATAAATAGTTATATTTTAGCTATTTCAGATTGACAAAACTAAAAATCAATTTATTTGAGGTATTAATAAAATATTCTTGACTTACTTTTTTATTCTAGATCCATTTAATGTTAAGATTTCAATTAATTCTACTTGTTGGGGGGATAAAACACATAATAATTATTAATCAAAAATCAAAAAATTATTCACTCGTGTCTATCCTTAATGTGGTTCTCTTTTTCTCTCCTTCTTTAATTAGTCACCATCTCATCCCCAGTAATTAAATTTTTTAAATCACCTCAAAGAAATATAATTGATCATAGAATACAAACTAAGAAAACAGTCAATTTCTTAAAAGCTTAAACAGTTCTTCAAGAAACATCTTACTTAATAATGGATATCTTATATTAAACCAAATTTTGATTAAGTTACAACAAAATTAATAATAGATTGGGCAAGAAATAAGGATCTCCTTAGACTACAATAATCTTTGGGAGAATAGATAAAAAGAATTACTCAATTCTAAAAAATTGGACCTAGTTCATTGTACAAAGAAATCAGATTTGTTTGATATTCAAAGACGCTCTCCTAAAAGATCTATTATTAAAGATTTTGAGAAAGAGAATTACCTTAAAGAAAAAGGTCAAAGAGTTGATTTTATTCGTAGTTTTTCTCATAAAATAAATGCTGAACAATGGTTATCTTGAGAGGTTTATATCAAATTGATTAATAGGCTCTTTATGTCTAATGTGGAGTTTAATGGTCCTTGAGCATGTTAAAAATCACAATCCCTTATTTTTTCAGAACTAAAAGGCTCTTGATTGTAGGAATCATATAATAATAAATTAATAGCCTATTAGGTAGAAATTTTTTCCAAATTAATACATAAAGTATAATAAATAAACTGAAGGAGATAGCTACCTAATTCAGTACGAAATATGCTATATCATCAGGAACAAGTAAATAATTCCTAAATTCCATTTATCAAAAGTAGATTTATAACTTTTATTAATTTCTTCTGTAATTTATTCTGAACTTAGATTAGTCTACTCATGGTAAAATGATGCAAATCAACAAAAGAAAAAATATATATTTTATTCATAGTAATTAATGAAATTGAAAACTATAAAGACTGTTAATAAAGTTCAAAATTCACAATATAAAGATACGATACTCATTTAATCTATTTAAGGAGAAAAATTCATTAATTAAATGAAAAGCAAGCATGATTTGAAATTTGCAAAATAAAAGTGAAATAAGATGATTTGTGTTTTTCTTACAAACTCTTCATCTATGATTTGGATTTCAGTTTTTTTTGGTAATCAAAGCGTTTAGAATTTAATTTTGGGGTTTCTGGACGCTTTTAATAACTATATAAATAATAATTTTATGAAAATACGATTAATAAATAAAGGTTATTATAAAGTTAATTGGCTCCAAAATAACTAATAGCTTGACTTTAATCTATTTCCACCTTTCTAAATTAAAGTTATTGATAAATGAATAAAAAAAACACTTGTAAGAATACTAAGTCCATTTAAATATTAAATATATTGTTAAAGCATAAATCTAAACAACAAGATGAATGTGATTTTATGAAAACAATATTACAGCGATAAAATAATTCTAAAAAAACTATCCTTTTTACAAATTATTAAATATTGTAATACAAATAAAAATTGCAGGATGTTAAAGAAGCTGAATGTACAAACAATCTTTTATTATTAGTTATTAATTTTATTATTTTTATTTCTATATTAATGAAATAACTACAAGAGAAACTCTCAAAGACTCTAGTCGAACAAAAATAAGTAATCAAGGAAAATAAAAAGTTAGAATCTTAAATTAGATCATTAAATGATTAAATCTCAACAATAAGTCAAAAATGTTCATTTTTAACTGATTAATTGAATTTATAAAAAATGACCAATAAAAGGCTCAATAATGGGTTGATATCATTTGATGATGTTGAAATGAGTGGTTAATTAACACAATTTTAAAATTTTTAGATATATGAAAAAGATAAAAATATTATAGAACTGAAGAAAGAATTGGAATAAAAAAATTATGAAATTTCAAAATTAAAAGCTGCGATGTCAGTTTCTAATCTAGTATACGATGGAACAGAATCAAAAATATAACAATATGAATAAGAAATAGAAAAATAGATATCAAGAAAGGACACTTTATAAAATAGGGTTGATGAACTCCAATAAACATTGGGAGCTGAAGCACAATTTAGGATTGAATTAGAACACTTGAGAGCTGAAAATCAAATATATTCATAGCTTCTTGGGTTTACTCCTAATTTAGAAAATTAAGGAGTCTATTAATACAATCCAAATTCTGTATAATTAAAACTAATTAAAAATATCAAATATCCAATAAAACCACAAAATCTAACATTTGATATCTGCAAAAATTGCAATAGAGAATTTTATTAATATCGTCCATGCTGCAATCCATTATATACTTTGAATGATAAATTATTATTTGTTCCAGGAGATGCATTCAATTTTGCTTAAGTTTTCAAAGATAAATATTTGAAAAGAAAAAATGACTTAGAGATTGATGAACTTTTAGAAATCTTACTGTTTGAGCTTAATAAAATTTGGCATGACCGAGAAAAAAACCATTTGTTATTGCTAGCAAAACATTGCAATAGAAGGATATAAGAAATTCAAAGAAGTAATTCTTAACAACCTCTTAATGAAAAAGAGATGCTTCAGAATATTAAGAGATTGAAATAATAAGTTAAAGAATTACAATAAGAGAATTTAGAATATTTTAATCAAAGGTTTGGTAAAGCATCCATTCATATTTGAATTTATAAAATAAAAATAATCAAAATATTATCATTTTTTAGTTTAGATGCTATTCTCTGCCCAATTCTCTTTTAAATAAATAATTGATACAACAATTCAATTTAAAATATATATTATATGGTGTAATTTTAATAATAATTTTATGAAATAGGCCTCTCGATTTGATATTATAAAGAATGAATTAATTCCTAAAAAAAAGTGGAAGGAAGATTAAGAAATAAATTAATGCGGAATGTGCGATAATAAATTTAATGCTCTATTTAGACGTAAACATCATTGCAGAAGATGCGGATATATTTTTTGTTAAGAGTATATTGATATTAAAATGTAGTTGTTCAAACCACTTTATTGATGGATCTCCTAATGAAGGTGAGAAAAAAATTCGTTTTTGCAGACGTTGCTATGATAAAATAAATTAATTAATAGCTGATAAAGGATTCTTTGTAGAAAATGAAGACACAACTTTAAAAGGGACTGTCAAAAAGGAAGGAAATTCTCATTCTAAAAATGCCTCAAAATAATTTGATAGTGTAACTACTTTTACCTCTTCAAAAAGCATAATTGTCAAAGGAAATGAAGCATAATAATTTTAAGAAGAGGATGACACACTCTTAGAAATTAATCAAGAGAAAGAAGACATTTCAGAGTTTTTTGAAGACTCAGATATTGCTAAAGATCAATTAACGATATTATAGGAACGGAGTGGTAATTTTTTAGAAAAAATATGTGAATACATTCTACAGAATGTCCTTTAGCCAAATAAGCCTTATGAAAAGGTTATAGAATTTTGGAAGTCCAAAATGAAATTATTGATTACGTAATGTATTTAAGAAATTCAATTCCATTCTCTAAATACAAACCTTATGGATATTAATCATTTTATGAAAATAAAAATAATTGATTATCATGATGAACAATTAACCAGTTTTTTTCCTGGAGTCATTTTTCGAAAAAATGTTGCATTAAAGTAAATGTAATCTGAAATAAATAAACCTGTCATCATTATTATAATTGGAGATTTTGATATGGACGGTTCATAAAATTAATTAGAAGATTATATTTAAAATGAAAAAAAGATTTTGGTTGAATCCATAAATTAAATTTACAAAAATTATGAACCAAATTTGATTTTGGTTGAAAAAGGAGCTAATAAAATTGCATTGGATGAATGTCTCAAGAAAAAAATTACTGTTTTAACTAATGTTAAAAAGAAAGTTCTTAAAAGAGTGAAATTGTGTACAAATGCTAAATTTATAAATTTGTCTACACTCAAACTTTGTATTGATCGAAAGGAATAAATAGTGGGCAGATGTGAAAAAGTATTTTTTAAATCATTCCCAAAGCTTTTTTCTGACAAAAGTGAGATGTAAAAAGATTCTACTTTATGTTTCTTAAAAACTTCATAATGCTAAAAGTTTGCTACAATTACTTTAAGTGGGCCTTCTGAAGAATTATTATGTAAATTAAAGTAATGTTTTATTGGATGTGCTCGATTGGGAAAACATTAAGATCTGGAATCTCACTTTATAACGACAGAATGTTCAATGTTTAAGAACAATCAATTAAAAACTATTTCAAATTAAGGAAATTTCACAACCTTCTTATTTGAAAAGGTCCCTTTAAAAGAATTATTCATAATAGAACTAAAATACATAAAAATAAATTATGTTATAGCAGATGTGAGCAATTTTAATGACATTAAAGATTTTTCTAGTTTGGAAGAATATAAATCTAAACATCCTTCTCAAAGAGATAAATTAGAAGAGTTTTCAATGGCCAGAATGTGCAACAAACCTCAAGAAAAAAAATCAGTATTTTATCATGGAGAGGATGTTTGTTTAGGATAATTTATTATTTTGAAAATAGCTAATAAGGATAACAAATGTGAATTTTGTCATCTACCAAAAATAGCTCATGTTTCTTTTTATTATTGTGGAGATAAATATATTAAAATAAGTGTTGATTAGAAAAACAGAAGTGGAAGAGTTATATCAACAAATGAGCCACCTTAATTATCGAATTAAGTCTCTTAATAATTTTCTTAATTGTCAAATGAAGATGAAGTAAGGGATAACGTTTATACAGCGAAAGATATCAGTAAAATTGTTCAGTAATCGCATTCTAATTAGAAGGGAGAGAAAAAAAAGATAAAAATAGAAACCTATATTTAATGTAGTAAATGCGATCTAAGTTCAAACATAGTTAAATTATCTAGTTAAAATTTAGAATTTTCATTTTTCAGATTTATGCAAACAATATTGATAACTCAACCAAACATAAATGATAGATAAACTACTTTTCAATTAAATGCTTGTAATCATTAATTACAGAGAATATTCACTTATGATGAATCAATGGTAAAAATATAAGTTGGAGATGTCGAAGTCTTTTCTACAATAATAGAAAATACTTTGAGCTAAGAAATACTTGATAATTTAAAGAAATGGGAGGAGGAATACATATAAATTTAAAAAAAAGAACTTTATCAAAGATACTTAAATATCATTTATTAATTGACACAAATAAAGAAAAGCCTATCTAAAACAGTTGATGCTGAAAACATTGAAAAATATACGGACGAAAAGTCTTGGTAAGAGAAATTTTCTGGAATGAATTCAATATCTGATTTACAATAGTTTACTTATACATTAAGCACTTAATTGTAAGAGATAGGTGACTAAATAAAAGCAGAAATGAAAAAATTTCAACATAAAAATTCCATGATCAGAAGTTAAAAAGAACTAGACCATTTATCTCCAATAAATAAAGGTCACTCATCTGGATAGGATTGCGAGACTATTCATTCTGATAGTGTAGTTGGAGACGATATAGAACATTAGAGCGAATAATTAGGGGATATCAAATCACCAATGGGAGGAAAACCAATTAAAACTTCCTCAAATAAGATTCCTAATATTCAGTATTCTGTAAAGGATTTAGATAATCATTCTTTCATAATTGATAAACAATAAAATCCTTTTAGCAATTTTTTAAAAGAATGGCCTTTGTGTCTATTTTTAGAGGAATAGAATAAAGTGGCATTATGCGATAGAAAAATAATTCCTTTTGTTGCCATTTTTGAAAGTCAACCTTTATCTTCCTTAGCCTTTGCTTTAAATCATCCAAATTATCTGAAAGCAATAAATTATTATGAAAGTATGAGTATAATTTTAGCTAGATTTTTCAAAGGCAGATTAGGAATAATAAAAAATTGTTTTAAGTAAACTAATGTTGATTAAGTCTGGGTAATAATCAGGGAAATGGGAATAAGAAGATTAAAGCCTTCCAAGAGAATCCTAAGCAACAACAACTGATACTAATTTGAATGCAAATTAACAGTAATCTATACCTTAAAAAAAGGAAAAGAACTACATCACAATTACTTTATAATATGATAAGGTAAAGGGTATGAAACCATCAATGAGTAGAGATTAATTTTAAGATGAGGACAAAACAATATCATCATAATAATCAATTACAAGTGGTTTAGGAAATTAATAATTTTCAGTTAAAAAATCAAAAACTTAGGAAATATTGATCTACTTCCCTACTTAATTTGAAGCTTTAAGAGCCTCCTTTGGAATCACATTAAATTTGTTTATAAAATCATTAAGTGTAACAGGATCTTGGAATGCAAGTGGTGGTAAGTCATCATCTAAATTCTTCAAATCTGATAATGAATTATTTGTTGTAAAGAAATTTGATGATGAAAAGGAATTTAGAATGTTTGAATAATTTGCATTAGATTACTTTAGACAAATGCATAGACATTTCTATGAATCCTAAAAACCTTCATTACTTTGTAAAATATTTGGAATGTATGAGATACGAGACAAAGGTAGTCCTGAGTTCTATTTAATTATGGAGAATTTATACTATGGTATAGGTAATTAGAAGGATTTGTTAGTTTATGATTTAAAGGGAAGCGAAACAAATCGATGGGAGAAGAAAGTGAATAAAGTTTTATTGGATACAAATTTTATCATAGATAGAAATGCAGAACCAATTCTTATATAAAATGAATGCTATATTTATAATGATAAAGCATTTTAGGTAAAATTATTAAGTAAATGAATAGAGCGATTGTAAATTTTTGTTAAGGAAATAAATTGTTGATTATTCACTTTTATTGATCATCAACAACAAGTAGAAAAAAATAAAGATGGGCATCATAGATTATTTAAGATTTTACACATGGGATAAAGAAACTGAAAGACTCCTAAAATTTGTACTCAAAGGTGGAAAAGTAAAATAATTTTTATTTATTAAGGTCCCTACAATTATCAATCCACATGACTATAAATAGAGGTTTTTAACTGCAATAGGAAGATATTTTATACACGTTTGAATAATTATGTTGTATATATATATAGATGTAGATTTTTTAAGTATCAATAATACTATTTAAGAGGAGGCTTACCATATAAGATATCATCAAATTTATATTGTTATTATTATTATTGTTGTTGATACTTATATCCCATATTTGGAGCAATTGGCAACGATTTGGGATAATTTTATCCAAGCATCTAATTTTTATTCTATTTTGGCATTTCTAATTTAGGTTGAAATGCAGGTTTAGCAATAGGCATTTGTAAGAGATTAAAATCATAAATATTTCTCTTGGTTGGTTCATAGGATCTTGATTGCTGTATACTCAATTATTATTAATTTCTTAGTTGTTCACCAATTGGATCATTGTGCCTTAAGAATTTTAATCCTGCCTAACCCTTTTTATTTCTAGAATCAATTCTAGGGTCTAAGGAATCATTCTAATTATGGTCTTTTGAAATTAAGTAATCTTTCGGTAAATTATTTTGGATCATAGGTAAATTCGATTCCCTATAGTCTTTGTATGGTTAAAATTCTTTAGATTCTTTCACACTACTCTTATGTATTGAGAGTTCTTTTTTTACTGGTCTATCATATTCAGCCATCTTTTATTCCAAGAGGTCTAAAAAGTTTGAATTAGATTCATTCATTTTGTTTCTATTTTCTTTGTTATTCACTTTAGGTAATTCAAATATATCTTCATGTTTTTCATGTCTTTCTATTCTATCAATTTTAGGAAATTCCTATTTATTCTCGATTTATTGGATCATAGGGAAACAATGATTAGTAAAATAAGGATATTCTAAAATCTATTTAGCAGAAGGTCTTTTCTATGGATCATACTTTAACATGTCTCTTATCAACTCAAGCGCTTCAGGTGACGCATTTGGGATGACTTTTTCTAACTATACAGGACTATATGTAGGGAATGTGATGTTGGCTGCATTAGCTAATTTTTATGATTCAGGCCACTATAAATAACCATGTTAAATAGTATACATCTCGAATATTTGGTGTGCCTAAAGTCTAACAAAGTTTAAAAAGCTAATCCAATTCTGAACTGCCATTAAATAAAGGTTTGAGGGTATACAATTCAGCCATTATACATCCAAGTGCAAATATATCAACTGGAGAATTATAATTTGGAGATTTTAGTAATATTTCTGGTGCCCTGTACCATCTAAAAAATTTAAATATAAATCACCTTGTAGCAACATAATCAGTATATGGTGGTTTAGATCTTATTTCTCTTGCTAATCCAAAATCACAAATTTTAACTGTTTCACCTGATACTAATAGATTTTCTGGTTTTAAATCTCTACAATACTTGTATTAATTACCTATGAAAATATCCTACTTTATGCATATAGGCCAAACCTTCAGTTACTTATTTTATTACAGACCTAATCTTATCTTCTGATAAATGTTTGCCATTATTTTGATTTTCTAAATATTGTTGATAAATATCCTTATCTAAGTATTCGAAAACCAAATTCAACTCATCTTTCTCCTTAAATACTTCAACTAGTTTAATGATATTAGGATGTTTCAATTTTTATAATGCTTTTACTTCTCGAAGGTTTACACATTCATCCCAAGACGTATATTTTTTTTTGAACTTTTTAATAGCAACTGTCTGACCTGTATTGATATTTGTTGCTTTGTAGACACACCCATAAGTTCCATCTCCCAATCTCTTCACTATTTTATATTAATCCATTAATAAATAAAATCACAAAACTAAGACACAAAAAATTAGAAAAGCAACGAAACCGAGGACATAAAACCGTATCATCTCTTAAAATAGTGAATTCTATTATACTTTATCTTTATTAATTGCTATACTTTCCTTTAACTAAATCTTAAAAATTAGGCCTTCCCATAAAATTCATAAGTCCATGATTGATTATTACTGTTGCAATTGTTTTTGTCTACACTAAGACAAAAGACAAGTACAATCCCAAAACAAATGTTTTAAGGAATTCATAACGGGATAGTTATCCGTACTTTAATTAATAAGACAATGATTTTGCTAATCAAATATTATAGCTTATTACTTGAACTATATAAAAATGTTGAATAAATAATAAACTCTATGTTATTTTAATATCTAACATTTATAGCATTATTTACTAATTCTCTAAAAATAATTTCATCTATTAATGGAGTCTATTGAAGCTTATAGAAAAAATACGATAACAATCTTTGTAAAATAATCCCACCTGAATTTGTTGAATTTAATTTTACTAAATTTCTCCCTTAAGTTGCCATTCTGAATAAAAATGATATTCATTACCCAAAATTCTTAATAAACTGGACCAATGTATAATAAAAGAGTCATATAAAATGAAGTCAATATTCCCATCCCTATTTTTTCAGTATCAAATTATTTTAAACACTCAAAAATATTCAATTTTTCTGACTATGTGTATCTCAGACATAAGTTGTAATAATTTTAAGCAAAACATAGTAATGTAGGCAAACCCATAATTATAATTTTTATTTTCCTTCTTTGATATCGGAATGCTTTAGCTAATTATTTATCATTTGTCGACAATTCTTGCTAATATAAATCTTTTACTCTGTTTCTAGATTCTATAGATATATTTGCTCATCATATACAGTGTTGCATATAAGAGTGTATTTAATATCATCGATGATAACTAAATTAAATCCATAATAAATTTATTTAATGCACCATTCGATTATGACTATCCATTAACATGGAAATTATTGACTGTATAAAACATCAATTTTTAGACATAAGAGTTTGGAAATTGTTTCATTAGTACCAAATGTTAGATTGCTTATGGTTTTGTAAATTACGAAATCCAGATAGCTATTTAAAGATTTATTCTAAATCCAATTCCATTTCATATGCCTACTCTTGATAGCAATGACATTATAACAAACTATAAAAGAACTTTATATAATTATTCGAGCATATAATGTAAATATGATTATTAAGGATTTTTTAGATTGTCTTAATGCATATGATGAAATATACAGAAAATAAGCTTAATGATTCTATAGAATTACAGAAACATTTTGTTATGTCGATTTGATGAGGTTTTATTTAACAATATTTTAACTGTCTTGAGAGTACTTTAAGGAAAATTTAATCGTGAATTGGGGAAGAGAGTCGAAGATCAACATCTCACTATTATAAGTGCTCTCTACAAAGTAAAGATCAAAATACTTAAAATTATCAATGAATTATTTTATATTAGTTGAGTTTAAGGTTTTTTCCTCATATGAAAAACTTGTTATAAATTATATACTTTAAAATATTATAAAATTCACTAAATGCTCATTAGATTAGAAATTAAAGGATTTTCATTTAGATCAATTTATCATGAAAATGATTAGTTTTATCCTTCTTTTAATATTAATCTTATTAATAATTATGCAAATATGAATTAAAAGTAAAAAACTCATAGTTTTTCTCTTGCTTTTTTCTGCCTTTCTCTATAACCAATGGATTGAATATTCAAATTCTTTAATTTAGAATTTCTTAGTTTTATTGTTAATTTCATGTATCCCTTCTTTGAAATAAAATCTATACACTATCTACTGATATGATTGTAAATGTGCATTTTTCTGTCACTGTTTCAAATAGTGCCAATTTTTTCCTTCTATTAATACCAAATCTAATGGTCTATAAATAAATCATTCGATTTTATATTGAACTACTCCACAAAATTTAAGTTTTGATTTTCTTTTTCCTCCATATTATAAGTCTGAGTCGATGAATTTTCAGCTAAAATAACAGATAAAACTTTTTTATGGTTCTTAAAGCTTAATAATTTATCTTATTAAATTCCTTGAAAAAGAATGTGATTTAGGATCATATATTCATTTGTTGCCTATCTAGAGAAGGAATTCCTTTCTACAATTTTTTGGATGAAATTAATAGCCAAAAAATTAACAATTTTTGTATTCTTAATTAAGTATTTTTCATTTTTTAATATCCTAAGTGATATGTGTTATCATTAAATTGAGTAACAATTGTAAATATATTTAAATATTTGATGGCAATGGCTCATTAACTTAATATATTAACAGGCTTCTTCTTCAAGCATTTCTGATTTTACATTTTCTGCTATTCAACAAAAAGTACATCTATTAATGAATGATTCTTCTGATATTTAGAATGAGGATTTGATTTATTTGTATTTCTGTGATAATTCAGCAGGTACCTTCAACTACTAAAGAGGTACTAAAGTCAATTACTGACCATTCTATGATATATATATTATAAAAGTTACTTTGCTTTTTGTTTTAATTAAAATTTATCTTTTTGATTATAACTCTATTCTAAAAAATTAAATTAAATGTAATCATACAAATTTTAGAAGATTAATTTGTAATGTGAAAGAAATTTTACTTTCCTCTACATAACATCACCTTTTCATGTTTCAAATCTCTATGAGCAATTCTTTTGGTATATTAATTATCCAATATTACAACTCTTGAGGCTTGATTAAATTTTAAGGTCTCAAAGTTTACGTTTTGAATGATATCAAATATGGTTACTTTTCTGTACTTTTAATAAGTCACCAAAATAACTCTTTCTAAATTTATTATAACATATAATTTTCAGGTATTTAAAAGGTTGAGGATAATTAGATGTTTAATTTCTAAAGGTATTTCTCTTTTATTATCAGCTTAGTATTATTATCATTTCAAGTAATTCTTAATGAATTGAATTCTCTTGTTAACAATTTTTTTGATCATTTTTATTGATTCTTATTGATTACTTGTTATTTTTTATGCCAAAAGGACTTCTCCATAAGCTCCTCAACCTAAAAAACCTTTAAAAATGTAATCCTGAATGTTTGGCAAAATTGATTTAGAGGAGTTTTTAAATTACTTTAAAATCCATTAAATTTTATATTTTATGCAATAAAAAGAGAAGAAATTTGAACCAATAAAAATGCCTATCAAGGCAAAAGGATTAGCAGATGCTTAAGTTTAAAAACAAATCACAACTGACAAGCATCCCTAAAAGAAAATTTAAAAAGTACTAATTATATTAGATTTGTAGCAATAATAAAATCCTTAATCAGAGGAAAGAATAGAATTTTAGGGGAAAATAAATAAGGAATCTATTGCTGCTGAAATACTATGTAATTCTCATTTTTATTCAACAAGAAAATGGATATGTTCAATCCTATGCTGATTTTTTTTATGTGACTAATGAAACCGTCCCAAAATTATTTTATTAACCTTCAGGAATTTCATTAGAGGAACATTTTTCAAATAATAGAAGTATTTTCTCCATAGAAATTAGTTCACCAAAAATATATTAATTAAGATGAAGAATTCTTGTTAGATTTAAAAAAGAGATTATAAAATGCTGAAGAAAACTCTAAATACTAGTACCCAGATAAAACTTAGGCATTAAACGAGTACCTAAATTTGGCTGAATTCTTTTTTACTGAATATCAGGATTATATAGTGGCAGCATATTTTTACAAAAGAGTAATATAAATATCAAGATAATATACTGTAAAAATTTTATTGATGATAGGAAGCTAAAGCTGAAGGCAAGGGCAAGTTAGGATATGCTAAATGTCATTACCAAGTTGGATTGATAGATTAAGCAATACACATTTTGGAGGAAAGCATGAAATAATGCGAATAATTATAGAATTTGGATTCGGTAGTTGAATAAATGTCAACTGAATTAATCAAAATATACAACAGAATGGCCTAAGAATATGAGAAGGGGGATAACGATCAAATTGCATAATCATTAAAATATTATGATAAATGCAGAGAAGCAGCATAAAAAGCAGGAGACTTAGAGTCAGAAGGAGTGATATGCAACAAAATTGGTGGGTTATATTTCAAAATGTAGAACATCTAAAAGAGTATATAATATCATCACAAATTCTTGGAAATTGTCAAATAGTTACACAAAGAAGTATATTTCATTATCATTTTATAAGGATTCAAAATAAAAAGAGATGGAGGCACATTCATCATTAGCCTAATGTTATTTAAAGAAAGGTGATGTAGATGAAGCTTAAAAGCATTTGGAAAGTTATTATGCTTTAGCTAAGGATTAAAAATTATATAATTCATAATCCGATGCTGCACTACATTTGGCAAAATTATATTAGAGCAAAGGAAACACAGCCAAATCATTAGAATATTTTTAACAGCACTTTGATTGTGCTAAGTCAGAGAAACCTGAATAAAAGAGTAGAAAATTAATTGATAGAGCAAGAGTTACTTATGGTATAGCTAAGGCAAATGCATTTATGGGTATGAATTCAAACAATAAATTTAGATAATTACATTAAGCTAGTAGCAAACAGCGATAAAAATTTAAAAGCATTATTGGATTGGAAATCAAAAAGGGATAAATGAGAATGATAAAAATAAATATTAACTTTAATATTATAATTTATGTTTGCTCTTCTTAAATAACTCTTTTAAATAAAAAAACTCTTGTCTAAAAATAACTTGAACAATCTAACAATCTTCAAAGAGAGAATGACAATCCATGTTCTTTTAAAGTGATAAATAACTACTAAATAGTATAAAATTCTTAATATCAATTAAATTGATAATCATCTTTTAATTCAGTATAGATCAATTCATGGGATGGATGATCCATGATATTTCTGCTTTAACCAACTTCTATATAGATTACACCACCCAATCTTTGCATTTTTAGAATTCAAGCTTTCAAAAACATGTTACTCCTATGAGAAATTTTTTAGTTTATTCCATAATTAATAATATGAAAACAATGGAGTTTAAAAATTCGATTGTATAACAAAATAATATACATTCAAATTATGAGTTATTGAATTAATTGGAAGCCAGGAAACTTAAATAGATAGTACCTTCTAAGAAGGATTTTGAACATAATTTTTAAACGGAAGTTGTAAAAAAGTAATAAGGCTATGTGATTACAGAATTAAGAGCCTAATTAGATGCTAAATTATTAAATATTATACATTTGCAACTATGCACGTTCCATTACTTTGAAGTCCCTTTGGCAGGCCATAAAAAGCCATTAATCATTAGTATTAATTTGCATTAAAAACATAGATTTTACATTTACCAATTAAGCTAAAATGAAATTTTATATTTCAAGACACACCTTAACACCAAATAGATTCAATTTTGAGGAAGCATTTCAAAGAAAATAAGTCTTAAGATATACAGAGCCAGGAGAGGATAACATTTTTACTACTCCATTTTTGTATATGGCTATATTTAGTTAACAATAATCTATTATTCATGCCAAGATTTAATACGGAATGAAAATATAGAAGTTATAAAAGCAAGATTAAGAAGAAAAAGAAAGGCCCATGACTGCATTTATGTCAGGTAGAATAAGTAGTGCTTTATCTAGAAAATAATCAAAAGATTTAATACTGATGAATATGAATTTAAGACAATATGAACCTGAAACTCAAAAAAAGTAACTTTAAATCAAAAGAGTTTAATCAGCCAAAAGATTTTAAGAAACTTTAGTTAATAAATAAATTATAGATTAAGATAAGCAAGATCTAATTAAAGAGAGATATGAGCATTCTTAAAAAAAAAAGATTATTAAAGATATCTTGAATGTTAGAGATCAGATAGATTAATCAATTAAAGAATAATAAAAAAATTGGCTAACCAATCTCTATTCTATACTAATTTGCAGACTTATTCGAGTAAAATATATAGTAATTATATTATCATTATTATAGAAAATGGCAAATCATATGATGAATGAAGCCACAATAATCAGGAAAAAACATAGAACAAGATTAAATTTAAAGTAATACCTTACTAAACATGGTGAAACAATTTAATAAAGGACCAAATTTTAAACTTTACAAAGTCTTTGTGTTTTTGTTTAAGTCTATCAAAAAACTGTAAAAACAAGAGCTGAATTTATTTGTTTTTCTTTTATGAAAAGTTATGGATAAATTGGAGAAATAATACAAAAAACTTATAGATTTCGAAGATTAATAAGAACTGTAATTGATTCATACAGAAATTATAAAAAAAGAGTTGGAGCTTATGTTTAAAGAATAATCATGTTATGGAATAAATATTGGGGAGTTATGTATAATTAGATACAAAAGGAAGATATTGAAAGTATAAATATTTATTTAAATTATTTAGAGGTGAAGGAAATCAAAAAACAAATGAATAAAACCATCATTAACTTTTAAGTGGATGAGGAGGTTAAGAAATCTCCATATTTGGATGGGTAAATATTTATTAATAATTAAAAGAAAATTATAAATAGTAATTGTTCAGAATTATTACAAATAATTAAAAGCTGAATTTATTACTAAGTTTAGGTCTGTTTATAAAAAAGGAAAGTCTGGTGCGCGTGGAGCATATATTGCTGCTTAAGGTTTTGAAGTGAAAGACTTAAATTTATTTAAATGTGTTGATAAAACTATACTGAAAGAATTAATCTATAAATATATGCTCGAAAAAAGAATGATATAAAGTGTTTTATTAAAAAAATGAAAATAGAAATTATGATAATTTATAATAAAATTATTTATATTTATGAAACAGCGATTAAATAAATCATCAATTTTAGAAGAATTAGAAAATAGTAGAAAAGAATAATTGCAGGAAGAAAACAAGAAAATTCTCTTAATAAAAGAAAGAATTAGAAGAGAGCAAATTGCAATATAAAATAAAGATAATGAATTAAGATAAATTTAAGAGCAACTTCATAAATAAATCATGTCATCTAAAAAACATCTCTGCTAACCAATCAATTTCAGTTCAATTTTATTACATTAATAACAATATGATGGTAATAAAATTGTTAGAGAAATGGAAAGATAAAATAAAAAAAAGTCGGTTCCATAAATAGAGTTTTAGAAATCAAATACTTACATTAAATTACTCCATGAATAGCAAGAGGAGTAATTAAAATTAATTGCAAAACGATAACAAATAAAAGCTAGAAAATAGGTATAATCAAAGTATTCAGAAATTGTTAAAGAGATTTATTCAAGACCAGTTATAAAGACTTTTCATGAGGATCCTTCAGATGCATTCATATTCAACTCAAAATCTAAGCCTATTTCTTTACATGAATAATCTAATAAAACCAGTTCTGAAGTTAGTCAATTATAATAAATAGATAAATATTTAATTAAAAAACTAGAAAAAATATTATAGGTAGAAGAAAAGCTAGAAGAAAAAAAACAGCCAGAAATCAAAATAAAAGTTAGGCATCAATAAGTGTAAAAATTGTCTCCTATTCCATAACCTTAATGCAAGAAGAAAGATTAAGCTGAGGGTATTCACATACATAAAAAAGTGTAAGAAATATAACCAGCATAATGGGTAACAAAATTACAATATTTAGAGAAACATTTTCGATGATAGTCTAATTTCTTCTTAGGACAGAGTGTAAAAGACTTTAGATTAAATAAAATTGTTAAATAACGAAGCATTAAAGTTAGAAGAGGAAACTAATACAAAAATCAATGTTGAAAAAGAAGAGAAATTAAATAATTTACTTATAAATCAGATACAGGCTAGATTGGCATTATTGGATAACTTTAATTGATAATCGCACTGATCTTTTATTTTTATATATATCTTGTATGAAATATTTGTATATATTGAATTTGATACATAATTCAAAAATTAACTAATTTTAAATTTTAAAATGATTTGTTTTTAAGATTGTGTATTTTTATCATTCTCACTTCTTCTTTTTCTAAGTTCCCAATCTTTTTATCCATTCTTGTGGAAGATTTAATGTTTTTTTTTTCGATTCATCTATGTCAGATGTATATGATCGAATTTTATCTTCAAAAATGCGAATATCCTCATTCACTTAAGAATGAGCTCTCGATTATTTTTGACATGTTTTAGAATCTGAATTTTCTTGAGTTTTTTCAATTGTCGGTTTAGGTTGTGGTTATTTTACTTTTTGTTTTTATTTTTTCTGTTTTTTTTATTCGTGTTCACATAGGCATTAATTAATAATAGGCTATTGAGGACTCATTATTCTAAAATTATTGTCATTATCAATTGACATTTTAAAATGCTACCATTTATTTAATGTTATACACTTTAACTATTTGCATTGAACTCAAAAATCTATTTAAAAGAATTTTAATCAAGATTCTTATTAGTAAATTATTGCATAAAGCATAAAATTTAATTATTTTCATCATTACTTTCATTTATTGGTTCAGTCAATCCTTGATATTTTGGGATAAAATTTTGTGAATTATTACCTATGGATATTTGATACAATTTAAATACAAGTTTAAATGTACAATTTGTCATCTTAAAATTGTATAATCAAATCATTATTGCAAGAGCACTTCATTATATTTTATTAATTTTAATTATAAAATCGATTAAATTAAAAAAAAAAAAAAGTTGTAATACAAATAACACTTATTAAAATCTAAGTAATACTGAATGATAGCAGTAAAGTTTAACGAAAGAAGATTAAGTTAATTAATTTATAAATATAATATTATAAATTTTCTACTCTATTAGAATGGGTAATAGTTGTTCTTGTCAGTGCTAAACAAAAGGGATGGATGAAGTTGAACTCAATACTAATCAAAAACAGTTAAGCTAATCAAAACCTAATGCCAAAATAGATATGGGTCAACATTAGGAAGTTGATGTATAAAAGGGTAATAATAAATAGGGGAAAGAAAAAAATATGGCTCATCTTAAGGATGAAGACGTTGCCTAAATGGCAGGAGCAAGAAACAATTCTATAGAAGATAGTTCTTCTCCAAAACTAATGAAAAGAGAAAATGGTAAAATATTATGATGGGAGTCTAGATGATAACAAACCAGAAGATCGATATGTGTCATTAGTTTAATCGACAAAAGGAAAACTAACAAGGATAAAGTTGAGTGCAATAGAGATGAAAAATGGAGGAGTTTATGAAGGGGAATGGAAAAATGGTTTGAGAGACGGTTAAGGGAAATATGTTTGGCCTGACAGAAGTTTTTATGAGGGAGAATGGGTTGAAGATAAGGCAAATGGATTTGGAAAATTAGGTAGATTAAAATTATAATATTACAGTGCATGTGGATGGTGATATATATGAAGGTTAATGGTTGGATGATATGGCAAACGGTCGTGGAATTTATATTCATAGTGGTTATTTAATTGGATAATAAATTAGGCGGAGCTCGATATGAAGGAGATTGGAAGAACGATTTATAACATGGTCAAGGAGTTGAAGTCTGGCCAGATGGAGCAAAATATGAAGTATATAGATGATTAGTATTATATTGTTAGGGTAGATATGAAAATGGAAAGAAACATGGCTAAGGCACTCTTACTTTTGCTGATGGTAGTTTCTATAAAGGGGATTTCGTTGAGAATGACATCACTGGATATGGAGAATATTACTGGAAAGATGGTAAATCATACAAAGGTTAATGGAATAATAGTAAAATGAATGGAAAAGGTATCACTCAATGGGCAGATGGTAAACGATATGATGGAGAGTACAAGGATGATAAAAAGCATGGTTTTGGTATTTTCTAATGGGAAAATGGAAGAATGTATGAGGGATATTGGTTAAACGGCAAATAACACGGAAAAGGGTTGATCACTTTACCCAATGGTGAGAAAAAAGAAGGATAGTGGGAAAATGGTAAAAGAATTAAATGGTTAAATGCAGATGAATCACCAAATAGTTGATCAATCTATATTGATTTTATGAATATCTACTTAAACTATTTAGATATTATTCACTTTTAATTTATAATAATTCCTTCTTTGAAATATATTATTATTTATTATAAAATTATATTAACTGCTAATCGTCAATGCAAAATCAATAACTTGGATAAAAATTATCTAATATAAGTTCAATGATTTAGTAATACTAACCTTTGCCTCAAAGTAATTTAATAATTAACTTTAGACACATCAACAATCACATCAATTCCCCCACCTACACCCTAATCAATAAAATAGCCTCAAGTACTTCAATCCTTAATAAATGATTAGAAATAATTTTAACAGTAAAACTTGTTGATTATACTAGGGATGTATCAGGATTGATAGCCAAATTAGATTAAATGCAATATTAAAATAGTCCTAGAAGAAATTAACCTACAATAAATGGTTAGAGTCAAGTATAACCCTTTCAAACATAGCCTGATTTTGTAGTTTAACCTACTCTTTCTTCTCCTTCTAGTCGTTGTGCACCTTTTGTGAAGCAATAAGATACTAAGAAAGCTAAAGAATAAAATACTAGTATCTTAAGATAAGCTGAATAACTTGAATACTTTATACAAGCAAATAATGAAGTATATAAACTCTTAATATCTAGTTAAAAAAAGCGCTAGCATAATCTAACAATAAAATTACAGAACAACAAAAACATTTGGACCAACTTATTAAGCAAAACGATGAATAAAAATAACAATTAATTACAAATGAATAAAATAAAATAATTCAATAAAAATAGTATAATGATTAGATTTAAAATATGTAAATTTCACACCAAAGAGAGCTTTAACAAATTAAGAACAATGAGAATGAATAAAAATAAAAAATTGAAAGTTAATGGTAGCAAAAGTACAATTTAAAATCTAATGAATTGAATTAGGCTACAAAATTACTTAACAATAAAATTAATTCTTTGTAAAAGGATGTCAATGATAAATAAGAATAGTTAAATTCACTTATATTTCAAACAAAAGAGCTTTCAAATTAATTAGAAAAAAGAGTACAGGATTTGAGTGTAAAGGAAGAATTATTATCTGATAAATAATTTGAATTAGAAAGATTGTAGAATTAGTTTAACTAAGCTTTAGAAAAATATGAGCATAATATCAAAGATATGATTTAAAATCATACTTAAGATATGATTTCTTAAGATTAAGTAATTGATGAATTAAAATAACATAACATCATTCTAAGTTAATAAATTATTAAAATTGAATAATAAAACTCTAAAGATATAGAAAACATAAAGAAGAATCATCTTAAAGAACTAAATGATAAATTAGATGAAATAGTTTAAAAAAATTTAAAAGAGAAATAGTAAATTCAAAATCATTATGATGAAATTATTTATAAGTTAAAAAATGAAAAAAATAATTTATAATAAACCAAAGATTAATAACAATTATTTTTGGAATAAAAGGTGTAAGTTTTAAGTTAAGAATATAAAACAGCAGTAGAAACAGTCAAAAAGTAATAAGAGAAAATATTAATGCTTAATGATTAATTATCTTAATTAGAAATTTAAGCTAAAAATTTCAATAGAGAAAATATAAATTAGATTGCATATCTTAATCAAAAATTAAAAGAAATGAGTTCTATTTAGCCATAAAATTAGAATATAAATTATTATTATAATGAATTGAAAACTTAAAATTTAGATCTTAGAACATAATTAGAAGAAAAGAAAGAAAAATTAGATGAACTTATTAACAATCTAAATTAAGTAATTGAAATTAATTTTACTTATAAAACTTAACTTAGCGAGTTCTAAGAAAAGTTATCTAATGTTAGTTATAACAATGAAAAAGAAAATGAAGCTTATTTCAATTAAATAAAGTAATAAAAAATAACTATAGCAGAGTTATCTAAAAAAGTTGATTAATATGCAAAAAATGAATTCAATTTGAATAATTAAATAAAAGAACTTAAAAATAATATTGAATAATTGGGAAATTTAAAATTAGGAAATAAAGGTGATAATTTTGATAAAGAAAAAGAAGTAATAATTTGTATTTATTTATTAGTTAAATAAACATCTTATACAAAAAACAAATGAATATAAACAATAAATTGTAGATTTAGAAAATGTATTATAAGGTTTATAGGAAGAACTTTAATAGAAAAATTAATTAATATTTATTCATGAAAAGACTATTAATGAATTAAAAAAGAATGGCAAAGAAATTAAATAATAAATAATGTCATCTTAAATGAGTGGAATTTTTTTAAATGAGAAATAGGTTCAAGAATATGAAAGTCAAATCATGTAATTAAAGGATGAAACCAATTCTCAAAAAGTAAAGATTGAGAGTCTATAATCTCAATTAAAATAAGTTAGAAAGGATAAAGCTCATTTATCTATGACATTAATGAATTCAGGTATGCTGAATATATAGTCAAGTGTAACAGAAAAGAACTGAGAACTAGTATATAAAGATATTTGAAAAATTCTAAATTGTAGATTTTCAATAAATTTTAATTATAAATCATTGTTATTAAATAAGCTATTTTGTGCATTGAGCCAAATTTTGGTCCCATAATGCTATAAGTTTTTCCTTTAATAAAATAGAAAACTTTTTCATTTACTATAATATTATAAATTAATATACTTCGACAACGTCTTTTTCAGATTACACTTCAGGATAAGTCTGTTCTGCAATTTAAAATACTGTATGTAGAGGAATAACTAATTTTTCATTCCAAAATTTACCCATAAAGTTTTTGGCTTTGCATAAGAATTGACTGAAGATCATCTAAAATAATATATTATTATTACTTTATTTTCTTATGAATTTCTAGTTGTTTAATTGGATTATTAAGATGAAAGTTTGGTCAGAATCCAAACCTACAGTGCCTTTTTATAAAAAAGCAGAGCTGGTTATAGAAATCTAACTTTTTCCATAGTTTTTAAATAATGATCAGACTAAACGCTAGTTTCTAATATAATGACAACAAATTATCTAGCTATTTGCCATTATTGATCTTACGAATTATATTTAATTAATTCTGAAAAAACATTTTGTGTCATCTTTTCCATTTACTTTGTAAATTTTCTCATCTTACTATTTTAGAGAGCTGCTGTAACTTCTCTAACATCAGATTTACTTCTATCAATGTCTTTGTTAGTAAAGGTTTAAGAAATTTAGGAAGATGATAAAGTTGAATCTCTACTATCGTCATCAATATTTAATTCATCAATTCTTTTTATTAGTGATTAGTTCTCATTTTTTCCTTTTTCTCGAAATACTATTAATGGTTGTACACAACTATCATTATAATTGAGAAGGTATTCAGATTTATGAAATTTTGAAAACTCATCTTATATTTAGACAATTTCTTATGTAAATATATCAATTAGTCTTTCTAATTTCTCATTTTCAACTATCAATTTGCTTAATCTATTTATTAATTCTTTTTTCAAGTTAGTGATCCCTTCTGATAACCAACTATAGATAAATATGTCCAAAATAAAATTTTGAGTCACAAACTTAGTTTGTTTCTCTATTAAAATGTGAGCTGTTGTACTAGCCATTAAAAACCAAACTTTTGGTAACTATTTTATTAGCCAGGTTCTTATTTAACAACAAACAACTAAGTCATCAACAATATTATCAGGCAATGGTTTGGCGACAGAATAGTAATAAATAAATGGTCTATTAGAATCAAATGTGAAAGATTATCCTCTTGGAACATCTAGTTGCTCTAACTAATTTTGCATAGTTTTATTTTAGCTGTTCTTGAAAGTTTATTTATATATAATAATTTGTAAGGCTAATAGGAATTTAGTATATTGATTTAAAATAGTTAAAAATCATTTCTGTATTAACCTGAAATTTTATAATAATTTTAAGCATAAAAGACAATTTGATGTATTTTTTTAGTATTATTGTTCTAAATAATTATCTATTTTTATTATTTTTTATAATTTAAATCACAATAGGGTTGCTTATGTTAATTTGATTAATTTAGAAATAAAATTAATTTAATTTATTGTTAACTTCATGAAAATTATTAAAATAGAGAGAAAATCAGAACATTTTAAATTATTTAACTAACGTTTATATAAGACAATTATAATTTAAATTAATTTAATCATTAGTAATGTAAACTAGAATGCTTCTTTATAATTTATTTTGCTAAGTTTTAATGTAATTTATTATTATTGTTATTATTATTATTTGGTAATGTGTTTTGATTTGTCAAACTATTAATTGTATTATTAGTAATTTATTTTGTTTTATTGACAATTATTTTATTTATTGATCCTATAGAATTGGTTTTTGTTCTACCAATACTGTATTTATTATTAATATTACTACAATTTCTCATATATATACTATTGCTATTTATATTTTTATTTTCCTAATGTTTATTAATTCTTTATTATGTATTACTACTTTATTTATTTGTTTTTAGTAAATTGGTTTTCTCTTCATTTCTTATTTAAATCTTATCTCTTTATGTATCTTCATCATCCCAATCATAAATATATTCCATTCTTAATTCATTCTCTTACATGATTTAAATAAAGAGATTTTTTATAAATTAATAATCTGGTTTCTCATCAAATTTTAAATTTTTTGTATAATCTACAAATTACAATAATTATTAAGGGTAATTTTTACATAAGGTTTCTGAAGATGTGGCTAACTTTTTTTCCATTATTCTATCATATTTCTCTTTTTAATTATTTGCTCTTAGATTTTGCCAAGGGAGAGATCCTCTTAAAAAATACATTAAAACATAAGCCAAAGATTCTAAATCATCTCTTCTTGATTATTCTATTCCAAGATGTGTATTGATAGATGCATATCTGGCAGTTCCAGTTAATGCTTTATTATCTTTATAAGGAATATGAAGATCTTTTGTAATGTACCTTTTAGCTAATCCATAGTCTACTATATATACCCTATCTTTTTATGACTTACCCATTAAAAAATTATCTGGTTTAATATCTCTGTGAATGAATTATTTGCTATGTAAAAACTCTATACATTCTAACATTTGAATTCCCAAAACACAAACTGTTTACAATGTAAATATGCGATTGTTTTCAGAAAAAATATCCTCAAGTGATTGTCCAAGTAATTCCATAACGAGAAAATTATAACCATCTTGCTAATGATAGCCATAATATTTAGGAATTCCTTATCCATTATGATTATTCAAATAGTGATATAGTTTGGATTCGAATTCTAACTATGGGTGTTTTGAATCAGATTTCTCTATTTTAATAGCATACTCTTATCCATTTGATTAAGATAAATAAATTTCACCAAAAGCACCTGCTCCTAATTTCTTAATGAGTTTATATTGCCTAATTAAATTTGAATAATACTTGTTGACAATCGTTCCAGTCATATCTTTCAAAGGGGAGTCCATCTGTTAATTAAAAAATATAATATTATATAAAATTACATAATATAATTCATTAAAGAGCTTTAATACCAGCTTTTATTTTTGGTTTATTTCTGTCACCTGGTAATTAGACAAAACCTTATTCTTCAAGTAAATGCAAAGCTTCTAAGATTTCTTTTTAATACTGTCTCTTATCAATCATAGTTTATTCATTTGTTTAGGCAGATACTAGAGTATTAATCTAAAAATTCATTAAATATAAATACTTATTCTACAAAATCAAAAAATCTGACACCTTATCCTCTGTAATCAGATAAATTGGCTTTAATTAAATTAGTGATTTCAACAATAAACTTAGAAACTAATTCTCTTGAAGCATTGGATCTACCAGTTGCCAATAAATCCATATCAATTTTACCTAGAAATAAAATGTAATATTTACCAGTAATAGGATCAAGAGCTGCTTTTTTCATAGCAGTTTCCATTAATTTAACTGCCTCTTAAACATGATAATTTTCAACTCTTTAGTTGAATTACATTTTTGCCAAGGCTTCAGATAATCTAATTAAGGATTCTAATTATCTTGGTGTAGCAGTTATAGTATTAGAAGAATTTCCTGCACTTCTCATTTTAACATAAGCTGCAATTAATTCATTTTGTGCTTCTTCAGTCAGTCTTGGAAATATGTTTTATTTTGCATAACATATATAACTATACAAAGTTTCTCTATCAATTATATCTGTATTTCCTTCTTCTTCAATTTAATTTAAATAATCTTGCTTGTCTTTTAGAGAATACATATTTAAAATATGATATGCTAACATTTCATCTCTTTTTTCATTGAATTCATCAAGTACTAGATAAATAAGATCAAATCTAGATAAAATAGTTGGTGGCATATTAATATTTTAAACAACTGATTATTTGACATCATATCTAGATTTGAGTGGATTAGCAGCAGCTAAAACAGCAGTTCTGGCATTTAACTAACTTACTATACCAGCCTTGGCTACAGAAATAGTTTATTATTCCATAGCTTCATGTAAAATAGTTTTAGCATTATCATCCATTTTATCAAATTCATCAATACAACAAATACCCATATCACTAAGTACTAATGCTCCAGATTCTAAGATGATCTCTCTTGTTTCTGGATCTCTAGATACATAAACAGTTAGACCAACTGCTGATGATCCTTTACCTGATGTATAAATTCCTCTACTTGATAATTAATGAACACATTATAATATTTAAGATTTACTTGTTGATGGATCACCTACTAATAAAACATTAATATCTGCTCTAAATCTACCTTTACCTGCTTACGAAAATTCTTTATTAGTTCCTCCAAACAATTAACAAAGTACTCCTTTTTTAACATCCTCCATTTCCCAAATAGATGGTGCAATAGATTTAACTAGTATATCATAAATATTTGGTTATTAAGAAAGATACATTAATTTTTATTTTTATTCTTCAGTAATGTTTTTAGTTTTTTCTTATTCAATTTTAGTTTCTTTTTGATATGATATAACATCAATGAATGTATTATAAATAGATTTTAAAACTCTTCTATTTTTAGTTTATCTAATAGGAGCAGCTCTATAAACACCTACAACAATAATTCTATCTCCTGGTTTCACATCATCCACATTATAATCATAAGGTACTAAGTTTACAGTTTATGGTGTATAACCTTCAGGTACATTTTCAGGTTATTCTTACAATTTAACATATTATTTATCTGTAAATTAACAGAGATTATGTATGAGTTCATAGGAATTCTTGTCTCTACATCTTTAACAACTAATAGGTTCTTCAACTCTTCCTCTTTCAATATTTACTCCTACTATATGACCACATTTAGTGCATTTGAATGTAGCTTATTTCATATCAGGATATAATTCACTACATCTAATTACTATTCCTGTTACACTTATTAATTTATTTATATCCTTTGGATTCAATTCTCTCACTTAAACATTCCTCTCCAGATTTATAATACCTATTAGTAATCTTTATGCATATAATCTAAATTCTTCTCTCTCTTATTCATTTCTTGCTTTTAAAGATAAAAAATCATCATAAAACACTTTTTATACTACAGTATCAAAAATTGGAATTATTTCTGCTGGATAATGAATTAATTGTTAATACAAATGATTATTGAATTCTAATAAATGTCTGCCATCAATATTTAAGATGAATTAATCTGTTTCATTTAATTAATTCAATTGACTCATATAATATTCCATTCCTCCAGATCTATATTCTTTTAAAAATCTATCAAATTATTTTTCAATAGCTCTTTCATCAATATTTGTTCCCCAATATACTGCTTCATGTGTTTCAACAGTCATTCTTGTTNTACCTGCTTAAGAAAATTCTTTATTAGTTCCTCCAAACAATTAACAAAGTACTCCTTTTTTAACATCCTCCATTTCCCAAATAGATGGTGCAATAGATTTAACTAGTATATCATAAATATTTGGTTATTAAGAAAGATACATTAATTTTTATTTTTATTCTTCAGTAATGTTTTTAGTTTTTTCTTATTCAATTTTAGTTTCTTTTTGATATGATATAACATCAATGAATGTATTATAAATAGATTTTAAAACTCTTCTATTTTTAGTTTATCTAATAGGAGCAGCTCTATAAACACCTACAACAATAATTCTATCTCCTGGTTTCACATCATCCACATTATAATCATAAGGTACTAAGTTTACAGTTTATGGTGTATAACCTTCAGGTACATTTTCAGGTTATTCTTACAATTTAACATATTATTTATCTGTAAATTAACAGAGATTATGTATGAGTTCATAGGAATTCTTGTCTCTACATCTTTAACAACTAATAGGTTCTTCAACTCTTCCTCTTTCAATATTTACTCCTACTATATGACCACATTTAGTGCATTTGAATGTAGCTTATTTCATATCAGGATATAATTCACTACATCTAATTACTATTCCTGTTACACTTATTAATTTATTTATATCCTTTGGATTCAATTCTCTCACTTAAACATTCCTCTCCAGATTTATAATACCTATTAATAATCTTTATGCATATAATCTAAATTCTTCTCTCTCTTATTCATTTCTTGCTTTTAAAGATAAAAAATCATCATAAAACACTTTTTATACTACAGTATCAAAAATTGGAATTATTTCTGCTGGATAATGAATTAATTGTTAATACAAATGATTATTGAATTCTAATAAATGTCTGCCATCAATATTTAAGATGAATTAATCTGTTTCATTTAATTAATTCAATTGACTCATATAATATTCCATTCCTCCAGATCTATATTCTTTTAAAAATCTATCAAATTATTTTTCAATAGCTCTTTCATCAATATTTGTTCCCCAATATACTGCTTCATGTGTTTCAACAGTCATTCTTGTAGGAGAATGTTAAGATTAAGTTCCTGTTCTCCTTGATGCTGTTGCTAGAATTGATCTATTACGAGGTTATACTAGAGATCTTGCTGGAGTATGTCTAGAGAAATCTCCTATTTCTGATCTCTATTCTACAGACATAAATCCACTCTAATTGTTTTTGGGAGGCATTTTTATATTAATTATATATTTATATTGCGCCAATTTCTTTTGTATACACAAAATCTGTTAATATAATATTTAAATATGTAAATAATTTCATTATTTTAATTCAATAGAAATATTTATTAATCCACTAAAATCCAAAGATTGTCTTGCAGATTGTAATAAAAAAGTGTCATTTAAGTTAAACTCATTCTTTTGACTTTATTATTATTTTATTTATGGGATATAGAAAAAAATAATAGGTACTAAAATACAAGGAGTCATTTCTATCATGGAGAAGAATGTCAGGTATACATTCTCTCCAGATGTAAATCCTGTATCTTTTATATCAGTTAATGGTAAATTACAAAACAATCCTTAAAATGTAGTAAGTGATAAAATTGACATAATAAATTCAAAAGTTGCAGAAGTTGTCAAAACTATCTAAACAGCTGTAGTTTAATAATTTGCTATTTTTGTCACATTTGTTTGTTCATGTTTATTCATCTCTTGTTTTAATTTTTAACCATAGAATATTGATATTAACACACTAAATAATATAATTATAAATTAAAGAGTTAATCCTACATCAAAATATAACAAACAATTATTATCATCTATTTAAATCAAATAGAATATGATTATTGCAGTAAAAATTATGTAAAATATTATTAAACTATACTTTTATTTCAATCTATATCCTTAAAATTCTTATTTAGAGTATGTCATTTTATAGTATAAATGAAAAAAGCTTTGAGATATCAATATGAAAGTTTGTAAACAAAAGTAAATAATAACGATTTATAAAGAGTTTGTAACTAAAAAGATGTCATTTATGAAATGCAAAGAAGATTGAATTGCACATGTTGTTAAAGGAATCATTTCATAGGAAATTCTACCCATAAATCCATAAAGCTTTATTAAACAATAGATTGAAATGGCAAAAATTAATCCAGCATATATTCCTATAAAAATTCCTCTTCCACAAGATAAACTAGAGTCTTGGCAAAGGTATTGTATTTAAAGCATAAAGTGGAATTATTTAATAATAATTTATTATAATTTAATCACTTTTTCTTGTTTTCTTTCTTTTCCTTCTCCTTCTATTATGGATTAGTTTTCTATTTCTATTATTCCTTATTATCCTTAGTGTTCTTCTATACAATTTAATCTTTCTATTCTTATTATTTCTTTTAGTTCTTATTTTTTAATGACTAAATTTTCTGTTCATCTTCATCATCACTTTCTTCTTCATTCTTTGAAGCTTTGGTAACTTTCTTAGAACCCTTCTTATTCTTCTTTTTAGCTTATTTATTGTCCTTAAGAAACTTCTTTACTTTATCTTCATCCAATTTGAACTTCTTCAACCATCCAGCATAATCAGTCTTATATTATTCCATAGCCTTGTCATAATCTTTGTTGTATTTCTAAATATAAAGGTTCTTAATAAATTAATTACATCTTTCTTCTTTTCATCCATCTCTCCCCATAAAGATGATATCATTGTAGTTAATTCAGTCATACTTTTATCTTGGTTCTTTTTCTTAAGATCATCATAAGTATCTGCCCTGAATAACATGTAAGCATTTTATGGTTTTTTTGGCATAGCATTGATTGCTTCATCTGATATTTAGTCCATTTTTTTTTAATTTTAAACTTAATTACAAAATTCAACTCAGTTCAAATGTTAAATAATAATAAATTTTATAATTATGAGCTTTGTTTTATATTCAATTAAACAATATGATTGTAGTCTAAAATGTTTAAATTTTATTTGCTACAGGGATTAAAAATTAGAAAAATTTATTATCTAAATGAAGAGATTCAGATTTTCATAATCAAATCATTATCATCTTTAATGATAAAAACAGAAGTGATATTTCAAAAAGGCTTTTAAATTAAGTTTGATTTGTTCCCTCATTTATAGGTTCATAATGAATTGTCAATTGTTAAATAATGTTTTAAGAAATATATAGAAAATTAAAGTAGTAAGAAATTCTTTATATATACATTTTTGACAATTTATTTGAATTATTTCAAACTATGGATAAAAAATGATTTTCTATCTTCTAGACCCATTTCTATTAACCTAAATAAAGATAAGTTAATTAGTTAACATTTTTGACCTTTATTTAATTGAAAGTAGCTAGAATGATTATTTATAGATTATTTACTTGTTCCTGCACAAAATGACCAACCCCATGATCTTGCTAAAATGAATGCACAAATCAATGCTTCGAAAATGGTCACATCTTTATACATAGCCAGACCTCCAAGTCTTACTACACGATGTAAAGTTGTAAATATGCTATTTGTGTACCTCATGTTTTTAGTTGGTAAACTAGATATGATTTTATATTATAAAAAATCATCTTTGATATCTGTACAATAAAATGTTTCAATTTTTGGGATTTATAGTCTATCATTATCAAATCATCTACATACTCTTATTATTATAATTTGAATTCATTATTCTAAAGTGTGAACATACTCAAATTATAACCAGTTCCAAAAACTAATTAAGTTGTTGTTCCATAGATACAATAACATATTCCTATAACTTGTTCTCCACTTTATTTAAGATCATTTAAATTCACATTTTTGAACATTGTTGTTTATTTTTTAAATACAATAAATGCTGATGCTCTACATGAATCAGTACCATCTATTGCTCTAAATACTACTAAATACTTTCCCTATTAATTATCACTTAATAAGACTTATTAATTGTCTAATATATATAACATCAAACATAATTAATTCTTTTTAAATTATTCATTTAATTATAGTATTGCTTTCTTTATTGCAGTTAACGAATATGCAAATTTCGAAATCAATTTCATTTATTCAACTAAAAATTTCATTAATTATGTAAAATCTCCTTATGCATCAGTATGTTTCTCTTATTCAGCATCAATAAACTTATTAAATGATTCAGCATTTTCAGGTAATACACCTGCAAAATCTTCAGAAAATTTCTCTAATTTCATTCTAATCTAAGCTTATTGATCGTAACGTCCACATTCTTAAATAATAATATTAGGAGAAATCAATTCTTTTTTTAAGATTTTTTAAAACTATTTCATTCCTCTAATAACTTTTCCAAATGCCACTCTTTTAAAATTAAAATAACTCATAGGAGCTAATGTAATGTAAAATTAAGAATGATTTGTATGTTAAAATCCATCATTTACTTATCCTATAATTCCTTCACAATCATGTTAAAGAGCATAAGATTCATCTTCAAAGTAATCTCCATATATAGATACTTTTTTTGCAAATTATCCACCTTATAAAAATCCTAGAGTTATAATTGTTTCTACCATTTGGTTTAAATTTCTAAAACTTAGTATTTTTATATGTATAATAATTTCCATCTATGTTGACACCCTCACAAAACTTTACAAAATTATCACATGCTTTAGGAGCATATTCTGTATATAATTCAATTATTATTGGATAGAGTTATTCATCAATTTATAATATCATTTATACATAAGCTATATATATATATTATAGTATTTACTGTTCTTTCGTGAATTAAAAAAAGATAATTATGATTCATAGGCTTAGTTAATTAAACTTTAAGTAAATTTAGTACGTCTACTTGAATGTACTATAGGAGTACCATTTTGAATTAATAATAATGGCCTAAATTATTATAAATTATGTCCACCTTTTAACAGTTTTAGAAGTGAAAGAGTCATCAATTGTGAAGTGCTCTTGGTTAGATAGTGGTTGCAATCTTTTTAGTTACATTCTCAAGGAAGCATCTCTTTTTAGAATTTTTATTTCATGATCATATTCTGACTGATATTATATTCGAAAATGTTTTTTACTTCATGCATTTCTTAAATTTCATAAGTCTTTTTTCTTTCAGTCTTCTGAAGAGTTCTGAAATGTATTAAGTCTGGATTACCTGTAACACTCAACACTTTAATTTTACTCATATTTAATTTAATGATATAAAATTGAATTACATACTTAATGATAGTTTAGGTCAACTAATCTGAAGGAATTAAAGAATTTTTATATTGAATTTATGTAAATTATGAGAATTAAATTTATTAAAATTTCTTTAACAATTGTATGGATTGAACAAGTTTAAATAGACCATTAAATTTATATACTAATAAAACTTTATTATTGTTATCATTTTTTTTCAAAAAGATGCTTCTTTAGTTAGTAATATTTATGATATCTAACTTCAACAAAAGCTAGATAATCAAAAACAATATCATTTGATTTAGCCATAATGATACCCCATGCTCTATTATTATTAAATAATTATATTTACGCCCAAAAGAAATGCGAGAATAACTATCCAATATATACTTAATGTAGTAAAATTTGATAATCTAAATCCAATCCTGATTTCTCGATATAGACTTAAACAAAATCCTTTAAGATATCCTCATCAATCATTCCTTCTTCTATATAAAAGTAAGGTGGATTTGGGTTTAAATAACTAAATTATGATTCATTGAAATAATTAGCTATATCAAATCCCCTGAAATTATAGGAAGAATACTCAAAATCGATAAACACAACCTTATCAAAGTTCTAAATGATGATAAGAAATGATTATTACAGGTGGAATCAATAAAATGTTATTTGCTAATAGATCGTTATGGGAAAATACAATATCATCTTTTGGTAACACAGATTGTAAAAATTTCACTTCTTCTTCAGAAAACCAATGAGCCATTTTAGATAGAATAGATTTTTCATCTTCAGAGAATAAATTAGAATAAACTTTCTCTCTTACTTACTATAAGAAATCTGAATTTTCTTCCAAATGTTTTTCAAATAAAGGTGTTCTGTCATTCATTTGACTAGATATATCTATTTAGTGAAATTTACACAAGGTCTAAGCAACCAAAGTGTAAGTATCAGGGTCTTTCATTGATTCCTGACTCATAACCTCATTTTCAATGTATTCTTCCAAACGAACCTTTTATTATTAAATTGGTAGTTACATGTGAAGTGTGACCATAAAAATGTGGACCCATTTTACATTTAGCAACTTATCTTGCAATGTGTAATTCTTATTCTCTGTTCAAAAATAATCCAACTCCTACCTCACCAAAATGACGAAAGATTATTTTGCTTGGAGTGGCATCTGCTTCAATAATATATGTCTTATTTGTTATTCCTATAGTCTTTGTAATTCTCAAATCATCACTTTAAAGATGGCTCCAAGATGGAACAAACTTTTATATATGAGAAATGAAGAATTAATCGATATTGTTCATAATATTATACAAAAAATATTTATGCTTATCTTTACTATATACTCTCATTATAAATTAAATGTAATCCGTCACAAATAAACACGGAATATCACTCTATGATCTAATAATTTGAATTATTTTATTAAAACTGATATAGATAATGTTAAATATATGGAAAATTTGATATTTAAATGTAATAAACATATTTAAGTATATTCCACGTTCAAACAATAAATAGAATGTAATTATTATATATTAATTATAGAATTATTAGAATATAATATACTCTTTATGAATCAATTGAAAAGGATTATTAAGTAGATTGGTCAATACTAGTTTAATGAGAGAAACTTTTTGGGAGTGAGTGCTTATGGTAATGTGTTTTAAGGAATGGAAAATAAAATAAAGAAATTTGATTTAGCACTATTTGAAAGACATACTTATATATAAGTAATTAAATAGTTAGTGAAATTGAAATACTTAAAAATATCTATCATATTAATATTGTGAGATGTATTTATCTCATTAAAACTGAAAATATCTTTCTATATATATATGGAACTATTTTAAGATGGAGATTTAAATGAATATATATTCTACGAAATGGGAAACCTAAATTATAGGGATAATATTGTATGAAATGATTTTAAAAATTTCGTACATAATTTATATTATTATAATAAATGAAATAGAATAGTATATTTCCTCCTTTATTATTTTAGAATTAAATTATATTAAAAAAGTTAGATCAATTAAAATATTTTTAGGGTAGATCAATCTATTCAAAAATACATTCTCTAATTATCAAGACTTTTATTGGCCTATAGTTATCTCTTGGTTTAATAAATTGAAGTATCATGTGTTTCTGGAGAAAATATGTTGATTAAGAAAGTATTAAATGGAATATATAGAATTATACAAGAAATTAATTAGAATATTATAAGATATTTTTCAATTGTGAGGATTAATTTCTTAAAGATACATCTCTCAATTTAATGGGGAAATGAGTGATATTGAAATGAATAAATAAGAGGATAACTTCATTTATAAAATTATCAGAATTATTGGAGATAGTCTTGATGATTTAAAAATATAGCTGTTGTAGAAAAATAGTAAAATATTTTCAATAGTTTATAGCTAATTATCACTAATAGCAATTGAATTGATATTAGATTAATAAATTATTCATAAAAATATTGTTAAATTTACAGAAATCGAATTTTTGTTAATATTTAAAGAACAATAATAGAAGGATGACTGGAAATAGATTATGGATAGGATAATACACAAATGGAGATAATTGTAATAATTATGACATTGTTAGTCATTATAGATATATATTTATTGTTTATTTAAATTAAAAACTCATTGTAAATGGTTTCAAGATTACTTGTTCAACTTGATTCTACAACTGAATGGATTCTTATTTTTGGAGTAATCATTGGAATTATAATAATTGGGCTAATTGTATATAGATTATGCAGAAGAAATCAAAAATAGTAACCTAAATATTAAAATAATTCCAAAAATTTCAAAGATGTTCCTAAATCTGAGTAAATTTAAGATGACGAAAAATTGTAAAATAGAATGGATACATCAATGACAAAGAAGGAATTTTTTGTTATTGAAGAAGAGCCAGAAAAAAAAAATGATAATAATGATAATTATAATCCAGGCGAAGTTAATGAAAGCATCAATTTAAGCAATGTATTTAATCTAGAAGGTGAGGGTAAATAATATTAAAACACTAAGTATTAATAGATTAGACAAAATTGAATTAATTCATATATATGTAAATTATATAAAATTAAAATTATGTGAATTAATAAAATGTTATAATAAATATATACAATTTAAAATCCTATGTAGATATATCAATATTTATTAGAATCCTTATAAATTCAACAATGAATAATTTGTTTTTTATAATTAAATAACTAATTCTTTTATAGAAAAAAAATAATAATAATCTATTTCAAAATAAAAGCCATTCATAGAAATAATATCAATAAAAATCATTTTACTTTATTTAAAAATAAGATATATTAATAAATTATATATAAAATATATCAAATAAATACTTAAATTTTACAAAATAAACATTTTTAATATATAAATCCTATATCAGATTATATATAGTTGTAAAGACTTTCATTTGATAAATTAAACATCATATAATTATGTAAATGATAATTAATATTTTTAATTTAGATTTAATTGAGTTATCAAGATTATTTATAAAGAATCTTAACCTTTTCAATTTTCTTTCAGTAATAATAATTAAAAGGTTTATAAAAATGGGTTCAAGAATCTTATTTAATTATGCTTATAATATAATTTAGAATATGATTATGCAATCAGAAATAATACTCCAAAATTTCTTCTTGTCTCTTTTAGATAAATTCTGATAAATCATTTGAATAATTTTCTACATTCTATGGATTTTAATAAACTATATGCACTATTTCAAGTAATTTCCTTAATCCAATTCCACTACAATAAATGAAAATCCAAAATATTAACCCTAAAAAGAAAAGCAACTTTGCAATTATTCTCAAACTCTTTTATATAGGCTTTGGTGTTTCAACCATTACATAATAACTTAAATTAAATTTTATCTTACAATCCTCCTAATATTGCTAAGACCACTTCTAATATCCCTGAAAATATAAGAGCATTCACTATCCTTAAATCTTGCATTAATATTTTTCCAACTAAAAATTCAATAACTTCCGGCAAAAATGGTTTGAATATACCTGCTATGAATTCTTTAATTTAATTGCTCAGCTAACATAAAATATATAATTACTCTTGGACATTAAATTTCAAAGTGATCTATATCATTGTCTAAACATATCAATAAGCTCAACAAAGAAAATAAAGAGTGTATCAAAATATAGAAATAAAAGGTATTCTTAATTATTACAAATAACATTTCTAATTTAATTTATTATTTTTTATTGAATTTTTTTTAAATTAGGAATGTTATGAATAAATCATAGTAATATAATGATGAATTTCAAATTTATGATATGTATAATTATTATAATTATTACATTTATTTCTTCCATAATTTATTTAAATATGTTATATTGTAAATTAAAAGGATTTTTAATAGAACAAATATAATAATTTAATGAGAATGAAAGATTAGAAATATTTTAATTTTTTCATAAATCCTTTTTTACATAATTATAGGATATGAAAGAGATGACCATATAAATCAATCTATTAATTCATATTTATTGTATTGTTAATATATTCAGTCAGTCTTTAACTTTATCCAAACATTCCCACATAATTATTGAATTACCTCTCACAATTGCTTAACCAATATCAACTAGCTAATCTGTGACATTTGAAAAGCCTGGATATAGATTATCTTTATTTTCTGCTCCTTATCCTGGAATCAATTCTTTACAATGATCAAGCACTAAATTCATGAAAATATCAAATCTAAATTTTAATAAGTATATGATTTTACCCAATTACAGTACCAATAATTGTTCGTTTTGCATTCAACTTAATTTTTAATCTCTTTCCAAAATATTTATTTAAATCTGCTTAATATCCTTATTTATGTTGTTGTCCTCTCTTTTATGATTGCATAGAAGTAAAATTATATAATATAAATATTTTAATTAATAAAAATAATAAAATATTGTATATGAATAAAATATTATTAAAAGCATGACCTTTACATAACAAAACAAAAGTGGCATAGTTAGTCTATAAATAAATCAAAAAATCAATTAGCTTTTTTCGATTTAGAATGCTTTTTCACTTATTCTTGATCATTTTGAAGATCTTCTTTAATGTATCGCAGCTTTTTATAATACCTGTTTTTTATCATATTCATTGTTTTTCCTGGAAACTATTTGACTATTTTGTTAAAATTTGGACCAACCTATTAAACTAATTCCAAGATACGCTTATCTTCTTAGAATGTAAATCTGATAGCATTATTTGATATTGTTGATAAAAATACCTTTAGTCATTAATTCTGCGCTTTCCATTTTATTATTTAAATTAATCATCCTCATCTGGCTATTAATTTTTTATTAATGAGTTGACCAAATGTTCAAGTGATTCTTCATTTTACATTAACTAAGATTATCTATAAAAATTTAAACATGTCCTTACTGTTCAGATTGATCATTCTTATCGTCATCCAAAGGTTATTTGATAAACATTTCTTAATCCATGATTATTTTTATATATTATTTTATAAGATTCTTCAATAATTCATCATTATATAATTCTAATATTTTATCAAAATAAAATGCAGGATAAATATTAACAGTATAATAAGAGGAAATAGATATATTAATTTAGGCTGTTATCTTTAAATTTATGATTAATATTAATAATTTAATTACAAAAATTAGATGTCTTTTCAAACTATAAATCAGCTATTCAAGTCAATTCCAAAGTGCTTACTTTTACAATTAGAATCTTTAAACATATTTTGTAAACATTAAAATCTCTTAATTCTTCAATTCTTCAACCCGCTATCTTGATGCCAGATTCACTTTATTATTGCTTTTATAAAATGAATTTCTAAATCCAATATGATTTTCAAATTGAGATTTATTAACAGGTGATTTATGAACTGTTTGTCTTCTTTTTCTAGTTTATATTAGAGGTTTTAATTATGTCTTTAATTATATTGGGGATATTATTTTATGTTAGTTTTATTATTATTTATCAGAATCTAAATCTTCATCTGCTTCATTAATTGGAATAGGATTTGTTCCTTCCATCTCCCCATAAAGAAATGGCACCCTTTTAAAATTGCATCCATATATTTAATCAAGTGTTATTGTTTACTAATCTATCATTACAATTTCTAATAAATATTATATAACAATATTTGATTAAATTAACTTACTATAGTACAAAAAATAAATGCTTTAAAAAAAATGATATTTTAATCAACTTCTTTTAGTGCAACCTAGATTTTAAAAAATGGTTTCAAAAAAACCACTTTCTTTCCTAACAGTATGTTATGTTCTTCTAGTGATTCTAGTTTATATAGGAGGCTACAATTCATCAGAATACATAGAAAATGCTAATGAAACGCATTCTTATTTATTATTTGAACCAGACAATCTAGTTGTTGTTGTGTTAGTATTTGAAAATTTAGTATCAAGTCTTAAACTACTACTTAATTAATCTAAATTCTTTTTCTCTTCAAAAATGTATTCTTTAATTTCTAATTAATATCCTTTAGCCATAGTCAACATCCAAGGATGAATGAATACTTAATCCATTGTTAATCTATCTTTAGAATCTCTTTTCATAAGTCCTAATATCAAATCTTTAGCCTAAATTAATTATAAAATAATTTACTTAATCACTTGCTTTAATTTCAAATTATTCTTACTTTAAAATATTTTAACATTTTTCAAAATCATTTCTTCCTTTAAAAGGAGCTTAACCATGAATTAATTCATAAAGTAGTACTCCCAAACACCACATATCAAGAGTTTAATCATGAGGTTTATATTCTAACATTTCTGGAGTCATATAATCTATAGTCCCACAAAACGTATTTCTTGTTTAAGTTATCATCATTTCTGCAGACCATCCAAAATCACAAATTTTTATATTTCCATCTTTATCAAGTAGTAGATTTTCAGGTTTTAAGTCTCTATGTATAATTTATTTTTTATGTAGATAATCTATTCCAAGACATGTTTAAAAGAAATACACAAAAGCTTCATTTTCAGGTAAAATCTTTCTCTTTCTCAAATAACCAAATAATGAACCATTTTCTATATTTAATTAAAATCTATTACCAGCATACTCCAAAATTAAATAAACGTATTGTTCATCTTCAAAAAATTCAAATAACTAAATCACATGAGGATGTTAAAGTCTTTTTTGTATTCTTATTTCTCTTCTTAAATTTTCTATTGATACATCTGATTTTTCAATCTATAAATAAATTAATTATTTTACTATTTTCATGGCATACAATAAACCTGTTGATCTATCTCTAGCTAATTTTACACATCCAAAACTTCCTCTTCCTAATGATCCTTAATTGACTATTTCAAAGTCTTATACATTTCTCTTGGGTAGTTCTGCTTTGCATTCTAATTTATGAGAAACAGCCCTCTTAATTAGGATTCATATCTTTACCAATCGTAATCTCTACATTTTTTAGAACAATAAGTAGTTTTCTGACATAAAGGACATGTAAGAAACCCTTCATCATTACAAGACTTGCATTTGGACATCATTAAAAATAAATTATATTATAATTTATAAACTTAATAATTATTTACAAATAAATATCTATTTATTTAGTTCAGTATTTGAATTCCTCAATTTTATAGTATTGGTTATGGTGCATTTAAGAACAGAACAACTTAAAAATAATCAGAATGATTTATAATATATTCTTTTATTAATTTTAATTATTATTTGTAATAGTTTAATGGCAACAAAATTAAAATATCATAAAAGCACTATTAAACTTCCTTTAGCCTAAAATGTCATACCTGTAATAAATGGAATAAGTAAATTAATTAATCAAGCTAAATACATGTTAGAAGAACAAAGTATGAAATCAAAATGAATTTAGAGTTTACTTCCATACTTTTATTAGCTTATCATAATACTTCTGCAAAGGCTATATTGCTTTCCAAATAATTGAAGTAAAAATATCCCAAACTTCATGAAGTATTAAGTGGTTTATAATTCCTTCTAGATTACTATCATTAAAACTATTGAGAAATTTTATCATTACGAGCCTATTGAAGAAGGACTTATTGACGTTAATATTAGTTAAAAAATTCCATCAATTATAATAAAGCTCACTTTTAATCCAACTCAATAAGATATAGCAAGTCCAGGATATTAAAGATGTTTATATGATGAGAAAACTCAAAATAAAAATCCTTAATTAAGAGAACTTTATGAAATTTCATATGAAAACGATAACAATTAAGAAGAACATTAAGATGATGAGTTAATTTGGTAGTAAATAGATGATGATTAAGATTAGTACTAAATAGAAGATGATCAATTTGCTAAAATAGAAGATGAAAGAAATTATAAAAGTGAAGGAGATTTTACATACTATTTAGATAAATAAATTAGATAACATATAGATATTTATAGATAAGATCATTAAAATTAGATACATTAATTTATTCAAATATAAAGTGATGATTAAAATAATGTATAATTATTTGAAAATTAGCAGTAAATTTAATTTTAGTAAAATGACTCAAAATAGTTAGAAAAATAAGAATATATGAATTATTCTCACAAATTTAATCATTATACAGAACCTGATGATGACGGCTTTGAAGAAATACGTTTACCAGGATATAAATAGAATTAAATTTAACAATAATAAACTTTTGATGATTTCTAATAACAACCATAAACAAATGATCCTAACAACTTGAAGAATATTTAATTTTAATAAAATTTTTCACCTTCATGTATAAATGAAGCAAATCAATCCAAATTCCTTAATAATTAATTAGATGATGCTGAAAAAGTTTCCTATAACTCAAGTTAATTTAAAAAAAAAAATTATGAGATTTCTAATGAATTTGAAAGAGAAACAACTAATTAGAACAATTTTGAGAATATCGATGATAGACTTAATAGGGATAACATAGATTATAAAAATAATAGGGAGGATAGAAATTATAAAAATAATAGAGACAAAAGATATTATTAAAATAATAGAGATACTAGGGATAATAGAGATAAAAGAGATAATAGGGATGATCGAGATTATAAAAATTATAGGAATAATAGAGGTAAAAGAGATAATCGGAATAATAGAGATAAAGGAGATATTAGGAATAATAGAGATAATAGAGATAATAAGAATAATAGAGATAATAGGAATAATAGGGATAATATAGATAATAGGAATAATAGAGATAATAGGGATAATAGAGATAAAATAGATAATATAGTTAATAGAGATAATTGGGATGATGAAAATTATAATGATAATATCTATAATAGAGACCATAGAGATAACAATAAAAATCAAGATTAAAGGAATTATAAAAATAGTAGAAATTAATGGGATAAATTTGATAATAGATAGTATAAAAATACTAGGGACAATTTTATGGATGATAGAGACAGTAGTAGTGAGGATGATTTAAGTGATGAAGAGATAAGTGAATAAGATTCTAATGATGATGAAGAATTATAATATAATTCCAACAGGAGAAAACATTAACATAATCCATTTCTTCATCCTAGAACTATTATTTAAAATGAAATTTCTGAATACAAGGATAAAAGAAAAGATATAATTTTTTTTTAGAATTGAAAATTGATAATAAAGATATTTTTTTAGATAAATATTATCATATCGTATTATACTAATCATTATATACTTATTAATGTGCAAAAAATATCTTCTTTTATAAAGCAAATGATCCTAATTTTGAAATTAAATAAAAAGTTGGTATGGCTATGTAAATATATTGAATCCAAACCTCTCTGAAACTCTAAATTACTGTTGATTTATAATATAACTGCTAAAAAGACTAAATCTTGAATTGTCCAGTTATTTAAACTTATTTAGATACAGCTTTTCTCTATTTAAATGATTCAAATATTGGTATAACTGTTTCATTTTAGGACAGCTATTATAATTTAAAATCAAATAAATTGAAAGGATATTCATAGTTTGTTTCTTCATTATAATAAGTTAATTTTGTTGAAGTTAATTAAGGTAAAGTTTACTTTTACTAAAATTAGAGCTGGCCAAAAAGATGGATAGCATAATTCTCAAAATCTTCATTAAAAGAAAACACTAAAGGTGTAATCATCTAGAGCTTCAAAGTATTCTACTTATTTTGATTATATTACTCTGATTCCAACATTTGAAAATAATATTAAGGTACACTGTTCAGCAATAAATGAAGGCATGAAATTAATTTAAAATGAGATAAAATCAGTCTTGCCATCTAAATTTTGATCTTCATTTATATATTAAAAATCAATATAATCTTGATCTGTAACACTAATGATGTTTGATGATGTTTCATTTAAAAACCCAGAATGACATTAAATACTATAATTACCATTTAATGAGATATAAGTTTATTCAGATGCTACTTTAACTTTCTGCCAAAATTCTTTCTTATTAAATATGATTACCTCCAGTGCTGATTGCAAATAAAAATGGGAAAACTAATGCAAAAATGTAAAGGCATATAAAAAATAATCCAGTAACTGAGCAAAGATAATTTTTAAAATATCTGTAGATAAATGTCCTCACTATGTATGCCATAAATTTGAATTATGTTATTAATTATAATATTAATACTAATTTAACATTATAATGAAATAAATTAGGAAAAAAATAGATTTCTACTTTAATAAAAAGAATATTTTTCTAACTTTTAGAAAAAAAATACATTAGATTATTATAATTTTCTATAAATGATAAGTGACTTATATAGATAAACAATAAATTATTTGAATGCTTATAAATTCAATTAATTTATTTATATCTGTAAAAAATATTTAGAGAATCACTCTTCATTATATAATAGTTTATTTTTTGGCATTGACAATCTACTAGATTGGACTTTCTATAATTAATAGATCATATTTAATTTTTATTTTGCAAGTGGTGGTAATTATAATCTATTCTTTTGAAATGAACCAAAATTAGTCTCACTTCGAAGCATGGATTTATAATTTGCTTATCCTGAACTGTATTTATCTTTTATATTTTATCTATTTAATTTTAAGACATTTAATATTACAAAATATAGGTATCTCTACCTGTTCCATCACCTTAATAATTAATTCTTGGTGTAGAATACTATTATTATACACTATAATTGAATTTTAATCTTAAAGATGTTGGTTATTAAGGTGATACCAAGAATCGAAACTCTTAAGCAAAATTTCCTCCATTATTAAAAGAAATATAGGTGTCTCTTCCTTGTCCGTCATTTAAATAAACGGTTGGCTTTTTTTCTGGAATAGAGCCAGTGTTCAATATTTTTGATTTCATAATAAAAAGATATTAATAAATGAATTATCGATAGAAATAATAAAAGAATTTTCAAAATGCTAAAACATCTATCACCTATACTTTATTTTATTCAGACTAAGAAATTTGTACAACAGATTCAACAGGCTAAATAAAAATTAAGAATATAATTAATTACCTTTCTACAAATTAAACACTCTTATTTTTCATTGAACCATTCTGTGGCACATTTAATACATAATCCACCATGTCCACAAGGCATATAAACTGCACAGCTTTCATTTTAATAACAATTAAAGCATTATGTATCTTTATCAGAATTAATTTCAGTAAGAGAATTACGATTACTAAATTTTGGTTAGTCTTGATCAGTTTTGTTCCTTTTAATATGTTATTATTCAAATTAAAATTATTATGGTTTTTTTGCTTATGATGCAATATCATTATCATTTGCTGGCAAAAAGTAAGTTTGGGATAATCTAATCTGATCTTAAAAATAAAATAAATACCAAATATTAAGGTAATTAAGTTAAGATTTATTCTTTACTTTTTATTAAATGATGTTTATGTTTTGAACTTGGAGAATTCAATTGATATCTTTATTAATTATCAGTATTAATATCTATATTACTTTCTGCTACTCTTGATTGTTGGATTTGAGATACAAATTAACTTTAATAATAAATAATATATAAACCTTAATGACATTCGATAATACAATGTATAGACAATAAAAACTAATGAATATATAACAGATAAAGTTATAGAAAGTGCATTATAACTATTTTTTCCAGTAGATAATTTAATTGTATAGCAAATCATACTAAATGTGGGAAGTCCTGAGATGCATAAGATTAGTAAATTAATCCATAATGATCCTATAACTAAACCTACTCAATATGTATACTCTACTGATTAAATGCTTCCCTATTAATTGGATCTCTTTCTTGCAAGAATGATGCTGCTTTACAAATGAAATCAAACAAAAAAATAGTCTAAAATATGCAAATTATAGATAAGAACATCCAAAGTATTGTAAATATATAAATCCATTCCCAATCTATCCATTAAATTTATTTTAAATTAATCATCATTAATTAGAGAACAAAAAAAAATCTAAATAAAACTGTCAACTAATATTAATTCTAAAATGTTACTATTAATATAAAGCTTTTATCGTTTTTATTTTTTAAATAATTATTTAGTGTCATAACAAACCAAGTAAGAGTGAAAATCAAATACATTAATATTGGATACTGAATTGGAAAATCTTTATTTTCTAAGAAATAAATTAAACATCCCTATAAAGCTTATAGAATTTAGTACATAATAGGAAATGGAGAGAACTCCCCAAAATATCTAAACGCAACAATATTGATTATTTTATATTTTTCTAAACAAATTTCATTTGTTAAAATTTTACTTATTATTATTAACTCCAATCCTAATGATTTATAGGAAATGTAAAATTGTTATATATAGAAGGGATATCTTATAGCTTAAATCAAAGGCGATATATGAATTAAAAAGTATTAACAATATTTAAAATATAGCTACTAAAATTTATATCTAAATTCTTTATATGAATTTGAATACATTAGTGATAATTGATAGTGCTGCTTTATTCTCAATTAACTAAATAGATTATGTTTGAGGTTATTCATCATAATCAAAATTACTTTCTCTTGGTGACTATGCTTATGATAATTATAATTAATTCATTTATTTTCTAATAAATTTAATATGAGAAGGTAATACCTTAGATTTTTTTTCACTTTGAGTACATCCTAAAAATTCATTCATTAGATGAGAATTCCAAATTATTAATTTTCTCAAACCACATAAGCAAATGATTATAGAGAAATTTTAAATTAACTTAACTAATTACATAAAGGAAAATAAATAGATTATAAATGTAAATGATTAATTTAATTTGAAAGAGATTTCAAGTTTAATATAACAATTAAAGCCATATTTGCCTTAATTTGAAAATTAAGAAATTAGAGAATTGGTATCCATTAGCTTTGCTTAATAAATAAATGATGAAAATTATGCATAAAAAGTATTTGATAGAACAACCTAATTATATTTAGAATAGTAATATTATTAATAATATAAATAAATTAGACATGCCTCCTTGACAGAAACATTAGACATATTATCATTATTGGTTTCAGGAAATTACTCAAAATAATTTTTTTAATAATCATTCAATTTTGTTGCAGCAGTATCATAAGCTCCTGATTTAAATGCATCATAAATTGGATTAGCTATGTTTATCTATGGATAAATTTCATAAAACACAAAATCCACTAATAAAGAAGTAGAGCAATCTTTAATTTTAAATTTCAAATAATAAATAGATCATTTTAAGTCAGGTGATCTTAAACATTTCTCTTTTGGTTTAATACTTGCTAGAATACAAAGAAAGGATATATATGATTTATTAGAAAAACAAAGTTTAGTAACTGAGATGGAAATTTAAGATTTAATTAGGTATATATATAATTCTTATATTTTAAATATAGAGTTGGCACAGGAATAGCATTATTTGGTAATGGATCACCTGAATTTTGGAAATTATTGGAAGAATAAGCTATAAAGAATATCCCAACAACAGAACCTTAAAATATTACAACCTTATTTATGTTATATAAACAATTTGGACATGGAACATTTGAGATTTTTAAACTCTTTGAATAATAATTCATTGAAAGATATGACTAATTTAATCACCTTATGAAATTACAAATGTTTTCAAGTTTTGCTAAAATTAGATACCCTTCTTCTGCTATATTTAAACTCTTTTTCAGAGATATTGTTGGTATAATTTAAAATGTTAATATTACAGCAGTTTAAATGTTAATTTTTGATTGTTAAAAAGTAAGAAAATAAATCTATATAATTTAGATATTCCCTTAGTTTCCTAAACAAGTTCAACAATTCTTTATTAATTTTATCTTAAAACATTATTAAAAGTTTAATCCAGTCATAAAGTCAAAACTCTATGATTCATTTTAAGAATAATAATTATTGACAGAGGAATTAGAAGTTGCATTATTAAAAAAAAAATGAGTATAATAGTAAAGCTATTTATATTTATAAAATTATATAAATAAACAATAACTACTTTCATATTGAATTAGTCTATGCACAGACCTAAACCTCATATAAGAGTAATGTAAGAGAAGGAAATGCTTGATGGATACAGTAGACTTTAGTAAATAGGACCATTCATAACTATACCTAAAACTGTTGAAAGGATACCAAATATGAAGAAAGTGTAGATTTTAGAGGATAGATACACTCAAATAGAGAAAGACAATAGATTATTATTAGAGAAGATTACAAATATTATGAATAGTTCAAACATTAAATTTGATAAACCAAAAAGAGTAAGTAGTTTAAATTCAAGAAAAAGAAATGAATTAGAGTAAATAAGAAAAGATAATTTAATATTATTTAGGCATATCACTACAAAAAAATCATAATATTCAAAATAATAATATGATAAGGATTGGAGTTAAACTAAACAATATTTTTATAATTTATCAGGTTAAAGACCCTCAACATAAAAAAATAAAGCACTTACAAGATCTTTTGAATTTTGATTTATTTTAGGAAAGTTTAAAAAAAAATAATTAATTTAATTTATTCCTGTAGATTATAATGAATAATTTGATTAGTTGCAATCTAATTAACAAATAAAAAATAAATAGAAAATCAAAATGATTATATATTTAACCATTTTAAATATTAATAGAGTTTTTCATTTCTCTTTATTTATTAAGCTACTTGTAATAATTATATTAATATATATATATTTATCTATTAAATGAGTGATTAAGAATCTTCTCACATTGCACTTATTGTTGTGTTCAGTATCTTTATTGGGATATACTTGTTTGTTTTGTTTATCATACACTGTTTTGGAAAGATAAACAATATCATATTTCCTGCTCCTACTCCTAAATATCAAGAATCTGATTTTTAAGACAACTTATAATATGCAAGCATTTACAATAAAGATGGTAATTTGGGTAAAACTAAAATAAACATAGTTAATGGTAAGCCAAATGATTATTCCTAAAATCTTGAAAAAATCAGAAGCATTCCCTATGTCTATCTAAAAAATAAATATTGGGAAACCAATTTATATATAATATATTTTCATGGTAATGCAGAAGATATGTAAGTTAATATATAATAGGTATAGGTATGCAGCTGTATTATTTATGGAATAATTAATGAAAACTATAAATGCTAATATGTTTGTTATTGAATATCCTGGCTATGGCATATATAGAAATGTCTAACCCACTTCTATTTTAATTGAATAAGATTCATTAGCTTTATATGATGAAATTAAAAATGAATTCAAATTAAATGATGATTAAATCTACATTTTTGGAAGGTATTCTTAATTAATATTTAAGATCTATTGGAACAGGACCTTCATTTTATTTAGCAAGTCAAAGAAATATTAAAGGATTAATATCTATGTCTGCTTATAAATCAATTAGATATATTATAGATGACTTTTGTTTTGGATGTGGTTGCATATTAAACATATTATGTTGTTTACCTCATTTTTTCAGAAATTTAGAGAGATCTCAATAAATTAAATGTCCTATTGTTTTAATTCATGGAGAAGATGATGCATTAATTTAATCACATCATTCTTAAGAAATCTTTGAAAAGTATAAAATATTATCATAATAATATAAGTCTTCCTTTGAATATTTAATAATAATCATATCTTATTGTGAGACCAAGAATGACTCATAATGAATATGATATTGAAGATGATATTGCATTTCCAATATCAGAAAGTTTTACTGATTTAAAACCAAAGAGATTTTGATCATTTCTTCTTTATAATAATTTTATTATAAATTCTAATTTATATCCTATGAATGTTTTTTAATTTAATAGAATAAATAGGATATCTAAAATTACAATTTTTAATATTATTCTTAAATTCAATAATTTCTTAGTACTCTTCAATTAAATTTAATAGATTTCTTAAATCATATTATATAAAACTGATAATTCCAATGAGATTAGTTAAAATATTATCATAAGTATAAAATTTATAATCCTATGTTTAGGAAATGATATTGGATGCATCCTATTTTAAAATATGTTTTATGATATAAATTTTCATTTTTAGTATATATCTATATTTTTATAGATGTATATAGGACTAGTTAAACACGTATGAAGTGAAATGATATATTTTTTTTGATGATCTTTAAATTCTTTTCATTCATTCATTAAATTTTCCCTTAAAGAATATAGAATTTGATTGATATCTAATTATTACTCAATTAGAAATATATAACTAATTAGAAAATCATTATTAATCTTCATCACTATTGACTTATTCTTCTGCTTCCTAAATTAATTAATTCCAATTTGTTTCACCTACTTCTGATTGGAATTATTATTTTTTTATAATATCTTCTTATTAAATCAATTCACCTTTTAAGATTCTTTTTAAGAAATCTCTTTCTTCATGTAAAATCTTTTTAACTATAATATTTATAATGTTTATACCTTTTTAAAACATTTCTTTTTCTTTAATATTTACTATATTATCTGGTTTTTCTTCTTCAATAACTTCTATTATTTCTTATGGTTGCCATTATTTTTTTTCTTATTCAAAATCAACTTCATCAACTTTTAATTTATAAGTAGGACTCATGACGTGTTATTGAAATTCTTTGACATTTTCTTAAGCATCTTCTAAAATTGTTAAATTTGATGTTGTTGCTTTTTCAACATTTATTCTATCTTTAGACTATAATAATCTTCTTCTTTTATCATTGAATTCATCTTTATCTAACATTAAACCAAGTTTAAATATGCATTTGTTTTTTAATTCATCATCTTCTCCAATTACTTCTTCAACTTTAGCTAATCCATTTGTTCCATGAGGACTTAAAGATGCTCTTCTTTTTTTATATTTTTCAGTCCTTTTTAATCTTGGAGGAATTCTTTCTCTAAATTCATTATTATCATTAGGCATCTAGATGTGTGGCAAACGACTCATCTAAAATTAGATTAAATCTTGTTATACTAAATAATCTTCAATATCCTCTGACACTTCAGTCACTGAGCCTAAACCAAAGGAACAACTTCTATTTGCACTCTTTTTACTTTTCCTAGATTTTTTTTCGATTCCAAAATCACTAAAACATTCTTGAGATCCTTTCCTTGAACTTGATGAAGATGATGAACTCATGCTAATTCTATAAATTTAAATCTTACCTTGTGCTACTTGTAAAAAATTGAGTATCCATGACAAAATAATTAAAATATTGACAAATATAAATGCCCAGATATTTCACATAAAAACATAGGTTCATTATCACTCTTAAAGATCTAATTAATTTTTTGATGACGCATTTTTTTATCAAAATCTAAATTCAATTTTTCCTATTTACTTTGTGTTATTTTAATAGTCCAAAGTAATTTTGTTTTAGTATTTGTATATGTACTGAATTATTATAATAAATATATATATATTACAAATATCAAGACTTATTATTTTATTCATCTTCTTCCATAGTCAAAAATTTAATTTTGATTAAGATGCAATTATTTTTATTGAATAATAACTTAAATATCAATAATAATATTACATATTTATTTTCAATAAGTTGAATATATAAAATTCATTTTTATAATCCATTGTATGATTTTCCAATTAGTAAAACGTTTTATTAGTAAAAATATATATAAAATAGTTCTTAAATATATTCTTAATAAAATAATATTCATAAAATCTGTGTTTTAATGTCATATATTATTATGTTTAGAATATATTATTGCTTATTGAGTTATTTTCATCTTCTGATATTATATTATTACACATCAATTATAATAATTTATATAAATCTCTTAATCTTATGATAAATAATCTTAAGGGTTATTTTTACATCTACTCATAGCCTTATACAAACATTTATCAGCATACCAAAGTAATAAATATTATATCTATTTACTAACTTTTTGATATGATAATCACAATTGTTGATGCAAGTACTTAGAAGATGGATGGTACAAGAATAATGTTGATAGTGAGAATTATTGTATAAATTAATTTATATATTTATAGGTTCAAGCTGTGTTATTGATATTATTTTGGTTGATTTTTAATTGTTTAAGAAAATTTAGAAATGGATTTCTAAATGTTGCTACATTTATATATTTTATTTCACTTTCTATTTGCTGGACTGAAACTGACTATTATTTATTTTATGAATTGAAGAAACCCTATACTAGTTATACAGCTGAAATCTAAACCTTATTATTAGGATTGGTGCTATTACAAGAATCTTAAATATGCTAAACAATATCTCTATTATTTTCGTTATTCTACTCTCTTTTTCGGTAAATATAATTTATACTAATATATAGAATATAGCTATTCTAAAATAAAATTGATATTCTTTCTTCAATTAGGATAGTATTAATACACATAGCATTTTAAATATTTTTGTTGTAATTACCATAAAAGAAAAAGAAATTAAACAATTAATTAGTAATGTTGGGTTAATAGTCTAAAAATTATGTTCCAATATAAAGTAATAGATAATCTTAACCAAATTAATAATNGTATATGTACTGAATTATTATAATAAATATATATATATTACAAATATCAAGACTTATTATTTTATTCATCTTCTTCCATAGTCAAAAATTTAATTTTGATTAAGATGCAATTATTTTTATTGAATAATAACTTAAATATCAATAATAATATTACATATTTATTTTCAATAAGTTGAATATATAAAATTCATTTTTATAATCCATTGTATGATTTTCCAATTAGTAAAACGTTTTATTAGTAAAAATATATATAAAATAGTTCTTAAATATATTCTTAATAAAATAATATTCATAAAATCTGTGTTTTAATGTCATATATTATTATGTTTAGAATATATTATTGCTTATTGAGTTATTTTCATCTTCTGATATTATATTATTACACATCAATTATAATAATTTATATAAATCTCTTAATCTTATGATAAATAATCTTAAGGGTTATTTTTACATCTACTCATAGCCTTATACAAACATTTATCAGCATACCAAAGTAATAAATATTATATCTATTTACTAACTTTTTGATATGATAATCACAATTGTTGATGCAAGTACTTAGAAGATGGATGGTACAAGAATAATGTTGATAGTGAGAATTATTGTATAAATTAATTTATATATTTATAGGTTCAAGCTGTGTTATTGATATTATTTTGGTTGATTTTTAATTGTTTAAGAAAATTTAGAAATGGATTTCTAAATGTTGCTACATTTATATATTTTATTTCACTTTCTATTTGCTGGACTGAAACTGACTATTATTTATTTTATGAATTGAAGAAACCCTATACTAGTTATACAGCTGAAATCTAAACCTTATTATTAGGATTGGTGCTATTACAAGAATCTTAAATATGCTAAACAATATCTCTATTATTTTCGTTATTCTACTCTCTTTTTCGGTAAATATAATTTATACTAATATATAGAATATAGCTATTCTAAAATAAAATTGATATTCTTTCTTCAATTAGGATAGTATTAATACACATAGCATTTTAAATATTTTTGTTGTAATTACCATAAAAGAAAAAGAAATTAAACAATTAATTAGTAATGTTGGGTTAATAGTCTAAAAATTATGTTCCAATATAAAGTAATAGATAATCTTAACCAAATTAATAATGGCGGCTTTCTACTTACCTAAATTAATAAGATTATGAAATCAAAAAAAGATTAACATAATAATTTAAAGAAAATGAAGTTATTGTATCTGAAGAAAACAGATTAGATACTGAAAGGTAAAATTTAGACTAATTTTATGAAAATGTCTTAAATAATATATAAATAGGAATATTTGTTCTAGATAACTTATAGACTCCAGTTAAATCTATTAATCCATATATGTCACATTTAGTACTAAAAGATGATCAATTAAGTGATGAATTTTTGAATTCTGAGATTTTTGATTTTGGAATTGCTTTTGAAGATAATTTAACAGTTTTACCTAAATTTCATAGAAGTAAAGACATAGGAAATTTTATCAAATTCATGTAAACTCTTGAGTAAGTATTTTTATTATTATTATTGTGCTTAGAGTATAAATTATGAAAATGGAAATATTGGATTAAAAGAAGTTTAATTTTTTCATAAATCTATGAAAATTAAAACTTTGATTGAACATCTAATACCCTTTTAACATTTTAAATTCAATTAATGTTAAAATTTAATAGATTTCTCACTTAAAATATATCTTAAATAAGGTAATTTAATCTTAATTTAGATAATCTATATACTTGTGTTGTATTATCCCCAATATTATAAAGACATAAACCTTAATTAATTTTATTTGTATCAGATCTTACAGATGAACCATTCATGACATAATTGAATTAATTTAATTAGAATAGTGATTTATTAGTTTCTGATATTTCTTAGAAAATTAAATAACCACTGAATTGTACAATATCAATGTTAGAAATTACAATTGTATTTATAATATTGAAATATAGCATTCTGTTCCATTTGAAATTTAGGAAAAGTTCTTAAATCCAGCTCTTGCAGGTTGTAAATTATTAATCAGTACTGCTAATGATATTTTAGACTATGTTACAATAAGGAAGAAAGGTAAATTAGAACTTTGTCAAATGGATGTTCATGTAAGGTAATTTATATAACATAAAAATAATTTAGAGAATTTATAACTGATTCAATAAATATAATAAAATAATAAGCATTATTTAGAGGATTATAGATCTAAGTTAATGTTCGGCATAATGTACCTGCTTTTTTTAGAACAGATCCTAATAGATTGAGATAAATCTTATTAAATTTATTAGTAAGTTCAATATAAGCAACAATAAATGGAACTATTGTAGTATCAGCTAGTAAATCAACTTTGATATAAGATCATATTGAATTAGTTATCAAAGTTCATGCATTAGAAATGAATTAATCTGTATTAAAAACAATTGATAAAACAGTAAGATTTTTTAAATCTTAAAATTTGTTAACATCAACAATGATAGATTTAGCAAATGCAGGTCGAAAATATAGTCAATCAATTTTAATAGCATTTTGTTTATCTCTTAGTATTTCAACTATTCCATTTGAATATCATTATGAAAAAAATGAAGATTATGAAGAGTTTTGTTTCATTATTTAAATATAAAACAAAAATCCAAACTTTTCATAACAATTGAATTTTAAACGATAATCTGCTCTTAGCATTCAACAATTAAATTTTAAATAATCTTATTAAATTGATCAAGGATTTAGAAGACATTAATCATCACGATAAAGTTTATTTGATAAAGCTAGCATAGCAATACAAGGATCGTTTGAAAAATAGAAATTTAAATAATAAGCATTATAGTAATAGAAATTATAATCATAATCCTAAATATTAGCTACTTAATCCTAAAGAAAAGATTCTGGAATTAAATTATCAACTTCTTTTGGATAATAAAATTAATCTCGTTTCATTGTACCAAGAACATCATAAGGTGATATTGATGTTGATTTTCTACCTACTTTTAAGACAATAAAATCTTAAGATCAAAGTAAAAAGATTAAATAAATGATTTCTCATTCTAAATCAGATATATCTATAGTATCAGAATAAAACTCTAAAGAATCCAAAGGTGAAAATGAGAGTTCCCATAATAGTTTAGATGTTGGTGTTCAATTAGATAAATTTTTATATAATGAGTCTGGAAAAATTGATGAAAAGGATTCTCCTTTAGTTATAATGTAATAATCAATCAATTATACTTACAATAATAATCTTACAGCTAGCAAAAGAGACTCAGTATTAACTTTTGGAGGAAGATCAAGTATATTCTCATCAATGAGATATTCGGCCAGCATTATGTAACCAAATGATTTAATTGACTGTTTTGAAAAGATGGAAAAAATTAAATAATAAAAGTATAATTAAAAATGCTAAGTAAATATTTATTATTTATATAAAGTGTCCAAAAATTTTGATTTGTGAATAGAATGATTTCGATTTATATGCTGTATCTCATTAACTTGGGAATATTGGGATGAATTTTGATTATACAATGTAGAGATCTTAAATACATGAAAAATTAAAAACAGCTTATGAGATAGAAAAGTCTTGTTGCAAAGGATATTAGTTAATATTCATTAGTGTAGAGTTTGTAGATGAAGAATTAAGTGAACAATGTAATTTAATAAAAAATATTAACTCTCAATTTAAAAAAGAAGCAAGAATTATAGGATTAATAGGATTTCAGGATGATGAGAATAGAATTGCAATAAAGAAGTTACCATTTCATGATTTCCTATCAAAACCATTGATGATAGATGCTTTATTGTTTATATTAGCAAAGTGGGTGAAATTGTGATTGTTAAATTAATAAATAATTTTATATAGTAATAAATGCCAATGCTATCAAATTACTTTAAGTTAAATCCAGAGACATATTAGCATTTTATTTTATGGAAATCGACAATGACCATAGTATCCTCATATTAGTGTTTTGACATTGTTCTAACCATAGCCCAAGCTCTAAATTATGAAATAGAAGGTTAAAAACTTGTTTTCATATATCGCATAATGGTAATTAAAATAACACACTTTTTTAGATCTAAGTATTTTTGATAATTGTTTTTCATATAGCAATGAGCAAATTAAAGAAAGAAACTGCTTTTTTAATTAATATAATTACATTGTTGAAATATTTCAGTCTAATAATTTTATGGTGTGAAACAAATTATGACTTAAATTATACTAATGAATATGATCAAAGAAGTTATGCATTTGAAATTTATGGAATTATGATATTGTTTTTAATTGCAATTGAGTCATAACTCTTTAAAAGTCTTATCATTTTGTTTTCATTGTTTTATTCTCTTTTTAGGTATGATAAAAACATTAACTATAGATTTCCTTCATTTAGTGACAATATATAAATAATAGGATCAACCAGAGTCATTTTTGGACATATTCTGATCTAATCTTTATTGATTTATAACTTATATCAAACTTAAAATACAAGTGAAACCTATATATCTAGAAACTTAAGCCCTTTGCTTACATAAAGGGCACTTCATATAAATACTTAGAGAGAGATGACAGAACCATAAAATAAAAAAAATAATATATAAGATATGGCAAATGATGATTATGAAAATCTAATTAATTTAAAACAATTAGAATAGGAGTATGAATTATTATTGATCAATTTTTAATGTGGAATCTACATTTTTGAAAATCCTTAATAACCAATAAAAATAATAAATTCATTTATGTCCCATATTGTTTTGATCAATGATTAATTAAATCCAGACTTGACTCAATTGGAATTATATGATTTTGGTTTGCTATCTGAAGAATCATGTATCATATTGCCTAGTTTTCATAGAAGTAAAGACATCAGTAACTTTATTAAATTTACATAAACTCTTGAGTATTAATATATTAATGTATTTGAACTTAGAACATATAGTTTGATAATGTCGAACCTGAAGAAAAAAAAGAAATATAATTTTTTTGTAGGAAAATGTAAATGCAAACATTAATAGAACATTTGCTTGCATTTTCACATATAAAATATAATTTAACAAATTTTGCATTAGATTTTTCATTAAAAATTTATATGAAAAAAGGTAATTTCCATTTAAATATAATTAGATAAACTTTACACTCAAGTTATTTTGAACCCTGTTGTAATTTCAAATAAACCTTAAATTCTATTATATATTAATGATTTAACTGAAGAACCATTTATTCTATAACTCTAATAATATTTAAAAAATAGTGATGATATTATACAAACTATTTCATAGAAAATCAAAGAACCTTTAAATTGTACATTGTCAATGTTGGAATTAGTCTAAGTAATATATATCTCTTAATATAATTATAGAAAGAAGTTAGTCAAGATTTATAAACTAAATATATTGATCCAGCATTAGCAGGTTGTAAACTATTAATTAGTACAGCAAATGATATATAGGATTATGTCACAATGCATAAAAAAAATAAATTAGATAAAAATTTAATGGATATTCATACTCGAGAATTCGTTTCAGATTGTTTAAACATAATAAAAGCTTAAGCTTTATTTAGAGGACTTAATATATAAGTACATATTAAATAGAATGTTCCAATGTTTTTAAGAACTGATCCAAATAGAGTTAGATAAGTTGTATTAAGTTTGTTAAGTAATAATTTGTCTATTCATAAAATATAGTAAAATCAATTTAAGTTACTGTCAATGGTAGCATTGAAATTTCATGTTAAAAATCACCATTATTGACAGATCATATAGAGATTATAATTAAAGTTATGGCTATTAATATAAATGAAGGAATTCTAGATAACATTGAACAAACCATTAAACATTTAAAACAATAGACTTTAGTTAGTAAATAAGTGACAGATATTGTTGCAACATCAAAATAATATTCTTTTTCTATTCTTACAGCATTTTATATTTCTATGGCTGTTGCTATTATGCCTTTTGAATTTAATTCAATAAGGACAGAAGAGGGTACATAATTTTATTTTATTTTATTAATAAAAAATGAGAATCCAAATTTCAATAAACAATTAACATAAAAAAGATAATCTGCATTAATTGCAAATAAATCTTAATTTCATTAAAATTTTGGTTAAAGTAGCTAATTTAAAAGACATTAATCATAAAGATTAACAGAAATTAGTAGAATTTAAGTGTAAGAGAAACTTAAAAAAATGAAAAGAGAATCTTAAGAAGAAACTATATCAGGTAAAATGGATACTTAAATACCATAATTTGGATAATCAGAATTATCTGATAATTAATAACCTTGTAAATCTTACTCTGTATCTTAAATCTCAGAATAGGAAGATTCATAACAAAGTTCATCATCAGATTCTAAGGATGAAATGAATAAAGCTGAATGTGATGGTGATATATAATCTAGTAAATCAAGTCTTTAAATAAATGATAAAATAGAGAAAATAGATAAACAATAAAAACCTTCTTAATTTCTTGATACTATTATTCGTGTTAAAGAACCAAAAGCAAGAAAGGTTTCAGTTAATTTTATCTAATCAAGACTAAGTCCTTAAGTCTCATAATAACTTAAATCTAAATAAAGAGATTCATTACTTACCTTTGGAGGACGATCATCTGTATATTCTTCAATGAGAATTTCTTCAGTAAATTTAGGTCCAAATGAATTATTAGATTGTTTTGAAAAGATGGAAAGAATAAAATAATAGTAATTTATATATAAATGTCAAGTAATAATATTAATTCAATTTTATTTAGTGTCCAAAGATATTAATTTGTGAATAGAATGATTTTGATTTATATGCTATATCCCATTAATTAAGTAATCTCAAAATACCTTACATTTATACAATGTAGAGAATGCATATTGTAGATTAATTAAAGAAACAATTTTCATAATTTAAAACTTGTTGTAAAGGATATCATATAATTTTTGTTGGAGTTGAATTTGTAAATGAATAATTTAGTACAGATTGTGCTAATATAAAGGCTGTACTATCAGAATATTAAAAAGATACAAGACTAATAGGATTGATTGGATTTTAAGATGAAGATAGTAAAGTAGCAATAAAAAAGTTACCATTTCATGATTGTTTGTAAAAACCTATAATGATTGATGCTTTATTATTCATTTTAGCTAAATGGGTCAAATTGTGATATATTCATTTGTTTTAGATTCTTTATCATATATTTTAATACTTATTATATGAAAATATAATCCAATAACAATTAAGATTATATATAATGTTTTTATTTTATATAATTATTTCATATAGATTTCTTTATTGAATATCAGTTGATTTATTTAATAAATATATTCTTCTTCTAAATCTTCATATGGATGGATATTGAAAATATTAAAATAGAGTATAATATGATAAAAATTAGCATTAATATCAAATGAAGATAACCACAATATATGAAAAATCAATATCATAATTACAGATACAATTATTTTTTATTTTATTTCACATCTTGACTTCTTTTAATCCATCTAAAATGTATACAAATGCTGGGGCAGCTTATCCTTCTTTGTAATAACCAAGAACTATGTGATTTTCCATATCATATGATTCAGGACAGTAGCTAAACAATAGATTTCTACAGATTACAATTGAAGATCATTGAAATTAGCAGAAACCCATTTAATGAATTCGCCAGCTCCCTTTTAGAATGGAGCAACTCTGTTTGGTTTATTTGCTTCTAAATAAGCCTTAACTTTTTTGGCATAAGTTTTGAAATAAGTAACATAATCAGCTTTGGTGAATTAGGTTTCAGCATATTTAAAAGCATCAATGATGTTATTAACTTTTTATGCTTAATCATCTACACCTGCATCTTCTTCATCTTCGTTCTTACCACCAAAATGACCTCCAGCACCTAAAAATAGAATATTAAAATATTTTACCAACATCTACATTGAGAGCACCTTTGACAATATCTTGAGATTAAACTTCACCAATAACTCCTTCAAATTTTTCTTCCATATTGAAACTGTCAGAAACGATTTCTTCTCCACTGAATGCATCAACGTAGATCTTCATATAAGTTATTCTAATACCTTCATTTAATTTTTATCTAAAAAAAAGATTTAAATTAAAAGTCACCATCAATTATGTTTTATATTAATATATTTATCAGTTATAATGTATTATAATAATCTCTATTCATGTTTATGCTTTCAAAAAACCAGAGCCAAGATATTACTAATATCCTTGAGATGATTATCATTATTAATCATATCTACCTCTTTATTATTAATAATCACCTAATCCATATTATAATTAACATTAACCATCCATCTTATTATTAATAAACTTAACCATCATACTATGAATGACCATTATCATTTTCTTAGAATACAATCCTCATTATCAGTTTTTTAACCAATCAAACAAATTTATGGAACCTTCACTATAGAACTTTTCCAATTATTTTGGTGGAATTTAGAATAATTACACATTTAGAATATTTAAATTTTCTATTCGACTAAACTTATAAATCAAATTTCACTGATTGAGAGAACTCAAAATAACTTAATCAAGTATTTAACCAAACTAAATGATATATAACTATATAATTAGAATCATGTTGAAATAGATTGAAGAACTAAAAGGAAATCGGTTTTCATTTGGTTTTAATTTATTATAATTTTATTTTTAGTTAATTGATTCTTATTTTAAGGTTTCTAAGAATTAGACATAAAAGTCAAGAAATTCAACAGTTTTTATTTTACGTTAGAGTATCAAAAATCAATAGTCACTCAAAGAATATGGATTGATACTTCTATAATTTCTAATATATTAATATATTGATATTTTAATTACCTCGACTATAAACAAAATAATTTTTAATGAATTAATTAAACTTATTAAATAAATGAAGAAAATTATGAGAATTAAAAAAAGACCTTTTAAGGAATCAATATATGTTATGATTAAATAATTGTGATATCAGAAACAAAATTACTTTTTAAGACATTTTATAGATTATAGAATGGAATCATATGTATTATTAAATTAAAATTGAAATCAATATAATTTTGCTTATGTGTCTCATTAGATATATTATAGTATATATTAAATCAATATTAAGGTTACTGATGTTTTCCCACTAAAAATTGTTCATCAGGTGAAAGTTGATTATTGTTTATAATAATCTTATATGGAGTTGTATTATTGTTTAATGATAACTTTGATTATTAGAAAGGGGAGGGTGAATTCTATATTGGCAATCCTCTAGATGGAGATATGATTTCTGGTAATTATTATTATTATTATTATTATGAAATATCCTCTTCATCCTCATCTATAGTTTCAAATTTAAAAGATGCTAATATTGGTATCATTCCAATTAAGTTGACAGGAGCCAAAAAACAATAGGTTCTTGTAATAAAATCAAGTGGCATACATTCTTAACTTTCTTTGATATCACCCTAATATATATATAAAATGAATAAATTACTGATTAAACAAAATAAACAATTAATAGATAATTTAAGATAAGGAAACACAAAACTAAAACACAAACAAATTTAAATGCATTTGTTAATTATTCTCTTAATTTAGGAAATAGATTAATTGCTACGTTAAGAACAGTGAAAAAGAGTAATGTTAAAATATTAGCAGAGATTAATTGAATTTCTAAAGATATTGCATTGATTGCACAATCATTATCAATTTTAGTCATTAATAAAAGAATCACAACAGCAGTATTTGAACATATATTTGTTTATCTATTAGAGAATTCATGTTTGAACATCATAATTAATAATACATCTAATTGAGTGATTATTGATATTATTATATAGTATTTTACTGATAATTATCCAATACTGCATCTTCCCTAAATCATTTATTACAATGAAAATAGTAACATACATACAAAAACTAAAATATTCAATCCATAAGTAATAAAGTATTCAATTCTTACAAAATGCTTTTAATAAAGTATATAACAGGCTGAAACTACATTAAATAGTAATAAAATGATTCCTCCATGATATAATGTACTAATATAAGTAATCTCTGATAATTAACAATCATGATCAATATTTAATAATTTAATTCCTTCATATCCAATTAATAGAATGAATAAGGCATTTTTTATATATTGAAAGAATACATTCATGAGTTTATATCTAAATTGATTGTCTTCTAGTTACAACACTTCCATTTTAATTTAAACACAAAAATCAAATAAAATAAACAATCAATTCACTATCGTAAAATTTTTTCTATCTTTTCTTGTGATCAATGGAATCAATTTCTTTTTTTTCTCTAAATCAGTTGTCAAACAGGCTAAACTACTAACTCTATGGAAATTATGATGTTTGCCTTCATTTCTTAAATAGAAATTTTCAATCCTTTCAGATTCAAAACGATATCTGGATTATTTTATTGACTCAAAATCTTCTAAATCTCTATGATAAACATAATTTGTATTTAATTTTTTGCTATTCGTTTAATTGGCCTTAACCCATAATCTTTGTAACTATTCTTATTTTTATTATTCTTCTTATGTTCTTTTTGTTTCTCTCATTTTAATAATTGAATCTAAGAGTTGTTTTCTCTATTACTAAGTTTCTAGATTTCTTAGAGCCCTAGATATTTCAGTAGAGTCAAATGGATCATTCAAATTTTATAGTTACTTGCGTACTTTGAATAAGCACAATTATCTTTGTTATTAAATAAGTTGTTTTGAGAAGTTAGAAGGAGAATGGGATAAAGGTACACTAAATTTCATAAATAAATTCAATATTAATATAAATTCACTGAAACAAAAGCATAAATAAAACTGCAAATTGTAATATTCCTAAATATATTCACCTTTTATCCTCAAATATAATTAACTATCTGTAAATAATTCAAATTAAACCTATCGTCAAATGAATGTCAAACATTATTAGGATAATAAACTCTATCCTAAATTCATAATATATATCAAAATATCTAAACAGAAATTGAATTCTCTATCTAAAGCAAATATATTATAGTAGTTATATTTTTTAATTAAGATAATTATATCATTTGGATAAACAATTTTTAAAAGAGAATTTACAACTATTATTTTGAATAATTGATGATATAATTATTATATAGTCTTCTCTTACCTATTAGATAATCTAACATTTATTAAATCTATTTATTTCTATATAAAAATGTCAATATAATATTGGAAATGTACATAAATTTTCTCTTTTATCTTAATGTATTCATATATCTGCACATTGTAATCCTACCTTTACCATAGATAGATTAACTGAATTTCCATTCTTTCTTTTTCATTAAATTCTATTTCTTGATCAAAAATATACTGATTTATATTACAATTATTTTCTCTTATTCTAGTATATATATCTAATAAAAGTTAAAATAATATAATCTTTATAAAATTCTATTAATTTCACTATACTATATAGAAAATAATAATAACTTAATGATTATTTCATTAATTTAATTCTTATATTCTATCACGAATAAAAATTCAAAATTTAATGAACGAAATATAAATATATATGTTATAAATGAGAAATATCAAAGATTATTAAATTTTATTAATAATATATAAAAATTTAACAACTTTATTGATTTTAGAGTAGTAATATCTGATTGAATTTCGATATATTTTTATAATATTATAATTAATTGAAAAATTTGCCGCAAATATTGTATTATTATATGATAAAAATATGAATGGTTAGTTTGATTTTTCGAATAAACATTATGAATTTGTCTAATATATATTAGGTGATAATTTGATAATAGAATTACTTCCAAAATTCAAATATTAATATTTTTAAAGATAATCTAGACATGATTAGAAAACAATTCTCTAATTATCTCATCATAAAATAGGCCTTTAATTTAGATTAGAAGTATACTTAAATTGACATTTTATGAGAAAAAAGAATGAATTATTAATTAAATATATATTTTCATTTTACAACCTATGGATTAACCAAGACATATATTCAAAAGAGTAAAAGAGCGTTCTATAATGGATGCTAAATAAAGTGTTGATGAGTGGCGAAAATTATTCAAGAACGGTGAAATAGATTAAAATGGTCACAAAATTAAATATAGTCTCAAATAAGCAGCAGAAAAAGTTGGTGTACCTAAAAAGACTTTAGAAGATTACCATTAGTTATTAAAGTAAATAAAAATTAGTTATCATTTAGAAAAGCTGAATAATATATTGACTTAAATGAAGTGGGAGATAAAAAGATGGGCTATTTACGAAGTTTCTTAAAACTTTAATAATAGCAATAACAAATGTAATCAGAGATTTTTTCAGATGAAGAAAAAAATATAAATACTGAATATATGGAAGAAGAGAATGAAGTGTAGCAATAATAATAATAATAAGAATAATAATTCGATTTTGAAGATATGATTGTGGATGGAGATATATATAACTATAATATGGATGAATAATTTGAGTTTGTCTAATAACATGTTTAAACGGTACTGATCGACCATCAACTAAATTATGATAAGAAACTAGATTTTGCATACAGTGATTGCGATGATTGTGAAACAGATGATGAATTTGATAATGAATGAATCATTATATATCATAAATTTCCTTTCAACCCTACAAATAATCCATCAAATCATCCATAAACTATCCACCAGGTTTTTGTTTGTGTTCAATTGCTGCTTTCAATGCCTCCTAAAATACCTTAACTACATTTGTTCCATCTGCTGAAGATGTGTAATATATAGGAAGATTGTTACTCTCTGCAAACTTAAATTTAGTCTCAGTGACACTAGGATCCACTAAATGTTTGATATTTTAATATACAATCTATTTTATTGGCAACCAATAAACAAGGTATTGTAGGACAATTTTATCTCATCTCTTCATACCATTTCTTTAAATTTGTATAAGTAATTTTCCTTGTTACATCAAAACACTTATGAAAATATACAATTTACTAAAATACAAGCATGAGCACCATAATAATATGAAGCATGAAGAGTCTAGAAACATTCTTATCCAGCAGTATCCCATAAGTCTATATTTATTAACTTATACTTAATACCAATTTTATAGGTTTTCCCTTCAAACTTTGCATTATGTCGATACATTGTTAATGCATATGTAGATTATTACCTTTCTTCATAATCATCTAATAGAAATCTTTCAACTAATTTTGATTTTCCAACTGCTGAATCACCTAGAAGAATGATTTTCAAATCAGCTTTAGAGAATTCATTTTCATCATATTCCCTTACCTTTCTTTTCATATATTCGAGAATATTTTCTTAATAATTTAATTATACATACTAAATTTAGAGATAATTAAATCTTTAGATCTCTAATCATAATTTATAAAATAAGTAATATTTTATGTATATATCTTGTTTCTACTATATTTTATATGAAATAGATTAATATAAATAAGATTTCTTAATAATAAAATATTTGAAAATATATTAATATTCATATATATTCTCATATCTTAAATATTAGATAATTAGATTAAATGAGATTGTAATATGTATATAATATCAATAATTAATGTTATAAAATATATTTACATTACTATTTGCATTATTAGACTTATTTGTTTTGTACATTCTACATTATTACTTGGATGAATATTGCTCTTAGATATCGACACTTAATAAAGTAATAGCTATTTTATCTTCTTTTATACCAGGTAAACTATTATGTTTACAATAGCCATAAAAAATATTAAATGTTCATTGATTTTAAAACCTATTCAAACTAGTATGCAATTTGGATTTTTACCTAATTTATTAACAAGCAATGCTATTTTAAATTTTATTTTAAGTATGATCATTAGATTAAGTATTATTGCTTTTGTAATTGTATTTCCATTTTCAATTATGTTAATTATGAAATTATCTAGTTTCCTTAATTTTATAGGATTGATAATCTCTATTTATTTATTAATTGAATTGTCATGGAAATCTGGAATATATTTTTAATATAATCTAAAATATGCATAATTGGCTTCAATAATTCCAGGAATAATATTTATATACTATTTACTAATTAGTGATGGTATTTTATGCAAATTATCAATATTATTACCTATTCTATAGTTTATTATTACTGAAAAAGGATCTCTTATAACATCTTTAATGATTGGAATCTTTATGATGTAAAAGTCTATTTTGATGATTTACATTATTTAAAGTTTATTAATATACTATATTATCTTTGGAATTAAAAATACATTCACACGTATATTAATTGGATTAATTATATCTTGCAGCATTGATATTAAAGAAAATAGCATGACGTAGATTCTATATTTTAGTATATATATATTGACTTTGATTAAAACAAGATTTAGATAAACAAAATCTGATTGATTTTCTAATATATGTTCATTACAACATTTTATTAAAAAATATAAAAGGTTGTGAATAATAATATAATCTTTAAAATAATCTATAATTTAAAGATTGTTTAAGCATTTGAAAATGAAATGATTAATATTATATAAAATGAAATATTCTAATTCATTTTGATTATGCTGAATCTCCAAACTTGTTAATATAGAATGGATAAATACTGTAAAATAAAATATCACATAAAGTACGCCAACACATAAATCTATTATTGATACTATCAATGCAAATAAGCTAATTCCATCATCACCACCACCAAATCTAGAATGTAAACCAAAGACCCATGATCCAATGCTAGAATTAGTAATATACATTACAAGAATATATAAAGACCTCTGCCAAATAAATTATCTATTAATCCAAATCCATCTTGTATCCATTTTACTTAAAATTCAGATGGCAATAAAACCATCGATAGTATCCTTAATATTTTTGAGATTATAATATTACACCAAATTGAAACAATTAAATCCATTATTGACTGTTAATTCAGAGAAAAATCCCCAAACTGCTACAGCTATTGTTAATGCTGCGACTGCAAGAGTTGTAAATTTTGTCACAATTGCTTTGTCAAATGCCATTTATTATTATAAATATACTTATTTTATAATTAATTGCTGAAATCAACTTTATTCCTTATCACCTTTTTTTGCCTTATCTGCTTCAGCAGCAGCCTAAGCCTCAGCAGCTGCAGCTAATTTAGCTTCTTCAATTGCTTTTCCACATAGTTATATACCTATCATTGTATAATCACCTTCTAATCATTTAATAAGTGTTAAATTACATTAAGAAATAATATATTCAGATTAAGCTTTTGTCCTTATCCTAATAATTTCAAGATCATTCTAAATGATATTAATAAATTAATACATCAGCACTTCTTAATTCTCTTTGAATACATTTCTTAGTAACATTCCATAAATCAGCAACTAAAGCAGACATATGAACAGCTTTTTCATAAGTTATATTTTTTTCTGATCTTTTTAGTGGAATACCTTAAAAAAAATAACTCTTGTCTTATTACAATCTGAATTAAATATCACAAAACCATTTGATCCTTCTACAGTTGATAATCCTTTTAATACTTCATCGACATTAATATCATTTATTGGTTGCTATTGTAAATAAATATGATAAGTTACCATCTTAAAATTTTATATTATAATTAAATAAATTAATAATCTATACAATCTGAAAACAATAAATATAAATTTGATTAGACATAATTTAGCTGTTTAATGTAATTAATAATTATTTTTAAGATGAAAGAAAAAGCAACACTTACTTAAATATGAATATAACAATATATATTTTATTTCAAATAATAATAATGGATCACTCTTAATATAATTTTATTAAATATACTCCAACGAATATACTTAAGAATAAACTAGCAACTTATAATTCATTTAGTTTATATAAGATGTTTTTCTAAATTTCTTTGATTTCTTAATTCAATTTTTCGTCTTATACATTCTAGTTTTAAAGATTTTCATCAACTTTTTCTTAATTATTTTATTAGAATATAGGATTTAGTATACAAAGTTATTTATTAATTTCTTATAATTCCTAATTCCTTTGTAAAATTTATTAATATTTATAAAATATTGGGTCTTTTCTATCTTGAGATTAATCAGTTTAGAGTTTTTTGATTTATTATTATAATTAGTTTAATTTTCCTTCCTATTCTTGAATTTTATCTTACTTTTATTTTAGTTCAAATTATAATTCTTTAATTTAATTAGTTGATTATTAATATCGTTAATCTAAGTTATCATATTGATATTAAATATCTTGTATTTATTCAGATTCCAATACTTCTAAAAGGTCGAGCTATTTTTTTTATGCTTTTATCTAAAATTAATTAATATTTTACCTTTTAATGTAATTCTTCAATTTATTTTACATTTTTTCTTTGATCAATATCGTATCTCTATATTTCTTATTTCAATTGATTAATTTCAGCTTTAGATTATTGATCAATTATATTCATCTATTTAATTTTATCTTCATATTGCTTTATTTTTTAAGATAAGTTATTATTTATTAAGTAAACAATATCATAATAATCTGGTTAGTCTTATAGTGATGAACTATCTTATTATTTTAAAAATTTTAAAAGTGCATTAATTAATTTTCCTACCGCTCCAATTTTTTGTTTAATTTATTGATCATCTCTTTTTAAATTTTATGTGTTATTGATAAAATTCTAAAATAATTGAATTTTTAAATACCATCATATCATTACATTTACCAAATATATCATAGTCTAAAACTGGTAAGCTATTTATTTCATTAATTTCTTGATTTGACATTTAAAATATTTATTTTTTTAATATAATTATTAATCATAGCATAATTTCAATTTCATCAATTTAATCTGCATTCTATTTATCCAAAGCATCTATTTAAATTATTAAATTTCCCTCATTAAAATCATTATATTATAAATTATATCTTTATGACTATTAATTATTTTTTTTTATCCTCTTAGAATTATTATCCATCTTTTTTTATTTTTGACTATAATAATATTGTATACTTTCATCTGATTACTCTTTAACTTCTTCATCTTTAACTTCTTCATCTTTATCTTAATCCTACAAATGACTATTTTCTAAATCTATTATTTTATTGAATTTGCATTTTTATTTCTTCCCTTTTATAAAGTTCATTTATTCCATATTAATAAAAGGAGAGAACTCAAGATTCTATCCTTTTAATCTTAAAATTTATGATTGATTCCACACCTTCCCAAATTCACAAGTATACAACTATGCTTCTTTTTCATTTTTTAAAATAACTACACTTTCAATATTTTTACGAAATGCATTATTTGTCCAATTTGCAGAACCAGTCATAATAATTTAATCATCTATAACACAATATTTTGAATGCATTAAACAAAGTTATTTTTCATATACTGCTATTTTTATTTTCTCTAAAGAACTTTAAATCATCATCAAAAGTGTAGACTTTACTTTATTATCATCATTACTAGAATTAGTTACAATTTAAATATCTCTTCCATTTAATGAAAGGTCAATTAAAATATTGACCAATATTTTATGTGAAATCTAATACATGCATACAATTAGTTTTTTTTGGCATTATTTTAAAAATTCAACATAAATATGAAAGTTTCTTTTATTTGGAAAGAACAAATGTTAAATCTCTTCTTTGTTAAGTTTTACTTTATTTTAATCTACTCCAATTTTATCCATTTAATTATTAAATTAATTCGTTTAAATTTAAAATATTCCATGAATTCAATTAAACTATAGAATATAGTCATTTATATCATAGGCGGTCTACTTTTAAGTTTCATATATTAAATAATATGATAATAAAAACTATTAAATTCTTTTAAATATTTTAGTATTTTGTATAAATTTTATTTTAACTTTAAACTTCCAAATAAAATACCTTAATATATATATAATCCTTATATCTATATTATATTTAGTATTAATATATAAATAGATGTAAAATAAAGGTAATTGTATTAATTGTTTCAATTAATTTTAATATGAATTAATATAATATTAGATCTATGACTATTTTGTTACAGTAACATAATATAGAAAAAGTGGTTCAGAAAATTGAACATGATTGCTATGAAAGAAATTCTATTAAATAGAAATCAGAATAAGAAGATTCAGATTTCTTTTTTTCTAAGCCAACTAAAAAATCAAATGGTTATTAGAGTCATAGATAACCAATGAGTGCTCGTAGTTTATACTTTACTCCTATGAAATCTGTAAAATAGAATAGATAAACAAACTTATAAAAAGAATTCAATCATTTTGAAGATGGAATTGAATCTATTGATAGAGATTAATCTAATCTTTTAACAGTTATTCTATAGTTATAAGACCAAATTAAACAATAAAAAGAATAAATAGAAAATTTGAATTAAAAATGTGCAATGCTTGAAGCAGAAAAGGATGAAGCATTAAAACCAAATATTGAATAAATTACAATTACTGCACATCTGCTTTAATAAAATGAATAACTTATGTAATAATTAGCAAGATTAAAGAAAAAATAATGATTAATTTGTTTAAAATCATAAACCTTTATAAAATACTATATACCATTCATTTATTGCTTCTTAAGCAGCTTATCTAACTATTCTTTTATGATAATTTAAATATCTTTTAAATAAATTAATTCCTATATTATATAGATCTAAATTATATTTAGCTTCCTCAAAATTATTCATCACAATATTAATTAAAGTATATAAGACTTTGATATCATTAGTTTCTATTTTAGCCAATTATGCAATTACTTTTAAGTTCAGTAATTTACACCAATTAACAATTAAATTTAGTTATTTAAGTTAATCAATTTTTTTATCATTAAAATGTTCAATTATTAGTTGTAACAATTCTAGATTAACTAAATCATTAATGAATTCTTCATCTATTTAATTTATTAAATAATTTATTGTTTGTTTATGATTTATTTGTTTAATTATTTCAACTATTGATTTTTGTAAAAATGCTTTATTTTAAATATCTTTATGTTTTATGACTTCACAAATTATTTATGGATGACTCTAAGATATTTCTTTTAATTTTTCTATTGCTTTTACATTATTTATTAAAATCTAAATATTCTAATTAATATAATTACTTATTATTTAAGCAATACTAAAAATAGTTTCATCTAATTTAATTTATAATCATTATATTATATTTCCATTATTGATATTTAAGGAAACTCTAAGTTTAATTCTTTTTGATACTTTGATAAACAAGAGCTAAAAATATTAAAATTAATAATATACTAAATAACTTTGTACACATATTTTTTATTTATTTATATATTTGTCTATATAAATTCTTATTTATAAATAATTTCTAGAATAGATTAGACTAGATTTTCATTTAATTCTTAATCCATAATTAATGGAATATAATAATATAATTGCTCATCTTCAAGATTAAGTATAAATTCCAGAGTCATTTATTATATTATTTTTTAACAAATTGGAAATTATTGAAATATGAATCTTATTAATTATTTTATTAATTTATTTTTTATATTTTTACTTAAAGGATTATATATTTGATTGATTAATAATTAAGCTTAATCTTATCTTTATGATTACAGTATTAAATGATTATCTAAATATGATTTGAGAGCTGATATTTACTCTTATTTAATTTAATAATTCTAATTACTAATTATATTTGATGTAAATTATGAAAAATGATCTTGAATATTATACAAAGAACATGTTAAACTATAATCATATAATAATTTATTATTTTTTTCCCATAAAGTAAGTAATTATTAATATTACTTAATATCAACAATACCAATTTTAGAAAAATAATCTAAAATACATTATTATTCTATAAGTTCCCTTATATTGATTTAGTTAAATAAAATTGATTCTAAATTACTTAATTGATTAGAATAATATTTCATTATATCAGTTAGACATTTTAGGGTAAGTATAAAAACATTTTACACTTTATGATTTATTCCTTATTATAAAGTATCATAGAGTTTTAATTTTAGATTGTTGTCTAATTCAGAAATATAATCTTTATTATATTTTTTATATTCTTCAATTGTATAGATTACATTCTCTAATCTTTTTTAAGTAACATTAATATTTTTAGTATCAAATTTTTTATTAAATATTTGAATAATATCTTTAAAAATCATCTCATCATTATTTTAAATCAATAGTTTTAAAAAATTGAAATATATAAATCCTTATTAAGTTGCAGGTATTTCTTCTATTGTTTTCATAGAAATTTTTTTAATTTTTGCTTTTACTTTAGAATACTTTTCATGATTACAAATTTCTTTTAAAGTAATTGGAATTAATAAAACTACATCATCATCCATGATAACTTGGTCTGTAAGTTTTTAGATAGATTCAAAAATCTCTTCAATTTATAATACAGTTATTTTATTTTAATTTTTAATTATCCACATAACACTTTTAAGTGCTGAACCTTAAGCTCGATCATAAGCTGATACAATTTTATCTTATAACAATAAAATAGAATCATCTAGTAAAACTTCACTAAAAAGACATTTATTTAGTATATCTTCAATTTCTACTTTTTTAATTTAAAATCTAATTAATTATTTAATTATACCTTGGATCTGCTTTTTCATTAAATTCTATAGGATAATAACAATCTAAAAACTCAAAAATTTCTCTTTTATATTAAATTCCTACTTTATTTTCTTATAAAATTGCATCACATAATTGAAATGCAACTAGAATATTTCTTGGATCCTTTTCACCAATAATACTCTAAAGTATTGCTGAAGCAATTTCAAATGTAATAGGATAGATAAGAAATATTTGATATAAATTGATTCTGGCTTCTCTTGAAAATGAGGGTATTATTATTTATTTATTCTAAATCATTTTAATTAGTTATGGATGAATGTTTTTTTAAGATTTACTCAATTTTAGTAAAATATATGTTGTATCAAGTAAAGATTGAGGATCATTTAATTTATGTAAGAAAAATTCAATTAAAAATGTTGATTCTTCTTGATTAACATTGATTAATTCTAATTATTCTCTAAAATTGTGAGTAGCCTTTGCTCTTATTTAATCATCTTTTGAAGTCATTTCATTTTACAGTTATTTGAGAATATTGAGCATTAATTAAATAATATAATCATAGAAAAAAATCCTTTGGAAATTTATGGCTATTTCTCACTTTAATCCTTACTCTTTCTTCTGAGTTTTATCTACTATTGCTATCTCGTTACTTATGTTCTTCTTGAAACTTTTTCTTCAATTCTCCTGTAGTTAAGAGTAATAATTCCAATATATTGTTATTTTTATGTTTTTCTAATTCCAATTTTATATTATTATGCTACTAGACTTGATTATCTTTAAAAAATCTTCTTAATGGAATCATATTTGGTTTATTTGCTTATTATAATATTTCTTATGAATCATTAATTCTACTTGAGATTGGATATTTAGTAGCAGATGATTACTAAAATTATTGATAATTTAATTACACGATTATGAGATGAATAGACTACTTTTTCTTTGAATCCATTCAACATTTATTATGATCTACTAGGTTTAACATTTCTTGGAGTACTATTGAAAATATTAAAAACTTTAATTTTCTCATTAGAGCGACATTTTTCTGCTGAAGATGGTATTCGAAGTGGTTTCTTATTATAAAGTGATATAGAACGAAACTTAGAAATCTCCTCTTTTCTTGTTTCTTCCATGTCAATTGGTTTTAATGCTGGTTTTGTTTCCGTTTGTATGTTCCTCTTTACATAATTCTTTATTATAATATATAAGATCTACATGCTACTCAAAATGTCTAGTGTATTCAGAGTCTTTTGTATGTACTCTTTTTTATTAGAAATAGTCTTTCGAGTTGCATTACAAGAGGTATTTTTTGAGCATTATAAAATTAATATAATTTCAATTCTTTTCTCTTTCAATACATTATAATAAGTCTTTGTACAAGTAGTTAATTGCATGTTTAATTTATTCTGAATCAGATTCTCTATCATCATCTGTTTTCTTTAATTTTTTAAATATAATTCTTACATGTTTTTATAAGATTGATTAGTATTTCTCGGGAATATTTAAATCTCTGTCTTCATAGCAGATAAATTATTTTGAGGATTTGTGTTTTTTCAAATTTATTGTGGTCTTTATTTAAATAACAGAAGTACATATTTGTGTTTCTTACATATTGGTCCTCTTTTCTTTCTAGGTGTTTGAGCACTGCTGTTAAGGGGGAATTCACTTATGGATACATTCTAAAATAAGGCTTAAAAATGGTTAATATATAAGGTATGAATTTTTTGAGAAATTATAGTTAATACCTCTTAACAAGTCACTGACAAGTCTTCTCTTTATGATTATCTCTAAGAATTCCTTGTTTTCATTATTTTTAATAAATTTTTTAATCTATAGATCACTAAAATACTTAGTAAACTAAGACAATGATATTAACATATTAAAAATAAATTATACAATTTTCTCTTTAAAAAATGTCTATTCTTTTTTATATCCAAAGATCTAAAATCTTAATATTTAAAGAAGCTACACATCTTAGTCTAGTATTCCATCAATAAGATAGATTGTAATGATTATATCAATTTATAATCTTGAAGAGAATTTTATTTGAAATGAAAGAATTTAAATAATATCATCCCTATTCTTATCTATGTTAAACTTAGATAAGATTTAAGGATTTTCTGCAGAACATTATATTCTAATAGATTACAAAATGTCTTAATCTATTGTTCATTTAGAAACTTTTGAATTTTATCAGATATCTATTAAAATCATAATATATTCTCTTAATCTCAAATGTAATTAGCATTTAATTATTATTAATTTTCTATATATTATGTTGTTTTATTTAAATATACTTTAAAAAACAATGTAATTATGATTATTCATATATTATAAATAAATCAATTAATTTTAATTTATTCTGCTATTAAAATATATTTGTGAATATATTTTTATTAATTTACCTTTTTAGTATAAAATAATCTATTATTCTATAATAAAATAATTAATATTAAAATATTTGAATTCTTTTATTAAGTTTTTAAAGCTTTTAAATAAAATGTTTAAATTAAGAGATTGCAAATGAAAACTAAAAAATAAAATTAGAAATTATATATTAGTGAATATTTACTTAATATAAATAAGGAAATATCAATTTTATTATTCTTCATTAAAATATTTTCCCATAATTTCAGCTGTAGTTTCATCATTCTCTAATCTATAGGGATAACCTAATTTAATCTCAACTTATTATGATCGCCTTGAATTATATTAATCCATAAACCTACTCTTGGATCCTCCTTAAGAATTTAAAGTATCTCTACTAAATGGTTTATTAGATTGCTAACTTGTAATCTACACATGAGGAATCTCTTATATTTATGTTAGCTTTTGTTTAGGCAAGAATAATTCAGCAGTTTGAATTTATGATGTCGCTTAATCATCTTAAATTTTAGATGAACTTTATATTAGTTATTCAGGTGGTTATTTAGAGACTATTTTTTAATTTAGATAATTAATGGATTGTCTATAAAGTTTATATGGCTATTATGGTCTTAAGTTATGTAAAGAATGACCTTTATAACTACATTAGTATATTAAATTACTTATTACTATGTTCATGAGGTGTAACATGATCTATACTTTTAGTTTATAATAAGGTGGTTTTATAGAACTCTATTTACTTATTTGTGGAATATTCATCATAATTAGATTACATATTTAAAATTTTATCTTATTTCATAGATCTTAAGGATCTAGAAATATGAATAGTTGTTCCAAATTAATCCTCTTTAACTGTAGAAATAAACTCACTTCTTTTATGCTTTAACATATAATCTAAAATAGTACTTCTTAATTTTTTTCTCTTTTTCTTGAAAGATCTCCAAGAATTTCATAACCTTCCACATATTAGTTATTTTAATTGTTTAAATTAATTGGATGTTATTTCCATGGAAAGTAGCTTTTAGGTCCTTCATATAGACATGGATATATATTGAAGGTTTTATTATCCAACCATTTAGATTTTTCATCATCTTTCCAACTAGGATAATTTAACATAATTAAGTCTTTATTCTAAAATACAATGTATAAATACTTCAAAATCTAATTATGCACTTATATTCTTAATTTGTTTATTTAATCTTTAAACTTCACTCCTTTCTCCTAATCCAAATCTCAAAGGTTTTTCTTATTTTGTTAAATCAGGAGGTCGTAACCATCTTTGATAATTTTTATTTGGAGGATTTTATTCAAATTCTCCTGTTGAAAGATGACTTTAAAAAAATTCCTTTTAAGCTGTTGATGCTCTATCTTTAGCTAATTAAAATCTATGGAATCTTATTATAAAAATATTACGTTTTCAAATAAATACCACCCATTTTATCCAATTCTTTTTCTTTTTCTCTATCTCTAAATGAATGTTTGCTTACACACAATAAAGGATAAGAACCATTTTTCATTGTTTCAACAAATTAATTGGATATCATAGTGTCTTAAAAATTTTCTATTCTTTCAGAGGCTCTTGCTTTCAGTTTCACTGATTGGATATTACGCTTTTATTCTTATTCTATTTTTTTTTATTGTCTGCAATATTTATTAAGTTTCATACTTTTCACTCTCCTCCTTTTCTTTTTATAATTACTATTTCTTTTTAAAGAAGTTATTTAAGGACATTATTTTTTAATATTTTTATCTAAATTATATTGCAATTAAAATAAAATTTCTAATATATTGATTCGTAGAATTCTTTAAATATTTTTGATAATTGATTTATAACTATCTTATATACAGAATTTAATATTAGAAATTGTGATTTAAATTCTATTTACATTTACCCTAACCAATCAAATAAATTATATTTATTTAGAATTTTAATTGAATTAATTTTTCCCACATTTTAAATAATTTTTATTGTCTTTATGATTAATTTATAAGCAATTGTAAGTTTGGATATAGGGGAAAAAATAGAATAGATTTGTATTTATGAAGGGGATGACATTGAACTATTGACTTAATTTTTTTGTGATAGACATCATATTAAATAAGAAGGAAAATAATTTATAATTGCAGAAATTAAAAGATAGCTAAAAGTTCCAGTATTAATTTTTAATATTATTTCAGGTAAAAACTCGTCATACTTCTATACTTTCATTAAATACTTAACAACTTGTATAAAAATTATACAGGAATAAAACAGGTATCAATTTTAATAATAAAAGAGATGGATGTTTTTGAATAGCTATATGCAGATGCCAGTAACTAATAAAAAAGATTGAATACAGCTTTATAAGAATAAGATCAAGAATAAAAATAAATTAATTATGCAATACCAAGAATTAATAGCATATCTCGTTTAATCGTTAAAAAGAGAGGAACTTCTGAATAACCTATTCATTCGAAATTATATAATGATGCTAAATTATTAGATGCAAAAAAACAGATATTAAGATAAAGAGTTATGAGTTAAATTTATCCATTTCATCCAAATAATGGAATTACTTTTGCAAAAAAACCTACATTATAAGAATAAATCTAACATGCTGAAAAACTTATTTAAGAAAAGAGAGATTAAAAATTGAAGTTGCAATAAAGAAGATTAGCATAAGAATCAGCATAAAATGATAAAATTACAAATTAAGCATATTTCAAACCTCTGATAAGAAAAGATCAAACATTCAAATTAGTTAAAAAGAAAATAGATAAACAAGATGAGATTTTATCAAATTTAATTGATAATAAACTTATAAAATTAAATGACAAAAATAATACTAAATCAATTATGAAGGAAAGAGAAGTTGCAAATAATATTAATTTTGTTGAAAAAATATTTAAATAATTGGATTCAGATAGAGATGGTTTGATATCAATTTAATATATCAACTTAAATATAAATGAAAAAGTGTTAAAAAAAATTAATCCAATTTTGAATTATATTGAGGGAAAAAAATAAGAAATTAATCTTGATTACTTTTTCTAACTATTAAAATTATTTCATATTAAATTGGATTGATTTCCTATAATAACCAAGATTCTAATCATTATGACATAAGAGTTTTTAATTTTAAATTAACTTTTCAATTCCTCAAAATGTAGTATATATGAATTAGACTTTAAGTTATGTTGTTTTTGTGATTAGAAAATATTATTATTCTAAATTAATTCAATTATATATTTAAGTTATTCATTAATATTAATTTGTTTTTTCAATATTATTAGAGAATAGAATATTACAAAATCTTCATATTAACAATTAGTATAAAATGACATTAAGCATCTTTATGATTTGTGAAATTGAATTCTTATAAAAAAAGTAATAATATTCTCTATGAATATAATTCAATTATGTTTATTCATAATAAAAATAATATTAATATGATCTGATCAAATATTAAATTTAACTTAATCATTAACTAATTGAATAGATATATATTTTTATATTCTTATAAATTAAGAATTGTATTTTGATAATTTTTAATCAATTTCATTTAATAATAATGAATTATAAATATTTTATACTAATCTTAGGATGTCTGCTAATAACAATTTAAAGTAGCAAATGCAAAAAAGTGATAAATTCTGATGCTATTTATATATTTGATGATTTACAAACTAAGGAATATAAATAAATTCTAAACGGTATAGTTTTTTTTATTTTATGATTTAGAAACAAGTACATTATATTTTCGATTTTGTTAACCAATTTTAAAATGTCCAGAAATATCACTTAATACATTTGCTGTTATAATAAATAATGAAGGAAAACCAGAATAATAATGCATTTCTTTGATTAATACAGATTCATATTTTGCAGATTCCTTTGAACTTATTAATGAAGAAGAATCAAATGAGGGTGTTTAGGCAGAATTTAAAAAGTAATTATATAATCAAATATATAATAGTACTTTAAATGGTTTTGCAATAAATTATATGCTCTATTGTTCAGAGGAATAAGAAGGACTTGAAATATTGGATGTATCTTATGAGTAAGACAAATAATTATACAAAATTGAAATGGAAGCTGATAATGGTTGTCATTTAGTTTTATTTTCAAAAATTGTTGAGTTTCTATAAGACAATAAGAAATTTCTGTCTGGAATTTTGATAATCATAGGGTTAACAGAATGTTTAATGGGTAAGAAAATCTTAAAGCCAACTCTTTTTATATTTGGATATTTAATTGGCTTTTTCTTTGCACTATATATATCAAGTGAATTAGATATAGGAGACAATCCATTTTATTTATGGATAGCAATGATAATAGCAGTACTACTAGGAGCATTTGTAGGAGGTTTGTCAATGCATTTAGACAAGGCTGGAATAGTTGCAGTAGGTATTGGATTAGGAGTAGTCTTGTCATTATTATTGTGGAATGCATTATTAGTTTAATTTGTTACTTCAGAATATATATTATATTCAATTATGGTAGTGTTAAGTTTTGGGTTTAGTGTTTTATCATTTAGATTGTTTGATCATTTAATAATCTTTAGTACTAGCTTTTTAGGAGTATAAATATATTTATAAATATTGAATAGTCATATTTAGTATTTAAAGCTATTGGTTTAATTGCTGGAGGGTTTCCATCAGAGATAAAGAGCATCTCAGGTAATTCAGATTATAGATATTATATTTATTTTACTTGCATAATAATATTAGCCTGTTTTGGTATATACTATTAATATAAATAATGGGGATAGAAAATTATCACTTATGATGAAATTGTTTCATCAATGATGAATGGCAATTAATAAGCAGAACATTAAGACTCACTTCTAAATGATCATTAGAATAGTTAAGATTTTATTGAATTAAAAGAGATCAAGTAGAAATAAGAAATTAAAGGTTTTTCATGAATACCAAAAACTAGAGTTTTATGATTATTTTATAAAAACTTAGATAAATTTATATATTTATATAAAATTTGATATTTTCTATTTAAAATTACATATCATTTAAATAATATACAATGAATAAAATATTATTTATAGAAAATAAATATGACTACCTTAAAAATATATTTAATTAAGAAAACAATTAATAAATTATAAAATTTAAAAATTCAATCAGAATCACTAAAAGGATAATCTATAGTATAAACACCTTTTTTATTAGTGTCTTTAATTACTTTGATTTCAGCATTTTTCCAACTATCAGATATATCTATAGATCTATATTTTTTCAGATTATCATATAGATCTAAGTTAGTATCTTAGCCTAGTGAATGTCTCTTCCATATATCTCCAGCTCCAAAAAGGTAGCAAATTTATTTTATTTTAGATTCTTAATTAATATTTTTGACTCTTAAGATACGAGCCATATTAATTTATAATTAATATCTTGGAATATCTGAATTACTTTATTCATGTGTAATCCAAGGATGATTTAAAGCCTATTCTGGTGTAAATCTTTTATCAGGATCTAATTATAAAAGATTAGTAATAAGATCTTTTGCAGATTCAGAGATTTAAGCCCATATGATTCCAGCAAAATCATATTTACATTATCTAATCTACTCAATTAAATCATTAAGATATTCAGAATTAAAAGGCAATTCTCCACTTAACATTACATATAATATGACACCTGCACTCCATAAATCAACTTATTCACTAATTACATAAGTTTAATTACTTATAAAGATTACCTGAAAATATTTCAGGAGCTGAGAATGCAACAGTTCCAGTATATGTCCACATTTCAATTTTACCATGTTAATTAAGATCTCCAAACTCTTTATAACTATCATTAAATTTTGAAACCTATGATTTATTAATTTTTATACATTAAAATCGGTTATTTTTATGGATTTGCCATCATGAGCGCATAAGATATTGTTTGGTTTTAAATCTCTATGGCAACAATAGTTTTCATGCATATATTTGATGGCTTCTAAAATCTATATGAATAGTACACGGGCAATGGTCTCTTTCTTAGTAAAAATAATACCACTATATTTTTTTTATTATTAAATAACTTCAAACATCTCTCTTCCATCAATTTTCTCCATTATTACATACACCATTCCAGTTGATTAGAATCCTTCAAACCATTAAATATAAATCTCTTTCATCGATACAATATGAGGATGATTCAATTTCTTTAGGTTTTTAAATTCCAAAATCATCTTTAAAATAAACTTGAACTTTTACTTTTTTTACTATTTCTTCAGAGTCAGTCTTCACTGTTTTACAAGCAAATTCAAAACCATCACTCTTTCTTTTAACACTCTTTACTAATCCTATACAACCTTCTCCTAATATATCTCCTTCTATATATTTATCATGATATTCTTTTATATCCAAAATATAATTCTCTTCATCACCTTCTAAAATTATTCCTATCCTTTATAAAAAAGATTGTAATGATTAATCATCTTATTTAGTATTTTTAAGAAATTGCAATACGTCCCCTAAACATATAAAAATGACTTACCTTATAGTTTATTCTTGAACTAATCTAATTTACATTATTCATCAGATTCACTCTTTCTAGAGAAAGAGAATTTACTTTTTTTAACATTCTCAACTATCATAATAATTATGAATTGTTTTGATTAATATTGTCGTCAAATTATTAGACCTCCTCGTAGACAATATATGATTAGTGATCTAGGTAATATACTTTTATATACTAAAAAGGACCAAAAATAAGATTTCTTTAAACTAAAGCTATAGTTAGAGTGGATTTTGTATTTGAATCCAGAAACATCTAATTGAACGCTAGTTATTTTTTAACAAAAGCAAAAAATCATAGATGTATGATTTATTTACATGGAAATGCAAGTTGTAGATTAGAAGGAATTAGGTATGCTGAAATATTGGCATCATGGGATATAAATTTATGTGTTTTAGATTTTGCTGCCTGTGGTATGTCTAAAGGTGAATTTATTACCATGGGAGTATATGAAAGTTAAGATGTTATAGAACTAATGAAATATATTGAGAATAATTTTGGGAAAGTAGATGAATTCATGCTCTGGGGTCGTAGTATGGGAGCAGTTACTGCTCTACTCTTAACTGAAAATTCTAAAATTAGAACATACATCATTGATAGTGCTTTTTCGGAATTTCGATAATTATTGTAAGACATTGGCAATAGACAATTTGGAGTCTTCTCATTCATATTATATCTTGCTATCCCCATTTTAAGGAGAAAAATATTGAATTAAGCCTAATTTGACATCAATCTTCTAAACCCCATTGATAAATTAAAATAAGTTATTCCTAATAAAAAGTTCTTTTTTGTTGCAGGTAAATCAGATACTCTCATTTCTTATTAATACACTCTTAAATTATATGAAAATTGTTAAATGCCTAAAAAATTAGATATTTGTGAAGGAGATCATAATTCTAATAGACCATCTACAACATTATAAAGGATTATTGAATTTATAAATGAAGTTTGTGAATTTAAAAATAATCAAGATTATTAAATTAGGATAGAACCTTATTTTAAATTTTAAATTCAACATTCCTCTGAAGAAGAGGAAGATTCAAAAAATTAAATCTTACTATCAGAAATTAAGACTCCTCAAACAAAATAATAATTTATAAGCAACTGAATAATCAAATAATTTTATCTATATTATATAATATCATTACTTTGCAATTATTAAACAAATCAGAATTAAATATCTTAATCATAATTATTTTTAATGAATTCAAAAAGTGCACTTTAAAGTGCAAAACCTACAAACATCAAGCAACTATAAATGCTATAGTTGCTGGTAGAGAGAGTGTACATCCCATTAGAATCAAAAGTAGAATTGAGGACCACTCTCTAAAAATTTACAAGCTAAATCGAACATTCAAGTCAATAGGTACCCATCTAAATAACAAATTCAGGTTTCAGGAACAATTACAATTGAATTACCAGATGTTGTCGATTAAATTGATGATGAAACTGCTCTTAAAAATTATGAACTTATGGAGAAATATGAAGACTATATAGGAAAATGGTCATAAACAATTAGACAGACTATATTAAAGGAGGCTAGTAGAAAAACTGAAAAGAATTCTGCTTTGGCAGATATCATGTTATGGAGATCAAGATCAGCAAATTTGAGTACTTTGTATTAGCAACTTGTAACTGAAATTCATTGATTTATTATAGTAAAACCCTATTGTTGCTAAAGTGAGATAGAGATTGTAAACATATTTAGAAGACAATTAATCATCTGTACTTGAATTTAATGGTTAATTTGCAGAATTGACAAAAGCATAGGCTGAAGCTAAAGATAATGTTAAATTTCTAACAACACTTGAAAGATAATTTAAAAATCTTGATTAAGATGGATTGAATGGAATCAAAGAAACATTACCATCTCTAATGAATGGACTTAAAATGGTTTGGATTATTTCTAGACATTATAAAGAAGGAGATAAAATGTAGAATCTATTACAATTGATTTCAGAAGAAATAGCTGATAAAGTAGAATCTTAAATTAAAATACCATAATTATTTACTCTTAGAGATGATTTACCTTATGAATAATAATTAGAAACTAGCATCAATCTAATAATGCAAGGTTCTGAAATTCTCAAATCATGGAAAGATCTTTATCATAAGACTAAATTAGCAATTGAAGAAGAAAATCTTGATCGTTGGGATTTTACTGTCAGAACTATTCAAGAAAGAATTGAGTATATGGCTAATAGATTAGATGAATTAAGGAAAGTAATAGACACTGTTAGAAAATTCTTAGTATTTTTGGGTCCAAATTTAAAGAAAGTCACAGGAAATGCTTAAGAAATAGATAAAAGAATTGAGGATGTTAAATAATTGATTACTCCTATTGTTAATAGTCCTTACAATTTCTTTTAAAAGGGCAATGCTGGTTAATGGAAAACTATTTATTAAAAATTTTAAGAGAATCAAAAATCAATTGTTGGAAAAACAATTGAATTAATAGATGAAACATTTAAATCCTTAAGATCAGCAGAAGGAGCTTTTGATTTATTATAAAATTTTAAAAGTATTGATACATTAGAAGATATCAGTACAACTTTATAGAAAAAATATTAGGAAGTGTTAGTCTAATATAGAAATGAATTAAAACAAAATCAAGGCTTATTTGAAAAAGGATAGTAAACAACTGATGTATCATTGATATCATCAAAAAATCGTCCTCCTGTGGCAGGATCAATAAGTTGGGCAAGATCGATATTTTATAGAGTTAAAAGACCTGTTCTTAAATTTATAACAAGAGAAGAAACTTTTATTGAAAAGAAAGAGGGATAAGATAAATAAGAAAATAAAGAGAGTAAGAATCCTAAAGATTTGGGATCATATTATAATGAAGCAAAAAATGAATACAGAACATTGGCTAAGAAATTAGATTAATTTTAAAAGGAAAAGTTTGAAAGTTGGGAAAAATCAATCACTGAAAAAGCATTGCAATATCAAAAAAATAGGATTTTAACAAAACATGAATAACCTAAGGAAGAAGGAAGTTGGAATCGTCGTTATACAGTGTTCTTTTAGGATGAATTTAAGACTTTAATAAAGGAAACAAAATAATTAGAAAAAATGGGATATAAGATCAATTAAACAACTATTAATATTTCAAAATTAGAGAAAGAATTCTATGGTTATATTGATAGATTGTAGATTATGTTAAGAGAATATGATGAAGCTGTTCATACTTTATAGCCAATAGAAAAAGAATTGTTGAAAGAAAAGATCATGAAATTAAATAGAGCCTTGGAACCTGGACATGAATTTTTGAATTTGGCATCTTTGGGAATTCCAGATTATATTGATAATTGCCTTAAAGCAATTAATGAATTTAGGGATATTAAGAAAAAAGTGAGAAAATCTACAGGAATGATTGAAGATATAGTAAAATCAATTGAAGAAGCTTAAATTTTAAGAGAGTATGATTTTGAAACAAGAAAAGAAAATGCATCTTTACCTTAGTTGAATGAATTCTAAAATTATTTTGAAGAACATCTTAATAAAACTATAGAGGAATTAGTAGAGAAATATAAATTAGTAGGGGATAATTTCTTAAGAAATATTGAGGAATCAATATTCAATAGTTCATCAAAAGGTGAACCAAGAATGAGAGAATATTATTACTATTGGGAAAGAAGAATATATAATGCTTTAGTTAAAATGACTTTAAGAGGTTTTTTAACTTTTAAAAATTTATTATAACAACCAAGTGGAAAATAAGTGCCATTATTTTAAATTACTGCAGAGTATAATCATCCTTAATTAAATACTATTCCTCCAATTCCTGAGGTCACAACTGTTTTAGAAAAGATTTCAACAAGTATTAAGGAAGCTTCTTAGGGATTTTGGAGATGGATGGATGGATATTGTATTTTCTGTGAAAAGAAGTAGAGTCGTAGTGCAAATGAAGAAATATAATATCATACATTCTATAGCTAAATAATAAGAAATCCAATAATTACTAGAATTGCTATGTAAATTGGTATTATAAGAGAGAAGGCTAGTGATAAAGTTAATAATTTTAAGGAGATGTGGGAAGATGATAAAAAGAAGCCTTTATGGGATTAAAAGGCTAAGCATGCAGTTGAGAAAATAATAGATAAAAATCCAACAACTTTATCTTTAGAAATTATGATGAGCAAGTATAAGGGTTTGATTTAAGATTTTGAAGAGTATCCTAGAGAGAGAAAAGCCTTTTTTATTTCTGAATATTTTGGAAATGTCATTGAGGGCTTTAAGGCTCAAGCTAAAGATTGGATGGATAAACATGGAATAGTGTTAAAGACTTTGGGATTGAGAGAATTAGAAGCAATTAAGAAAGAGATTGATGATTATAGAGAATAATTAATGGTATAACCAAAGGATATTGAAGACTTGAAGAAACTATTGAATTTGATTTAAGAAATAAAGAATATGACTATGAATATGGAATTTAAAATGGGTGATGTAACAGAAAGGTTTAGAACCTTAAAAATGTATTAATAAAATGTAGAATAAGAGAAATTAGAAGAAGCTTTTTCTTTGAATGATAGATGGAATGAATTAGTTAATCATGCAAAGAAGAAGGATTCAAAATTAGTTGAAAAGAAAAAGGAATTTGCTGAAGTTACAAAAAAGGAAGTAGAATAATTTAAGGAAAATATTAAATTACTTTATAAAGACTTTAAAGCTGGTGGTCCAGGTGCTGAGAGTACTTCTTTGGATAAGGGTTTGGAATCTCTATAAGAATATAAGACTGTAGTATCTGAGTTGAATGCTAGAAGAGAAGAATTAGTTAAGGCAGAAAAACTATTCAATTTACCAATATCTTCATTTCCTGAATTGGTTGCTATAGAAGAAGAAAATAAAGTGTTATCTGTTTTATATGATTGTTATAGAACAGTTAAAAATTAGATTTAAGAATGGTCAGTTATGCTTTGGGTAAAGTTGGATGCTGATTTACTAAAAAATGGTGCTGATAACTTTGATAAGTAAAAGAAGAAATTAGCAAAATAATATGAAAAGAATACAGTTTATGAGAAATTGGCAAAGAAAATCACTGATTTTAGGGATTCAATTCCATTAATATAATAATTAAAGAGTGGAGCAATAACAGATAGACATTGGGAGAAATTGATGAAAGAAACAGGAGTTAAATTTGAAACTTCAATTAAAAGTATGACATTAGAATAAGTGTTTGCTTTAAATTTGGCAAGATTTCCAGAAAAGGTTACTGAAATATGTACAGAAGCTAATTAAGAACATAAGAATGAAGAAGAAATCAGTAAAATTGAATAAGCTTGGAAAACAGCAAGTTTTATAATTGATAAAGATAAAAAAGGATTTTAAGTAATAAAAACAGTTGATGAAATTAAATAATTGTTAGAAGATTAATTAGCTAATTTATAAACAGTTTCTAGTAGTAAGTATGTTGCAGCTTTCATTTCACGTATCAGACATTGGGAATAAGCATTAAATAGAATAAGTGAAGTGATAGATGTTTGGTTGTAAGTTTAAAAGAAATGGTAAGATTTAGAGGGTATATTTATGGGTTCTGAAGATATTAGATAATAATTAAGAGAAGATTCAAAGAAATTTGATTAAAATGATAAAGCCTATAAAAAGATCATGGAATCAACTGCTAAAAATCCAAATATTTATGCTAGTTGTGTTGTTAATGATGGAAGACTTAGTGAATTGAAAGCTTTGTCTGATTAATTAGATAAAAGATAGAAATCCTTATCAGATTATTTAGATACTAAGAGAAATGTATTCCCAAGATTTTATTTCTTATCAGATGATGATCTTTTATCAATATTGGGATCTAGTGATGTTTCAGCTGTTTAGCCACATACATTGAAATTATTTGATAATTGTAGAGAAATGTTATTATCCAGAAATAAAATGGTTATTGGTATGGCATCTGATGAATCAGAAGAGTTTTCTTATAAAGAACCATAGAAAACCGATGGTCCAGTTGAATTATGGATGACAAGAGTTGATGAAGAAATGCAATCAACACTTAAGAAAATGACAAAAGAAGCTACATTCCATTATGCAAATAAAGAGAGAGTACCTTGGATTCTAAATCAAATTGGTATGATATCCATAGCAGGCACATAAGTTTGGTGGACTTGGAGAGTAGAAGATGTATTTAGAAAAGTTAAGGAAGGTAATAAATATGCAATGAAAGATGAATTAAAAAAATAAACAAAAGATTTAGATGATTTAATTGATTTAGTAAGAACAGATCTTAAAATGATTGATCGTATTAAAATTAATACTTTAATTATTGTTGATGTACATGCTAGAGATATTGTTGATTTCTTTGTTAAAGATTCAATATTAGATGCTAAAGAATTTGAATGGGAATCTTAATTAAGATTTTATTGGGTATTGGAAGATAATGATATAAGAATTAGATAATGTACAGGTACTTTTACATATGGATATGAATATCAAGGATTGAATGGAAGATTAGTTATTACTCCATTAACAGATAGATGTGTTATGACATTGACAACTGCATTAACATTTAAATTAGGAGGAGCACCTGCTGGACCTGCAGGTACTGGTAAAACTGAAACAGTTAAAGATCTTGCAAAATCTTTGGCTATAAGATGTTGTGTAACAAATTGTGGTGAAGGTTTAGATTACAAAGCTATGGGTGTTATCTTTAGTGGTTTAGTATAAACAGGATTTTGGGGATGTTTTGATGAATTTAATAGAATTACAGCTGAAGTTTTGAGTGTCGTGAGTGTTTAAATCAAAACAATACAATAAGCTTTAGTGTAAGAAAAAAAGACAATAGAATTATTGAAGAAAGAAGTGCAAGTTAAAACAACAGTTGGAATATTCGTAACAATGAATCCAGGTTATGCTGGTAGAACTGAATTACCTGACAATTTAAAAGCTCTTTTTAGACCAGTTGTTATGGTTGTACCTGATTCTAATATTATTTGTGAGATTATGTTGATGAGTTAGGGATTCAATTCAGCCAGAGTTTTAGCTAAAAAGATGACAGTTTTATATAAATTGGGTAGTGAATAATTGAGTAAACAATATCATTATGATTTTGGTTTGAGAGCCTTAAAGAGTGTGTTAGTTATGGCAGGTTCTCTTAAAAGAGAGGCAGCTGATCTACCTGAAGATACTGTACTAATGAGAGCACTTAGAGACATGAATATGCCTAAATTCATATTTGAAGATGTTCCATTATTTTAAGGATTGATTACTGATTTATTCCCTAAAATTGATGTTAAGAGAAAACCATATGAAAAGAAAGATAAAATCTAAGAGATTGTTGAACAATTAGGATATCGACCTTTAGATGATTAAATTGATAAAGTTGTTTAATTATTTGAAACTATGTTGACTAGACATACAACAATGGTTGTAGGACCAACTGGATCAGGAAAGTCAGCTGTTATAGAAATCTTAAAAAGAGTAGAAAGTGCTACCTATTATTGTATTAATCCTAAATCTATAACTGTTAATGAATTATATGGTGTAATGGAAATGACAACTAGAGAATGGAAAGATGGAATATTAAGTAAGGTTTTCCGTATTGCAAATGAAAAACCATCTGGTTAATAAGAAGTGCATTAAAGATGGATTTTATTAGATGGTGATGTTGATGCTGTTTGGGTTGAAAATATGAACTCTGTTATGGATGATAACAAATTATTAACTCTTATTAATGGTGATCGTATACGTCTAGAGAGATTTTGTAAATTACTATTTGAAGTATTTGATCTTTAATATGCTTCACCTGCTACTATTAGTAGATGTGGTATGGTTTATGTAGATCCAAAAAATTTAGGATTTAAACCATTTTATGATAAATGGTTGTCAAAATGGTAAAAGAAAGGAGATAAAGCAGAAGGTCTGAAATAAAACTTAGAAGAATTTTATTCTAAGTACATACCTCCATTAATGAATCTTATTTTTGAAGGTATTGATGGAGAAGAACAAGGACATGTATTAGAATTTTCTATACCAAGAACCAATTTAAATTGCATAACTTAATTGACTAAAATGTTAGACACAATTATTAATGAAGAAGATCCTTAATTTGAATAAGAAAATCTGGAATTAGCTTATATCTTTGCAATAGTTTGGTCACTTGGTGCTTGCTTAAAATTTGAAGCTCGTAAGAAATTCGAAGAAGTATTAAGAAGAGTTGCATAAAGACATATTCCACCTGGTTCATTGTTTGATCTTTTCTTTGATTATACTTTAGATAATAAAGCTTGGGTTGCTTGGGAAAAGAAAGTGACAGAATATTAACCACCAGCTGATGGAAAGTTCTCTAAAATCCTAGTTCCAACTGTAGATACTAAAAGATTTTCATATCTTTTAGGATAAAATATCACTCATAAATAACCTTGTATGTTTGTTGGAGATAGTGGTACTGCCAAATCAGTCATTATATCAAATTATTTAAATTCCTTACCATCAGAAAATTATATGAAATTAAATATTAACTTTTCATCAAGAACAAAATCAATAGATGTTTAAACTGCATTAGATGAAAATATTGATAAGAGATCAGGTCGTATTTTTGGACCAAAAATTTCAGGTAAAAAATTAATCATTTTTATTGATGATATCCATATGCCTAAAGTTGATATTTATGGTACATAATAACCTATAGCTTGGTTGAAATTCTTGATTGAAAAAGGATTTTGTTATGAAAGAGGTCAAAATCTAGATCAAAAAATTATTAAAGACACTTAATTTGTTGCAGCTGTTTTACCACCAAATGTTGGTGCTAATCCACTTGATCCAAGATTCTTAAGTCTGTTTAATTGTTATCAATTACTATTTCCATCAAATGAAAACTTAGAGAGAATTTATAATTCAATTTTGAAGTCACATTTATAAGGATTCCCAGAAGAAGTATCATCTACAGTTGCTAAAATAACTTAAGCTACCTTACAAATATATAGTGCTATTGTAATCTAATTACCACGTACTCCAGTTAAATTCCATTACATTTTCAACTTAAGAGATTTAAGCAGAATCTATGAAGGATTATGTAGAAGTACACTTGACAAATTCTAAACTAAAGAATCTTTTATAAGATTATGGAGAAATGAATTAACTCGTGTCTTTGTGGATCGTCTAATTAATGATTAAGATAGAGAATTAATTATTGTAGATAAGATTCCAAGTCTAATTAGAGAACACTTTAGTGATACATTAGAATATGCAATATAGGATCCTATGCTTTTTGGTGATTATCTAACAGCTAATCCACTTGATCCAGATGTAGTTGATCCTAAATTATATGAAGATTGTGGAGGATTTGAAAAAGTTGGTTAAAAATTCAACTCTTTATTATAAGATTACAATGAAGAAGTAAAGGAAATGAATCTTGTATTATTTAAAGATGCATTAGAACACTTAACTAAAATTCACAGAATAATAAGATTCCCTTTAGGACATGCTTTACTTGTTGGTTATGGAGGTAGTGGTAAATAATCTTTGACTAGATTAAGTGCATTTACTGCTAGTTATGATATTTTCTAAATTACTTTAACAAGAGGATATAAAGAAAAAGAATTTAGAGAGGACTTAAAGACATTATATGATCTTTTGACATAGAAACCTACAATTTTCTTGTTTACTGATGCTCATGTATTAGAAGAAGGTTTCTTAGAATTGATTAATAATATGCTTACTATAGGAATGGTACCAGCTCTTTTTGATGAAGATGGCAAAAAGAAAATGAGTGATAAGGTGAGAGATGAAGCAAAAAGAAAAGGTATTTTAGAAACCAAAGATGAATTGTGGAATTATTTCCTTGAAAAAATTAGAGACAATATGCATATTGTTTTGTGTATGAGTCCAGCTGGAGATACTTTGAGAATTAGATGTCGTAATTTCCCAGGCTTAGTTAGTAATACTTAAATTAATTGGTTCTTCCCTTGGCCTGAAGAAGCTTTGGTAAGTGTGGCTACTGAGTATTTAAAAGATGAAAACTTAGAAGATGAAACATTCAGACCTAAGATTATTTAACATATAACCAAAGTTCATGAGAGTATCTAAATGTTTTCAAGAGATTTTGAATTATAATTAAGAAGAAAAAATTTTAGCACACCTAAAAACTATTTAGATTTCTTATAAAATTATAAACGTTTATTGGCTGTTAATAGAAAGAAATATTAGGAACTTATAGTGAGATATACAAATGGTGTTTTAAAGTTGGATGAAGCATCTGAATAAGTTAAGGTTTTGTAAGAGGAATTAGAAATTAAGAAAGTAGAAGTAACAAGTGAAAGTAAAGAAGTTGAGGAATTGCTCAAAATTATTAATGCCAAAAAAGAGATAGCAACAAGGGATAACGAAGAAGCTTCACAAAAGAAAAAACAATTAGAGAAGGACAGTGTAGAAATTAATTAGAAACAATTGGAAGCTGATTAAATTCTTAAAGATGCCATTCCCATTTTAGAGGCTGCTAAGGATGCTCTTAGTAAGATTGATTCAAAAGAATTGGTTGAATTGAAAGCATTGAATTCACCACCTAAACCAGTTGGTGCAGTTGCATCTATGTTACTTATATTCAAACCAATAGATGGTATTGAAGGAGATGGTTGGAATGCTGCTAGATAAATGATGAATAATCCAATGAAATTATTGGAATAATTATAGAATTATGGTAATAAAATTGGTAAGGTGACTAGAAATTAGATTGAAAAAATTAGAAGTGCTATGAAAGATCCAGAAAATCGTTTAGATGAAATTTCAAAGATTTCAAAAGCTGCAGGTGGTCTATATACATGGGTTTCAGCTACAGTTAATTTTTATGATGTTTATAAAAAAGTGGAACCACTTAAATAACGTTTAGAGTAGATGACCAAGTAGAAGGAGTTGACAGAAGAAGACTTAAGAAATACTGCTATAAAATTGGCAGCTTTATAAAAAGAAGTGTCTGAATTATAAGTTTAGAGTGATCAAAAAGCTGCAAGATTAGCTGAATTGACAGCTTAAGCATAGGAAATGTAAAAGAAATTGAATGCTGCAAAGAAATTGATTGAAGGTTTAGGAGGTGAAAAGAAAAGATGGACAGAAGACACTGGTAAATTGGCTTAAATGACATTATAATTAATTGGTGATTGTTTAATAGCCAGTTCTTTTCTAAGTTATGTAGGACCATTTGACTATTCATTTAGAAGAAAAATGCTTTATGATCATTGGATCGTTGACATTAAGGAAAAGGAATTGCCAATAAATCCAGAATTTAAATTTGAGGAGCTATTAAGCAGTGCAGTAGAAATATCTTAATGGAATTCTGAAGGATTACCATCTGATGAATTATCAGTTTAAAATGGTATACTCACTACAAGAGCTTCAAGATGGCCTTTATGTATTGATCCACAACTATAGGCAGTTAATTGGATCAAAAAAAGGGAAGAAAAAGACATAGCTTTCAAAGTTTTGAATTTGAATGAAGGAGCAGGTGTATTTTTGAAACCTTTAGAAAATTGCATCAGATTTGGCAAACCATTTTTATTTGAAAATGTAGATGAAGAATTAGATCCAACTATAGATCCAATTTTAGAAAAGAATTTCATAATCAAGGCAGGCATGAAGAGTATCAAATTGGGTGAAAATATTATTGACTATAATGATGATTTTAGATTGTATTTCACAACCAAATTAGCTAATCCTAAATATACACCAGAGATTATGTCAAAGACTATGGTTATTAATTATACAGTCACATTAACTGGATTGAGAGATTAATTATTAAATGTAGTTGTTTCATTCGAAAGACCAGATAAAGAGAAATAAAGATTAGAACTCATTTAGAGTATGAGTGAAAATAAGAAAAAGTTGAAAGAAGCAGAAGATGATTTATTATAAAGATTGTCAGAAGCATAAGGTTCGTTGTTAGATAATGTGTAGTTGATAAATACATTAGATTAAACAAAAGCAAAATCAGAAGAGATTTAATAAGCAATTAATGATGGATAAATTACAAGTTAAGAAATTGAATAAGCAAGATAAAGTTATACAACAGTAGCTAAAAGAGGAGCTATATTATTCTTTGCAATGAGTTCATTAAGTTCAATTTCTGAAATGTATGAATACTCATTAAGTGCATATTTATAAGTATTCAATCAATCTTTAAGAGATGCTAGAAAAGATACTATCTTAGAATCAAGATTGAGAAATATTATTGATAAATTAACAAGTAATGTTTATGATTATACTTGTTTGGGTATATTTGAAATTCATAAATTGATGTTTGCCTTCTAAATGACAATAATGATATAAGATGGTGAAAAATTATTAAATCATGAGGAATTAGATTTCTTCTTGAAAGGAAATACTTCTCTTGAATAAGTTTAGAGGTAGAAACCTTATGAATGGGTACCCGATTCAGGTTGGAAAGATATTATGAGATTAATGTAATTGGCTGATAACTATAGATTATTAGCAGATGATTTAGAAAAGCATGGTAAAGAATGGAAGAAATGGTATGATCATGAAAGACCAGAATTAGAAACATTACCTGAAGGATATACTAAATTAAATTCATTCTAAATCTTATTATTATTAAGAGTCTTCAGACCTGATCGTGTAATTAATGGAGTCAAAAAATATATTCAAGATATTTATGGAAATTCCAATTATGTACAACCACCAATTATTAATTATGAAAAAATATTCGATTAATCCAATGAAAAATCACCTATTGTATTTATTCTCTCACCAGGAGCTGATCCATTACCAGATGTTATAAAGTTGGGTGACTCAAAAGGATTCACAGGAGCTAAATTCAGAAATCTATCTCTTGGATAAGGTAGTGAATAAGAAGCATCATAATTTGTTGAAGCTGCCTCATAAAGAGGACATTGGTTAATGTTAGCCAATTGTCATTTATTAACAGGATGGTTGAAGAGTTATTTAGAAAAGACTTTGGAATTAATGCAAAAACCGCATAAAGATTTTAGATTATGGTTAACAACATAACCTACAGACAGATTTCCTTTGGGTATTTTACAAAAGTCACTTAAAGTAGTCACAGAACCACCTGATGGATTGAAATTAAATATGAAAGCTATCATGAGTAAAATAGATGAAAATTCATTGAATTCTTGTCCTCATGTAGCTTATAAAACATTAGTTTATGTAGTTTCTTTCTTCCATTCAATTATTTTAGATAGAAGAAAGTATGGTAAAATTGGATGGAATGTAAGTTATGATTTTAATGAATCAGATTTCAATATTAGTAGTAGTTTATTATCAATGTATTTGAGAAAGGCTTATGATGCTAAAGATGAAACTATCCCTTGGAATTCACTTAAATATCTTATTGGAGAAGCTATGTATGGAGGTAGAGTGACAGATTCATATGATAGAAGAGTATTGATTACATATTTAGATGAATACATGGGAGATTTCCTCTTTGATAAAAATAGAGAATTCCTCTTTGCTTAAAGTGAAGATTTTAAATATGAAATACCTAAAATACTTAATCATGAAGGATTCCAAACAATGATTGATCATTTACCTCTTATCAATTCTCCAGTTGTCTTTGGTTTACATCCAAATGCAGAAATCACTTATTTCACAAATAGTGCAAAGTCTATTTGGGATAATCTATTATAATTAAGAGCATCTGGAGGTGCAGTTTCAGGAGGTATAGACAAAGATAAATATGTTAATGATGTGAGTGAAGATGTCTTATCTAAATTACCTGCCATTTGGGATGTCATTGCTTTAAGAAAAGAAGCAGGAGAAATCATATCTCCAACATAAGTTGTCTTGTTCTAAGAACTTGAAAGATTCAACAAATTAATAATAAAAATAAATGAATCACTTTTTAATCTTAAACGTGCATTAAAAGGTGAGATTGGTATGAGTAGTGATCTAGATGAGTTATCATTAGCCTTATATAATGGATTCTTACCTGGTATGTGGAGAAGACTTGCACCATAAACAGAAAAGAAACTCGGATCTTGGATGAATCATTTCAAGAGAAGAGTTTTATAATATACAAATTGGGCAAGCAAAGAAGAGCCTTATGTTATGTGGTTATCTGGTCTTCATATTCCAGAAAGTTATCTCACTGCTTTGATTCAAACTACATGCAGAGCTAAAACTTGGGCTCTAGATAAAAGTAGACTATATACTTAAGTAACCAAGAAATTCAAGGCTAAAGATATCAATCAAAGAATGGAATTTGGATGCTATATAGAAGGTTTATACTTGGAAGGAGCAAGATGGGATGTTGAGAATAATTGTCTTAAAAAATAGAATCCCAAAGAATTAATTTATGAGATGCCTCTAATTCAAGTTATCCCTGTTGAAGCAAATAAATTAAAATTGAAAGGTAATTTATTAATTTTATACTTTCTAGATACTTTAGCTACACCAGTATATGTTACTTAATCAAGACGTAATGCTATGGGAGTAGGACTTGTTTTTGAAGCTGATTTGAGAACTCAAGAACATACTAGTCATTGGATTCTTTAGGGAGTAGCGATGACATTAAATGTTGATTATTGAAGTTTACATATCACAAAAATATTCAAAATAATGTTTTCAAATATATTGCTATCAGTATTCCAAATATTGCCACCATTATTAAATATTCTTATTTAACTTTCCCTTTTATTTCTTATTATTACTATTAATTTTATTGTTATACTACTTCTTTTTGTTTCTCTTAAATTTTTTCTTTAATTTGCTCTTATTATTATTATTATTATTATTATTATTATTATTATTATTTTGGTTATTCAAGCTTTATTGTTTATTTACTTTCCATAATTTTAATCTAATCAATCTACAAATTTGGAAAATATTAATTTATGTAATTGATTTCTTACTCTTTATTAAATTCGTGATCTATATAATTTTACAATACTAAATCATTCTACTTAAATGTTATTAATAATCTTTTAGCCAAATAACATGGAGGATTCAATTCTTATGACAATCTTACTTTCACTGATTCTAAGATATCATTCAAAATTAACTAAAATATACATGCTATTTATACTGTTTTTAAATCTGAAATGGTAATTTTTGAATCAGCTAAAATTAAAATCTACAAGTCCCCTTAAAGAATAAAAGTTTAATCATTTTGAACACATTCACTTGATTATGTCTATGCTGCAAAAAATCCTAAAATGATCTCTTTCTAATTGGTAATTTCATTCAATTATTGTTATAACAATAATATTTAATCATTATTTAGGAGATTTAAGTTTTCATAATTTTTACGGACTTTATCTAATGTGTTTTAAACATTTATTTATTATCCTAGATTGAATCTTAAACTTGTTTATAATTTAATTCTTCTTAGATCAAATTAATCTATAATTTTGATATTTGCTACACTTGTGGTGATATTCTTTTAATGTTAAAAATAAATGTACTTTTGAAGAGAATGCCAATTGTTAATTTTGAGAATATAATAACAAGGTATCAATATTAAAAATATTGCAAATCTTTTTTAATATGCTATTGTTTCTGCAATACTCTGGCAATTCACCTTTAAAATATAAGCCTATAGGTTTCAAACCAAAATTGATTAAACTTGTAATCTAAATTATTTTTCTACTTACATCTTAGATCTTATTAAGGAATTCTGACAATGATTGTTTTACAGACAAATCATCCATCAAATTATTTAATGGATTCTATAATTCATATTCAAAATAGATTCGACAAAGTTTATCCTCAAATTATCGATTGTTTATATTACTTAAATGAATTACCCAATTAATAATTTATTTTAAAGCCCCTCTAATTTCTTTGAATGAAATTCCATGAATAATAATTTATTATTAATTTAATTATGCATTTGTTATTTATATATATATATAAAATGGGATTCCATTATAACTTATCATTTACACATCTTCAGATAGACCATTATTGATAAAAATTCTACATCTAAAAATGATATTATATAGATTTTTAAATTCTCTAATCAATTGTATCAACTAATTAATTTATATTAATGGATCGATTTGTTATAAACTAAAAGTGCTACTTTTCAAATCCTTTGAGTGAATTATAAAAATAAACTCTTGATGACACAGTAATTGATGAACCCTCAGAAAATTTTGAAACAAGGTCTTCTTACAATTAGATTGTCATAATTCAATCTCTTCATTCTAAAACTATAATCGAAAATTTTCAAGATAAAAGAGGACATACAAAATCATGGAGGGATAATTTTACTTGGCTTTGAACCTCTAATACTATCATATATATATTAGAATGATAATAATTTATATATCTTTAAATAATAAAATCTTTAATTCATCATTATAAAAACTTAAATGTTTTATCATTAAATCACCTAAACTTATAATAGAAGAGAATCTAGTTGCTATTATATAATTGAGAAATCCTATTATTATGTTTTGTGTTTGTTCAATTTAAGAAATTAAAAATTCCTTTTTAATTATTCTTAAGAATTTCTAGGAAATAAATTTAATTAACCTAACTCTTCTAATATCATAAGAAACTTACAATAATTGTCATATTTGATTTGATAAATATACATAAATATACATAAACAGCAAATATTAGGCTAATTTGTGATTATTAATAAATTTAAAATTAGAATTGTAAAGCATGTAATTAATTTATAATATAATATAAATAGTTTGATTAAAATAAAATAAATGTCTTTCTAAAAAATAAGAAGAATTCTATATTCTATATTTCTATATATAACACTTAAAATTAATACTACTTATGTATTTTTTTAGTTTTGATAAGAATATAAGAAATAACAATAGATTTTGAAGTGTTTTGATTGATTATTAAATTTATTGTAGAATCTCAACATTAAATAATAATAATTACTTAAATTAGAATAGTTATAGGATTGAGAGAAATTGAAAGCTAATTTCTTATCTTAATTTTCTAAATATAAATATTAAATTATATTTTATGGATCCAAGATCATAGAACAATTCTGATAATTAAATACATTGTGATGGAGAAGAAGACTAACGTTCTGGAGGAGATGAAAATGTAATTATTTATAGAGTTTTAGGACAAACTCTAAAATTTTAAACATAATATAAATGAAGGTGGTGAAGTAATACATGAGAATGTCAAAAGAATCGATATGAAAAAAACACTTAATGATACTACTTTTATTTTGACTTGTTTAAAAAATCATTTTGTATTTTACAATTTAAGTGAAGCTGAACTGTAATTTTATATGATTTATATTTTCTAGAGAGAACATTGTTAACAAAATGTTTTATTGTGAAGCAGCAGCAGGAACCTATATTTTTAAATAATAAGACCATGCAACTTGTTTTTTTATTTTATAAAGAGGGAGTTTAGAAGTAATTGTAAATGAAAAAGTAAACTAATGAATTTGAAAAAAATAGGCAAAAAGAGAATTGAAAACTGGTGATGGATTTGGAGAATTAGCTCTATTATATAATGCTCCTCGTTCTGCATCTGTAAAGTGTTTTGAAAACTGTAATCTTTGGGGAATAGATAGAAATACATTTAGAAGAGCTGTTGAAGAAATGATCACAAAAGAATATGAAGAAAATAGAAAATTCATGGAAGTAGTTAGATTTTTTCGTAAATCATTTTTTATATATATGATTAGACAATTTGACAAATGAATAAAAGGATGCAATTGCAGCTGTTTTAATTGTCTAAAAGTTCTATAAAAATTAAATCATTGTAAATGAAGGAGACCCAGGATCATCATTTTATATAATTAAAGAAGTATGAATTAAACATAATAATTTTAACAGGGAACTGTATCTGTATTAAAAGGTAACAAAGAAGTAAGAAAATTGTATAAAGGGGATTCCTTTGGTGAATAAGCTTTATATTATAATACTGTTAGACAAATGACTGTTAGAGCTGAAGATGATGTCAAATGTTTAGCTTTAGGAAGAGATTCTCTCACAAAAATACTTGGTGATTAAGTTCATGTTGTTACATTTAGAAATCTATAAAAGTGGGCTTTTGAAAAGAATGCTTTATTAAGCAAATTAACTAAAGCTTAAATAGATAAGGTATTGGATGTGATGAAAATCTCATCATGTAAAGCAGGAGATGTTATTTTGAAAAAAGGAACATAAGCAAATTAAAAAATTATTGTTATTATTGAAGGTAGTTTAAAAAAGAGTAAATCTGGTATTACAGTGGCTACTAAAGCTTAAGCATGGGGTGAGGAATATTTTTTATAGACAAATAAAGCAAAAATGTAAAATAATATATTATTCTAATAATAGATTAGATGATGATATTGTTATGGAAACAGATGGAGTTATAGCTGAAATCACAGCAGATAATTTTATAGATTGTATTGGAGGAGAGTTAGAGGAAGTGATTAAAAAAAATGAAAAAATTTTAGAAAAAAAGTTATAAAAATCTGATTAAACAAAAAAGAAAGAAGCTTAAAATATTAAGAAATCTGAATTGCTCCATATTAAAACAATTGCATATGGTCAATTTGGTCCAGTTTACTTAGTTAAAGCAAAATATAATCAATAATTATATGTTTTAAAGGCATTTAATAAGAATTAAATTAATGAATAAACTTTAGAAAAGTAATATTTAATGTTATTTTTATGTACCTACAATAAGAGAAACAAGTACTAGAAATAGTTAATTTTCCATTTATTATATCCTTCATGAAAACATTCAAAGATACCTTGGATGTCTATTTTCTTTTAGAATATGTTCGAGGAATGGAATTATTTGATGTTATAAGAGATATCGGTATATTTATTTTATATATATTCATAGGATTGTTATCTACTTATGACTCTCAATTTTATGTTGCTTCAATGATTTTGATAACTGAATACTTGCATCACTAAAATATTATTTATAGAGACATCAAACCAGAAAACTTTATGGTTGATGATAAAGGATTTCTTAAATTAATTGATTTAGGAACTGCTAAAATTATCAAAGGAAAATAAGGAATTATTCGTACATATACAATTATTGGAACTCCTCATTGTAATTTATTGAAATTACATTATAGATATGGCTCCTGAAATAATCTGTGGTAAGGGTTACAATTGTTTAGTGGATTTGTGGTCTATTGGCATTTGTTTATATGAATTTATGTGTGGAATGGTGCCTTTTGGAGAGGAAGCAGAGGATCCTTATGAAATTTATGAAGAAATTATTAAAAAAGATATTACCTATCCAAATTATTTGAAAGACAAAAAAGCCAAAAAACTGATGGATTAGTATTAAAATTTAATAATTTTAGATTACTTTCTCGTGTTCCTGAAGTCAGATTGGGAGGTTCTTATGCTTCCCTTAAGGGAAATCCTTGGTTTGAGAACTTTGATTGGGTATATGAAACTATTATATCTTAGGAAAAATTATTGGAAAAAGAAATAAAGACTCCTTATTTACCACCCGCAGATAAATTATTACCAGAATTAGAAATAAAATCTCTAGAATAAAATGGCAAGATGATTGAGGAAGAAATAAAAGTATCTAAATATATATATTTACTAATTTATAGTAAGAATAAGCTGTAAGATAGATGGATGGGCAAAATTAAGGAGATTAAGGATGGGAAAAAGACTTTTGATATTTATTATGAGATCTAAATGGAAAATATTAATATAAATAACTTTTTTCTGTTAACAAATATTGTATTTTGGTTTTCATTAATTTATATCTTAAGCAACTTATTCAGGCTTCCTTCTTTTCTCCAATTCTTCTATGATTAATTTCTTTCCTTCTTCGGTGACCTCTAATTAAGCAATCAATTTAATCTTCTTCCCTCCAGGTTATTCATTTGGTATAAAGGTTTGGGTCTCTATTTTTATTATTTTTGCATATTTCTATTAAAATAATATGTGAATTAACTTTTCTTTCAAGTGCCTAGGCTATAGATATAACATTTTTTGTAGCATCTCCTAGAGCATGTAAACTCAACTATCCAAACTTATTTAAGAATATTTTTGATAAGAAAATATACTGCCCTACAGCTTTATTTTTTGAAATGTTTAAAATCTAGTCTTTTGGATCTAGTTCTGTCTTTTACTAATTCATGATATATATAATAAAATTATTTATTAGTTTAGTTTATCAAATGGGGATTAATAAAATATAAAATCAAAATGATCGAATTAATAGGAAAAGTCAAAATTCTTTTTAAATTAGTTTTTACTTTATTAGTTATTGTCTTCAAAAAATTCAACATAAAATATGTTATAATAAATAATAATTACATGTCTAAATAATTATAAAATGAGAAATAATAAAATGTCATTCAGGCTTCAGGCTTACAAGAAGCATATGAATGTAAAATATATCAATATAAAAGATTTACTTAGGTAATTATGCAAGAAAGGATTACCAACTGGAAATGTTTATGAATTTTCTGCTCAAACAATATTGAAATATGAAAAAAAATTAAAAAATGATAACATATAAACTAAAGCTAATTAAGCTGCTAAAGAAGCACATGGTATATTTAGAATTCATTTTAGAAAAATATCTTAAAAAGATGCAAGAAAAAGAACAAAAGAATTTAGAAGAAGTTTCAAAGTATGAATTGGCATTTAGAGAAGAATAAAAGAGAAAAGAATTATAACATTAATCACTTTCTTAAGAACCAGCTTAAAGGAATAGCATAGGAAAATAGAGTATAGATTTAAAAAATTAACAAATTGAAAAAGTTGATTAATCCCCAACAAAAGGAGAAAAGAAGTAATAAAACATCTAGTCATCTCCATCTAAATAAGAAGTTAAAGCTTAGAAATAAGAACTAGAATAGGTTGTGTAACAACAAACTTAAAATTAACAATAATAGTAAGGATAAGGTTATTAACAATAATAAAATAATAATAAAAAAGGATAGGTTTAAAATTAAAAAAAAGACACAAAAAAATAAAGCCAGAATGATTAATCTATATTAAAGGAATTAAAATTAGAAGAGTAAAAAGAATAATAAAAATAATAAGAATAATAATAAAAGCAGCAAGAATAATAATAATAATAATAATAATAATAATAATAATAATAATAATAATAATAATAATAATAATAATAATAATAATAATAATAAAATAAAATAAATGATATCAATAAAGAATAACCAAAAGAATAATAAAAATAAGATAATAAAAAAACAAACAAGAAAAAGTGAATTTAAAAGTATATTTTTTTAATATTATATTTTAAAGCTGATTTTTTTAATCTAATATTCATTTTTATTTATCCTATTCAAGCAAATATTCTCCCAAAAATCGAATTGGATTTTCAGGTCTATAATTTTGTTAATTAAAACTGTTACCTCTATCTTCCGACTTCCTTTAATCCTTCTAATAATATTGCACTTAAATTATTATCAAAATAATCTCTTAAAGGTAGACTCTAAAATTTAGGAATTTAAGGAAGATCAAATTTGGATTGTTATTATTTTTATGCTCCATCCTGAGAATCATTTATTTAACTACCATTCACACTTTTTTTATCATCCTCTTTTGTTGGTATTACAGTTGGCTAATCATTGAAGCTTGGCTTTTTTTATTATTATTGTTATTATGATGAATTACTTAATCTTTTATTGCTCATTTTAATAATAAATTATTTTAATGGCAAGTTCAATTTTAAATTTATTAGCAGGGATGAGTGTAGGATTTTACTTAACCTATAATGTAGATGATGATACTCATCAAACATTTCATAAAGAGATTTATGTTCCAGTCAAAAATGAAATGAAGCAAGATGATGAGCCTAACTATTGGACCAGAGTATTTAATGTTGCATCAAATGGTACATAAGAATCTGTAAAATATTTGAGAAAGAAATATACAAAAGAAAACTAGTATAAAAAAAATTGATATAACATTCATAATCAAATAAAATTAAAAACTAGATAACTATTCTTTTATCTAGATTATGCATTTTAATTATATTTTAGTCTTATATATATATATATATATATATATATATATATATATATATTTAATAAATTTGATGGAAATAATTTATTTGATTCAAGCAGATCCAATAAACTTCTCAATAGATAGAATTTACTCAATACTCTAGTCTACAATTACAAAAACAAAATAATATTATTCTTGTCACAATATTTTTATTTGCCCTCATACTGTTTAAATTGAATTAAATTCTCAAAGAAATCAAATATTTTATTAGCCTCAGAATTGTCAGCTTTGCCCATAAAATGTATTCTTGAGATTACAATAAAGGGATAAATTGAAATATATGATTTGCGGAATTTTATATTTTTTATTAGAAGGTAGAAATAATCTATAATAATATTACTAAACTTAAGAATACTTTTTCTTTAAAAATATTTATGGATATTACAATGAAAATGAATATTTTATGAGATCAATTTGTTAAATTTTGACTAAGTTAGATTTTAATGAAAAATAATAAATACTAAATCAAATGCCTCAATCTAGCATACCTGTTGTTGAAAAATATCAATTCAATAAATATTGCGTCATTATTATATCTCCTTGTTTAGGAGCTCCTTAATTTAGAAAAACAGAAAGTAGTAGTTTATATTATCTGATAAGCTTCTAAAAATTCTTGTAGGAACTTAAAGAAATTTAAATAAGAATAGGATTGAATAACCCATTACCTCCTCCTTGTCCTCATAATATATTCATTTGTTAGGGATTTCAAAATTATTGCAGATTTTTTATTAATATATATCAAACTAATCCAATATGTAGATGTTAAAATAGGTAAATGGGAAAAGTTTTATGTATTTTATTAACTGGAAAAGAATAAATTAATTATAATTAATAAGAAAATGATGAATTTATGGATAATAAAACAATAGAATTTTTATAATAACTAATAAATTAATATGAATTCAATAGTGCTCAAGAATAATTTGAATAATATGATTAAATTATTCAAAAAATTGAAGAATTTAAAAGAACTATGTCAATCATCGTAGAAGAATTTATAGAACCAAGTTTTTATGCTAATGCTCTATCAAATAATTTAAGTATTATTTAATAAGATTTTCTTTGGGAATATTATAAAATTCTATTTTTGCAGGAAATGATAGAACTATTAGAAAATAGAGTATTAGCTTAACCCATCCATTTGGATATTTTGTTACCTTTTATATTCTAATTAAAAGATTAATAAGTATATATTCATTTTAGCTTTAGAAATAAAGAATACAAGCTTTTCTCTAAATTTAGGAATCTAATATATTATAAACAATTCTTCAATCTTATAATGAATAACTTTAAAATCAGCACAATTAGATACCACAACCACATTAAATCATAAATAATGCTAATTATTTTCCAAATTTATTTTTGGTCAGATATACACTTTTCTAGCAATTTTCTGGAGTATTAGCATTTCAAGATTAAAATAATTAATTCTTTAGACAGAGATTTTAGGGTGATTTAAATTATCAAAATATTATTGCATTTGAGAATTAACTTAGAAATGGACAAATATAATTATGAGATAATAAAATTTATTATTATTCAAAATATATTTATGAATTATATGATTATAATTTTAATATACTCAGAATGCATGACTAGTCAATTTATAAAAGGCTATCTACTATATAAATAAATTCAAATTACTAAATATTTAATTTGCTTTAAAACAATACAAAATATGAACATGATTTTATAATATCTATTATATTTTCTAATATATTAAATTAACAAAAAAATAGAATATATTTTCAAATTAAAAATTCTTCAATAAAAGATAAAAATAAATTAAATGTAAAACTTTTTGTTGAATGATAATAATTTATAGCAAGAGTATGTGTAAGAAATTTATGATAGATATTTTTGTTATTTTTTATGCCTAATACAATTACTTAGGTAAAATGTAAAAAATATTAAAATTGCTGAAATCGTATAGAACCTTTGGGAATTATATTGAAATCCTTTATAATAGATAAAAAAATAAGATATATAAATTTGAGATTAATAAATAATAGATGGAATTAAAGATGATTTTTGAAATATTAAACTCTTATAAAAATTAATGACCACCATTAAGCTTTTTAACTATTAGAAATTTCATTAAGCAAACTATGTTTTTCATTAGAAAATTTTTAATTTTTTTATTTTTAAATGAATAGGCAGAATTAATTGACTATTAGAGATTCTTTAAAGAATACACTTTTTAGTTAAAAGAAAAGAAATTTGAAATTTAATCCTTCACCCTTAAACTCTTCTCCACCAATAGAAATTAACCAACAAAAAAGCAAAAATTAATAATTTAGACATTTTAGTGATGTTTATGAATATGGCCATCATCAGATTGGTTATTTGAATATTTATCATTAGGTGAAGGAGCACATGGGATTGTAAAGACATGTTATAAGCGAGATTAAAACAATTAGAATAATTCGGAAAGAACCACTTATGCCGTTAAAATCTTTAGAACTGGAGATACAGAAATAATTAATACAATCAGAGAAACATTTCATATAAATAGAGCACTTAATGATCTAAACTGTGTTGTTAAAGCATTAGATCTATTTATAAATTCTAAGAAAGAAGAACATCACTTAGTTATGGAATATTGTCCATATTTGAGTTTAGAATAAAGAATTGGAAAATTAAAATTAGGAGATATTTAAATAATAGCATTAAATTTAGCTCAATCAATTAAATAATTACATTAAAGAGGAATTTGTCATAGAGATTTAAAACCTGATAATATTCTTATTGGAGATAATTTGTCATTGAAATTAATAGATTTTGGGGTTTCAAAAAGGTTTTTAGTAAAAGGAAAAGTAACTTAAAAAATAAATATGTGGACAAGAACTGGCTCATTATTTTATTAGGCTCCTGAAATATTCTTAGGAGGTGGATACAATGAAAAAGGTAACATTGAATCTATTTTTAGTTGATATCTGGTCAATAGGCATAATTTTATATTAATTATTAGTTGGATAATTGCCATTTTAATAGGAAACTATTTTAGATACTATAGAGATGATAAGAGATTCAGAAATAAATGTAAAAAATACAGCAACCTTTAAAGAATTGAATCCTTTAGAATAAGATCTATTAAAGAGATTATTGAAGAAAGATCCAGAAAAAAGATTGTCGGCTGAAGGTTTATAAATAATAATAAATTTTTAAAGATTTTGTTTTACATCCTTGGCTTCGTAAGAGATAATAAAAAAAGTCAATGAAAAGCTTTGATGATTGTGATATTGTGGATATAAAGAAAAGTGATGAGATATTATAATCTTCAGAAATAACAACTTAGAAGCAATACTTGCCAAGGAGTAAAAACCCTTTGATTGTTCCTATAGAGGATGATTCTATAGTTAATCCTTAAAAATTAAATTGGAATAATTGGGACAATCATGTTCATTATATTCCATAAGATTTAATTCAGATAATCAACCTTTATGATATAAAATCAAAGTAATTGGGATGTTGTGAAGAATTATTAGATGAATAATAGAAGTAAAATGAAGTAGGAGAATTTTAAGTTGAATTATTGAGAAGAACCTCAGAGCATTTTGATTAACTATGACTATTACTCTTAATTCATTTTTTTTTATTTAATTATTGATTTCTACGCTTAAAGCCTATGTCTTTATCTGTTTCTATGACTTTATTTTCGAGTACAATTAAATTTTATTATAATCTAATCTTATCTTGGTTTAGACATGAAAGCTTTTTAATAAATTAGTTGATTACTTATTGTTTAAGATTATATGTTTCACTTTTTGATTGTTAATTTAATTCTCGCATATCAGTTACAATTTTATGACAATGATCAAGTAATGAATTATGTAATTCTGTTCTTTCCTTATTTTGAGCTTCTCCTAAATTACGGATATCTTGTCTATTCTTTTCGATATCCTTATCATCATTTACAAGATCATTATTTAATAACACCAACATTTCCTAATATTGACCTAAATCAAACATCTACTTCAATTCTTTTGATATGATTTTTTATAGGTAATAGAGATGCTTAGTCTTCTTCTGTTTCTTCTTATTATTATTTTCTCATTTAATTAATTTATGAGATAACAAATATCTCCGCATTCTCATTACATTAGTAGTAAATAGAAATTAGAATCCTCCTCTCCAAGTCATTCCATTAAGAGGAACAAATTACAAAACTAATTACTTAAGATGTTACAAACTTAAAGTCCAAAGAATCTAACAATTAAAAATCCATTATTTGAAATTGTTCCATAGAGTCGTAAATACATGGAATGCTATAACTCTCCTATCTAATATCAATTACCAAAACAAAGAACACTTCCCTCTTTGATTATCAAATCATAATTAAGTTTATCCAGAAATTTAGATTTAACCCCGAAAAGATCTCCTAAGTGTGTAAACATTCATACACAAAGAAGATTCGTTTTAAATAGTTGAAATGAATATATTTAACTCATTTATTTTTATTCCTACTCTATGATATTGACTTAGTTATGGATTTATAAAAGTTCATATTTTATTGTAAAATTCCAGCTGACCCCTTTCGATTGATTGGAGCATAATAATTACAATCATAATATTCTTGATTTTGTTAGAAATTATTGGCTCTTGTGTTTTTAGCTAATGGAGGTTCCTAGACTTTTGCAACAAATGCTTATAATTAATTACTAAAACCCTTATTTGGATTAATTTAGGGTCTTTTAGATTTCACAAAAGATAAGGCTTAATTAAAATTCATCTTCTTTTTTTCTATTAAGTAACTAATAACAATTGCTGCTGAACGGGAGATACCTGCCATACAATGAACTTAGCTTCTTTAAATATATATCTACTACCTAATACACCACCTATCTTAAATCCTCTCTCTATCCATTCATTTGCAATTTAAAAATGTTATGAAATATTTGCTGTATCACTATCAAATATCTCTATTATATGATGCACTAATCCATTAAGTTTTAATTATAATCCTGCAGCTACGGTTATCACAGTTCTTATTCCTTTACTTTTTAAGAACTCCTAAAATCAAAGAAATTTATACTGCATCAAGTGCTGATTCACAATTTCCTAACCATAGAGATCCTTTCTCATTAAGTATTAAATCACAATGTTTTTTTTACATTTAATAAAATCTGATACGAATATTATTAAAAACATATATAAAGATAGAAAAATTAAGTCATTTGTAAATTTGACTTAAATTATGCAAAAATATTTCAAATAATAAAGTTAACTTAATATAATATTTTAATAAACGCATTTATTGTAGCAATTAAAAAATTAATTTCTAAAGATTCTATTATTATTATATTAGATAACAATTATAATCCTAATTATTCCAATTAGAAATTAATTATTTTATTAAAAATTTAACTTTTATTAGAGTAATAATATTTTATCAAATTCTTCTATATTTATAATTAAGATCTCTATCTAAATGATATTCCATAAGAAATAATAAGAAAATTATCTATAAAAATTACAATTTCATTGGTAGTTGTCCATCTTGTTCATGTTACATGATTAATATATAAAAATTAATTGAAGAATTATAGTTTGAAGTAATAGTCATCTTACATTATTATTTATACTTATGGTTATTATGATATTATGTTTAATAATTACAATACAAGTTTAATTGTTGATTTTTATAGATTTGCAATAATATTTTATTTATAAAAAATGGGAACCTGTTCAAGTTAAGCAAAGTAGAACAACAAAATTATTCAACCAAAACCAATTTAAAATGAGCTTGAAACTAACCTTAATTCAGGTTAAAAGCCACCAGCATCTTAAAAATAAGAGGAGATAGATGAATATCCAAAATAATCTAATTAGGATGCTTAAGAATAAGTGGAAATAAAAGAAAATTAAGAAAATTAAGAGAATTTTGATGATTTGATCACAGAAGAGGAAGCAATAAAATCATATCTCTTAGGGGAAGAAATATCTGACTTGATTTTATAGAAGGATAACAATTTGGATGTTCAGATACAACGTAAAATAAGGTTTAAAGATAAGACATAAATGGTCTCTATAATAAAAGCTCTTTTCTTATGGTTGAGTATGAATTGATTTGACATTATTAGTTTAAAGAAATTAGAAGAACCAATTTATCAGTTAGACAAGAAATATCCAAGTGAGATTCTAAATAATTTCTAGCAGTTTTTATAGCTTTCTTTATAGGATCTTTTTGAACACAATATAAATTTAGTGAAAAATGAATAGATTTTGTAAAAAGGTCTTGAATTGTGTTGTCGAACTTACCATACATTATAAAATTAAGGAAAAAAATCAAAAACTTAAAAAATATATACAGAAATCATTTAAGATGAAGAAATGATTATAAGTGAAGAGTTAAAAAAATAATACTTAAAAGTTCAAAGTGAAATAAAACTGGAAATTATTCGAACATTTTCTAATAATAAAGATATTCCTAAATCTCAATAATAATAAAATAATCCTCTAGTTTTGATGAAGTTTAATACAAAACATGCTATAACTTTAGCTAAATAATAGACATTAAAATAATAAGCAGGAGATGATGAGGACAGTTAATTGCTTTAATCCCTTTAAGATGCTTTAGATTATGATATTTAGAATAGCTAATATGATACCAGTAATATGAAACCAAAAAAGAAACAAAATTGAAAATAAGATTACTTGAAATAATAATCTTCGTATTAATATATAATATTTAATATTAAATTTATTTATTATAATTATATATATATAAAGTAAATTATAAAATAATGAATTCAATCAATATTTGATTTCGATTTTTTATAATACCTTGACTAGAAGCATTTAATTTTTTGTTTAAGATTATAATTTTCTTAAGTCAAAAATATTATTTATTCTTAATAACGATCTGCTTTTTCAGCTAATAATTATTTTGAAACTAGGAAATCACTTTCTAAAGCTTAAATATATTCTTTAAGATTTTTTTGATTAAATTATTGTGATCTTATTTATTTAAGTTAATATTATAATAATTGTAATTGTGCTCTTTGTTCCTTTATCTATTTTGTAGATTATCTAATACATTCTTCATATTGAACAAGCTATTCTTATTTTTCATCTAAAATTTATCTTAAATTAGTCATCTAATCCTTTTCATCATAACTTTCTTCTAGGATTTCGAATGCTGTAATATTGACTTCTTCTTTTTATATCTAATTAATAGTATTTGCTGTTTATTAGAAGATATGATTTTCTGAATGTTTTTAATTTTTTATTTCAATTTAACCTTCAAGTAATTCTTATAATTCATTTATTTATACTAATAAGTCTTTATTGTTTTAAATATACTTTGTATTTTGAGTTCTTAGACTCTAGATTTATTTTTCTTTTTAATTTTGTATGATATTTAATTTCTTAGATAAGATAGATAGATAAACTTACATTTATTTTTAATTCTAGTATATTTCTATCTGATTGAAAATGTTCACGTAATAAATTGTTTTCCCTTTACATTTTAATTAATTATTGATTGAGTTCTTAAGATTCATCTTGCAAATATTAGATTTTACTTATAAGTTAACTAATTGTATTCTTATCAATCATTGATTAATTTTCTTTTATTTTCAACTAGAATTTACCTTAAAGTATACTTCTTGATCATACTTCTAATTTTTTTTTTCAAGATTGAGCAATGATTCTAAGATTTCAATTTTCTCTTGTTGTCCATCTTAACTACTTTATTGAATCTAATCTAATAAATATGTATTCCATTTTTAATCCATTTCTTATAATTCTTAGAAATGTTAAATTTAATCTGCATCTATCTTTTAATAGAGTTCTGTTATATGACTATAATAAATAATAGATAATACACTTTCAATTATAATATTTCTTCATCTTTTTTGTATTGTTTAGATGGTGATTCTTAATTAAGAAGGGTCTCTAACTATAAAATTTTTTCATCTTTTTCTATAATAATATCAACTGCACTTCTTTCTAATTCTTGAATTTAAGATTGCAATTGATTAATATAAGATTTTAGATTAAATAGCATTTGACTTTTTTGTTCTTTGTCTAAGTAATCAAATTCTTCAATATATTTAAAATCCATAATAATAATTAATTAAATGGATAATATTTATAAGTTTAGAGCTAATACTTCAATCTAGCATTTATAACATTTGAATAATGATAAATAATTTTATTCTGAAGATGAATCATCTGAAACCAAATAGAATTAACAGTTTTACTTAAAATAAATCAGTAAACCACCCAGTAAGATGTCACATTTTAGTCAAAACATAACAGGTTATTAAACTGATGATTCAGACAAAGATTCCTAAAAGGATATTAAAAGAGGTCCAACAAGTAAAAATTAAATTTTATGTAGGTTAAAAATTGTCAAAATTTAGGAATTTAGTGAATTCAATAGAAGGTGATATTGAAGGTGCTGAGGAAGAACGAGAAGATGATGTTCAAACAGATATAACTCAAAGTAATTATGAAGATCCTACTTATATTACAAATAAAACAAGTAAACTTTAATGGAAGATGAAATAGTACAATAATGAATAGATTTTTTTAGTGTAACATTTATATAATCATAGCAAATTGTAGAGAAATGTTAATTCTGACATAGAATATTCAACAAACAAATAATAATGTAAATTATCTAATCATCCTTTTCGTCATCTTATCTATGGTCCATTAATTTGTGAAAATGTATTCAACAAATTTTTATAACTCACCTAAAGAGGATTAATTTATGCTACTCGAAGTCTTAAGGAACCATGTAAAAAATATATTAAATCCAAAACTTTAATATTACCAGATGCTAAAATTCCTAAATCAAAAACCTTACTTTTAGATTTAGATGAAACTTTAATTCATAGTTGTTCAGCTAGAGATAAATATTAAATTTGTATACTTGCATTTAATGAATAAGGAGAATAAGCAAAAGTAATACTATCTTTCTAATTTTTAGATATATTTAAATATTCGACCATTTTGTTAATGGTTTTTATAATAAATGAGTTTACTCTATACTATCTATGTATATACTGCCTCATCAAGTGCTTATGCTAGTACTATTGTCAAATATTTGGATCCTAAAGGATAATTTATATCTGGAATTTTATCAAGACAGAATTGTTTGGAAACTAAACATGGATTTTACATTAAGGATCTTAGAATTATTTCGAATAAACAAATTAAGAATATGCTTATTGTTGATAATCTTGCTCATTCATTTGGATTTTAGATTGAAAATGGAATACCCATACTAGAATGGTATGATGACATGAATGATTAGGAACTCAAATATTTGGCTACTTATTTAATGGAGGCAGCTGATTAAGAAGATCTTAGACTATTCAATAAAAACAAACTTAAGCTACTTGATTTAATTGAATATAAATTCGATTGATTATTTATTTCTAATTATGGGCTCTTGTTACTCTCAAGTACCTTATACTTTTCCAGATGGAGGTATATACGATGGCGAAATTAAAGATGGACTTCCTGTATAATTGTTAAGGTGAATCTAGGATGGAAAAGGTAAAATTATCTGGGATAACGGAACCTAATTTGAAGGATATTTTGAAAAAGGGAAAAAGGTTAAAAAGGGTGTTTTTAAATGGGGTGATTCTTCACATTATGAAGGTGAATTTTTGAATGAAAATTTTCATGGATATGGTGAATATTATTGGTACAATGGGAAAGTGTACAAAGGTAATTGGGTTAATGGTAAGATGGAAGGTCAAGGTACACTATGTTATGATGGTAAGGAGTATATTGGTATTAAATTTATTAAATCGTTAAGGTGAATTCAAAAATGATAAAAAGGATGGGTAAGGAGAATTAAGATGGCCAAATGGATAGAAATATATAGGTTATTGGAAGAATGGGAAACAAGATGGTATAGGTAAGTTAATTGAACCAAATGGAAATGTAATCGAAGGCAAATGGGTAAAGGGCAAAAAATTATGATTATTATTTCTTAAAAATATTCTTAATTTCATTAAAAAAATAATTACTATTTTTTATTTATTATATATTTTCTACTCTTATCAAAGTAATTATTTTCTAATAGGATTTTTATTATTTGAAATAATAATATGTTAATATTCATTAAAATAATGTTATTTATTTTTTATTAGTTCTTTTTAATATATGATATATCATTTTATTTATAGTTCTTTACATGTTATGTTATTAAATAATCAATTAATTGAATTTTGTAGTTCATGAAGATAATAAATATTATTTAATATTATATTATTAATAAATGGAGTAGATAGAAAGTTTAGAGGGAAAGTTATTTTATAAAATATACATGTTATGTAAAGGCAATCAGATAAATGAGTTTTAGAAAGGAAAATTAAAAGGTAATTGAAAAAACTGATCATCAAATAGATTTGGTAATTTAGAGAGACGAAAGAATTGGAATGGCTATGACTCAATATCTAGAAGACAGGGATGAGTTTCGATTACTTGAGAACTTTCATAATTGCTCTTGTGAAGAGTATTCTCCCAAAAGTTATAATAATTTATCTGACGACGTTTCAAATGGAAGTTCCAGTAAATATAAAGGAAAAAGACCTGCTAAAATGCAATTACCTCTCAAGACTTTTATGATAAATTTAAGGAAGTATAATGCATCATTTCCTAAATTAGAAATACTGATATAACTACTAGTTCTAAAGGATTTTATACTAGTACAGCTAGGTCTGGAGGGAATAGGAACTATGCAAATTTTAATGAGCGATTCTAATAATCAAATTGGAGTGAATGCGAATGATTATAAATTTTAATATGCTATCTAGATATAACATTAATGGGCGTACAATTTAAGAAGAAAAATTATTATCTGAAGGTGGATATGGGTACATACTGAAAGCAATAGATGTGAATACTAAGGAGGTTTTTGCATTGAAAAAATCTTATTGTTAAGGAGAAGAGAGAACTAAAGTAGCAAGGAATGAATTGGAAATTATGGTATATAAAATTCAAATTTTTAACTAGAAACGATTGCCAAGACATCCAAATTTGGTCAATTTCATGGGAGGCACATTTATTTAAGAGAAAGGATAACAAGTATGTTTGATTTTAATGGAATTTTGTGGAGGAGGAAGTTTATTTGATTTAATGGCAAAAGATCCAAATTCAAGATTTCCAGAAGAATAGCTTTTGGGCTATATGAAAGTATTTATTGATCAATAGAAATCCTTTTAGGAAATTACATAAGGTATAAAGTCTTTGCATACTTTACAACCATCAATGGCACATAGAGATATTAAAATAGAGAATGTGTTATTTTAAAATGGAAGATGTAAATTATGTGATTTTGGATCTGCTAGTACTCAAAGAGTGGATTTAAGGTTAAATTTATGATGTATTTATGATAGTCAAATCAGATAATCTGATTTCGTAATTTATGAAGAAGAATGGGAAAAAAACACAACATTAATGTATAGACCTCCAGAAATGGCTGATTTGTTTTTGAGATATGAGGTAGGAGTAAAAGCTGATGTTTGGATGCTTGGATGTGTATTATATACTTTGTGTTTTTTCATTCATCCATTTTAAGAGAGTTCAAAATTAGCCATCTCTACTGCTACATATAATATACCTAAATAGCATAGATATTCAGATAAATTGATTGATTTTATTAGACTTATGCTTACTCCTGATCCAAAATTAAGACCATCAATTTTTGATGTTGAAAGAATTCTTGCTTAATTTCATTCATTACCATACATATAATTGAATGTATTAGTTTGAAGCAAATTTTAGGCTTAAGCAATAGAAATTAAAAATAGAGAATAGAAATTGGAATAAGAAATGGAATAATATAATAAAAATAGTTTTAAAGTTAAAAAATTTGATGGTGATATTCCTATAGATGAATTAATGAATTTATAAAAAAAGATCTAAACAGAAAAATCTTCAGTTAAATAATAATAATAATAATAAATAAGATAACCTTAATCATAATATGTATAAAGATAATAATAATAATAATAATAATAATAATTTAATTAATTTTCAGGATTTAATTAATAATAAACATCATAATCAAAATCATAATAAGATATATTTGCTCAATTTAATAATCCATAATAAAGCTTTAGTGTCAATAACGCTTGGGATAATTCTAATTAATGGACAACTTAATAATAATAAACAAATGTACAAACTTTTGATAATTTTGGTTTTGTTTAAACATCTCATTCTCCAAGTCCAAATCCTTTTTAATGGGATACCTCATTTAATTAACCTTAATAATAATAATAATAATAATAATAATAATAAGTACAATAAATGTAAATTAATTCATTTTCTACATCTCCTGTTAATAGTGCTTGGGATATAACCACTAATAATACTGAGTAATCTCATTAATCAACTCAAGCATCTATGAATTTTTGGATTGGGAATAGTTAATAATAATTTGGAGTTCAAAGTACATAAATATAATCATAATAATTACCACTAAATCAACAATAAGAAACTATTGATTTGATAGGATTAAATGATCCATAACCATAATAATAATAATAGTATGATTTATCAAATATAATATTATGAATGAGTATATTGATAAATTGAAATATATATATATATTTTCTTTAAAATAATCATTTTTTATAAAATGGAGTAGATAATTACCTAATCCTCTTATATGGATCCTCCTATATTTAAGGTGTATTTAACCTTTTAATTAATTTGCTTTATTGATGAGCAATTAATTAGGTTTTCTAGTATTATGTAAAAGATTATGCACTAGGAGTTTAAGCCAATCGAAAACAATCTTACTATTAAATAGGTGGACAAGGTTCATAATCTCTTAAAGATGTAAGGAAGTTTCTTTTTCTTTAAAACTTTTTTGAAGATGGTGCTAATCCTCCTTCATCAGCACTAAAAAATTAATTAATATAATTACATAACATAATTGTCTCTACCTGATCCATCACTTTAATAATGCCTAAATTTTGGTACCATCATAGGAGCAGGAGGCTTCCATTATTTTTATTAACTAAAAGTTCCAATTTCTGGATGTGTACATTGAAATTAAATTTCTTTCCAAATACCACCATTTTATAATGTAACATAAGAATCACGCCCTGTTTATGTATTTATAAATAATACCTGTGCCATCTGGAGCATAATGACTCATTTTAACTTCTAATCCTCCTACAGTTGCACATCGTTATAATTTAGACATTAATTATAATAATTCTCATTAGTTAGTTTTCTTCAAATTATTCATTTTACTCTTCTAAATGTTTATCTGAGAATAAGCAAATATATTCTGGTAAAAAAGAGTATAACGTAGTTTTAGAAATGATCTTTCCAGCGTTACATAATCAAATAGCATAATACTTAGTATAATTAGTCAGATCATACATACAACATGAATATTCATTTTCTCAATTATTCTAGTTTATTCAAAAAGAAGGATGATAATTTTATTTTTTAGAGAGTAGAGATAAAATTCTATTATTGAATTAAATTAACAATAATAGTTTAATCTAATTACTAAATTATAATTAATTTTATTGATAAATTCTGATTAAAATTAAATATAGTGCCAGAATTTATCAATAAAATCTTTTTTTTTTTTACTTCTTTCATAAATTAGATTATGGAGAGATCAATAGATAAAATATATGAATTAAAATCAAATTAAAGAATAGGAATTAGAAATTGAGTAGTTCAGATTGTCAAAGATTTTAAAGAGTTTGAATAAATTAAAAGTGATAGGAACAAGTGCAGTATCTTTGTACATACCCCCAAAAAAAATAATATCAGAAATTACAAGTAGATTAAACAGCCAATATTCTGAAGCTGCATCTATATAAGATAAGGTAAATCGGATTGCAGTATAAGATTCAATTTAAGGAACTATTTTAAGTATTAATAAATTTTAATAGAATAGGATTAAAGAAATACAATAAAGCCCCAGAATCAGGATTAGTATTATTTTCAGGATTAGCAGAATTTGAAAAAGGATAGAAAAAGATATCATATGTTATAGAACCATTTAGATCTTTATAACTATCCTTGTTTTATTGTGATACCTATTTTCATGTTGAATAGTTGGAACCCCTATTAAAATTAGAGCCAATATATGGATTTATTATAATGGATGGTAATGGAGCTTTATTTGGAACAGTATAAGGAATAAGCAAAGAAATACTCAAATAATTTAATGTAGATTTACCTAAGAAACATAACAAAGGGGGACAATCATCTTTAAGATTCTCTAGAATCAGATATTGGGCAAGACACAATTATTTGATAAAGGTTAGTGAGCAAGCTAAAAATTGTTTTATTTATGATGATAAACCTATTATTAAAGGTTTAGTATTAGGAGGGATAGCTGATTTCAAGAATAAATTAGCTGAGTCTCCCTTACTGGATAAAAGATTGCAACCTTTAATAATATCAATAGTAGATATTAATTATGGAGGAGAGAACGGTTTTAATTTAGCAATATAGAATTCCTCAGAAGTATTATAAAACTAGAAACTTTTAAGAGAAAAAGATTTAGTATCTAAATTTTTTTTGAGTCTTGATCTTGATAATGGAATGGTAGTGTATGGGATAGTTGATACAATGAAAGCTATTGAACAAGAATTGATAAAGTAAGTGATCTGTATTTAAACATTGGAGTACTCTATAATAGAATGCATCAGCAAATAAACTGGAGGTAATTTTTATTATATAAATTAGTAAAATCAATAAAGTATCTTAAAGGATTGGATGTATATACATAAGGAAGTATTTTTGAAGACAATAAAGGAGAGCAATTTATTGTTTCTTCATGTTAAGATCTTGTAGAATATTTAGCAGAAAACTATAGATTAAAAGGAATAGACTTATAGTTGATTTCAGATAATAGTGCTGAAGGTTATCAATTTTATAAAGGATTTGGAGGGTTGGCTGGATTTTATAGATTTAGTATGAAAATGTAATTCAATATGGATTCAGATGAGGAAGTATGGAAATCGGAAGATGATGAATTTATATGATTATATATATCAGTTATTAATTTATTAATTTATTAAATGAGATAAACATAAAAAATCATGCTAGCTTTTTCAGAAGCAACTACAAGTGAATTAAATGAAATATTAGAACATAGGTTCTTTAAGGAAAAGAAGTCACCAAAATCAAAATCTAAAATGAGTTTATCAAAATAACAGTCGACTGCTACTATGTCTACTATAAAATAGGATAATTTTGGAACAAAGAATATATATGAAATTATAAAGTAAATGAGATTAGAAAGAAATGCTCCAGTTGATATTGTTGGGCCATAAAAATGTTTTGATAAGGATAAAGATATAGAGACTTAGAGATTTTAGATCTTAACTAGTTTGATGTTGAGTCCATAAACAAAAGATGAAATAACATCCAAATGTGCTAACAGACTCTTAGATTATACTATTAATGATATAGCAAATATGGATGAATCAGAATTAGTTAAATTGATTTATGAAGTTAATTTTAATGTCACAAAGGCAAAGAGGATTAAAGAACTTGCCTAATTAGTAATTTATAAAGGAATGCCAAAAACCTTTGAGGAAACTATTAAAATTAAGGGTGTAGGTGAAAAGATAGCTTTACTTTATATTCAAGTAGCTTTTTAAAGAGTTGAAGGAATACCTATAGATGTGAATATGATTAGAATTTGCAATAGAATACCAATATTTAAAGAAAAATCTCCAACAAAATTAAGAAAGTTCCTAGAATCAGAGTTTGAACATAAAGAATGGGGAGATATAAATGAAACATTGGTAGGTTTTGGTTAATAAATTTGTTTACCAAAACCAAAGTGTGAATAATGTAAATTAAAGGATATTTGTGAGTATTATAAATTAAAAAACACTTCTGATTGAGTTATTAGATATAATCTATAATATAAATTATAATTACATTTATTTAAAATAGCCATAATCTAATATTATAATAACCATAAATTCCTTCAGCATTGAACAGAATTCATTTAAATTAGTGATCAAAGGATTAAGTATATCAACTATTACAATTAATGAAATAAAATAAATATATCAAAAATATTCATTTAAGATCTAAAGAAATAGTTGAATAACAAAGAGAATAGCAAAATATAAATAAATCATAAATCTAATTATAAGAATTTGATTATGCAGCCAAACCTTATGTAGATTTTGAATTCATAAAATTGAAGAATATTAAATCAATTAAATTGAGTGACTCTGGTTCTAGAGGAGTTTTATTTATTGATTCAGAAAATGGTGCAATTGTATTAAAGTTATCAGGTTAAGTAAGTGTGGAACTTTATCTTAATAAATTAGCATAAGCACTTGATATAAAAACTACTTAAATGAAATGTTTAAAATGGTGTGATTTAGAAATGTAAGAAATTAGAAATGACATTTTATTTGCAGCATCTATAGATGAAGTTTTATCTCATCGACTTAAACAAAAATTAAAAGTTTCCTATTTTGAAATGATTGAATATATTCCTGGTCTTTAACTTTATTATTTCCAAGGAGAAAGAGCTAAAATAATATTCAATTAGGAAAGACTTTTTTGTTTAGGAAAGATAATAGGATTTGATATATTTATACATAATGGAGACAGATTTCCATTACCTATATGGAGAAGTGTAGGAAATGCATATAATGTTATTCTTAAAGTAATTGATGAGAAACAAGAGGATATGTTTAATTTTAATAATATTAATCTTAATTTTGAATGCCTTTATTCAATTGATCCATAAACTATCTTAAAATAACATGATTCAAGCATTTAAGATAAAATACTTAATGCATATATAGAAAAAGTAAAAAAATTTCTATAAGATATATGTGATGAAATTAAAATGAATGAATCTTAATGTTTAGAAACATTTAAGGATTTTATTTTTGAGTAAACTCAATATAAATTAAATAATAATGAGCTCTAAATAATTAAGAAAGGAATTCTATATTAAATTTAGAAGATAGTTTAATTTGGAATAGAAAATATTATTAAAATAAAATAAGAACTCTTATTACCTGATTCTTAAGATTGGATGGATTCATATAATAATTGTTTAAATTAAATTCACATTGAATTTCATGAAAAATTAATAACAGTATTTGCAGATATAATTAATACTAACTCTGAAATATTCTAAACTCTTTGATTTAAATTATTTTATATATATTTTTATAAATTTATAATTATCATATAGTTTATTTAAAAAATAATTATCATTAATGAAATAAGATAATTATTCAATTTTTATATTGATAAAATAGAAATTCACTTTATTATATTAATCTATTTTATTCTATTTAATTTTTTATTCAATGAATTTTAAGAAATCTTGAATGAGATTTAGAAATCATCTATTAAATATAAGAATAAGAAATATAACATAATATAATATAATTATATCATTGTTCATATTTTCTACGAAAGTTTTCCAAATGTTTTGGAATATTCTTCTAAAATAGTATTGGAAGTGGAATGCATTTTATTATAGCTTTAGATTGTACATATCTCTGATATTAAATATTGATAAACATAATTGAAAAAATTGAAATTAAAATGAGTAAAAGAGTTCCAATTGAAATGATTAATAGTTGATTATTTTATGTAAGAGAATTGATTGTTTATTGTGATATATTTAAGAAATATTAACTAAACTCTTATATTTAGAATTGGATAATATCTAATCCCCAATGCATATAAATTAGATAATCACTATCATTAAAAATATGTTCTAAATTCATAATTATTTCTACATCACTTAAATCTTATTAGACTACTTAAAATGCATCTTATATAAATGATAATATTTTGGTATGTAAATTTAAAACACCTGTATAAAATAGAGGCATCAATTCATTTTTAAATAATCTATCAAATAAAAGTTCTGTTTGCATATTACAACCTGTAAAAATACAAACATCATTTTTCAATATTTAATCTTATTGATTACTATCTAATTGAGAATTAGCTTAATCATTATGAAATATTAAATCAACAAAGTTAATTGCCTTGAGTCTTTTTAAATCTAATATTAAAGTTTCAATATTTATAGTTAATAATTATAAGATTTGAGTATCAGTTTAAATGTTTTTGCTAGTAAATTAATAATTTTCATTCACTTAATTAAGTCTTGAGTAAGTTTCATAATATAACTTTATAAAGTATAAATCAAATCTATTCACAGAAGCAATAAAATTTAATCTGGATTCTTATGCTAAAATAGCTTAATTACTGATTGGAGTTATCGAATTTTTAATATGAATATAGTATAAATGAAATGATAATATGTATGTAATTAGACCTATTGATATTAATATAAGCATAATTATAGAATAAAAACTTAAATTATTTTAATTATTTTTAATTGATCTTTAATTATTACTTTTCTTTCTAATCAATATGATAGTTGTTTTAGATTAAGATTTTTTCACATTTTCTAATGTATGACGAGGTTATGCCATAATTACTTTAAAATCCTATTGTCTTAAAAAGATTTTATCATAATTAACCATACTTATCAAAGATTCACATAAATGAATTATATGTTAACAATCCTCTTTATCACACATTTTAAATAGTTTGATATATATTTTGATTGATTTTACAACTCTATAGTAATGAATAATAATTGAAATCAATACTAAAATTAAGATAATATACATTCCTAAAAAGTAAAAGATTATAATAGTATCAAAATAATCATTGATTTATAGATTATAAGATTGACAGTCTTATAGAGTAAAATTTGCACTTTCAATTACATCAAAGAAATTGTAATATACTTGAGATCTTGCCAATTATGTAATGTATGAATCATCATTTCCAGATAAATAATTTTAAGGAGATGAGGAAAATGATTGATATTAAAGATAGAAAGTTTAATGCATTATTTGATAATAGGTTGAATAATCTTAGACTTCTTATTAAATTTTAGATTTTAAGTCAAAATTTACAAAATATATAGTCAAAAGTTTAATTTAACTCTTTTAAGCTCTTTTTGTATAATTTTCATACATTTTATTTAATCTAATATTCCCTTTTGAAATATGTTACCAAGCTACATAAATCTTATCATATCTACTAAAATTTATTTGATTAAGATTTAAATAAATTAATGAATTATTCTAAATAGAATAAAAATCTCTATAGTATATCACATGTCTAGATCCAGCCATTGCTTAACTATAAGCATCCAAGAAGTTTAAATCATAAGTTATCTATTCAATACAGTCTGATTAAATAGATCTCTTATGTTTAAAAAGACTAGAAAGTACTATTATTATAGTAGCAAAAACTAAAATTTGTATTAAGAATTATGCAATTAAATCTTTTATTGATTTTGGTAATAGAGTATCATTGATATAGATAATAATCTTTTCTAATTGATCTATTATCTCATTAGAACTTCTTCTTGTTCCTGTATTTGTTAATTCTGCCATTAATTCTATCTAATCATTATTATCATCATTAGATAATATTATATTACTTTAATTAGGTCTAATTTATTCTACTTGAATTTATTAATATCTTAATAAATCAGAAAGTGCTGGACTTCGAGCAATAACTTAAGATGGAGTTGCATTTAATTTTGGATCTTCTAAAAAGTCAAGTTCTATTATAAAATATAAGAATTCATTTATTGCATCATTCTCAACATAATCTAAGACTTTTTGTGTAACACTATATTCAATAGGATATTATTTTTAAGAGAAAGTAGGAATATTAGCCAAACTAAAATTAGCATCTTTTAAAATATTCATCATATGTTTATTAGTATTTTTTTTAGTTAACAATGTTGAACTTGTCTTAACATTTTGAATTTTAGTAGATGGACATTGAAATACTCCTATTTCTCTTTAACATATTATATCATGTTTCAATATTTTCTTTTCATTTCTTAAAGCCAATAATTTATAATATTCTTCTAAAATTAAAGATAATTAAGGAATTAATGTTTATATAGAATATTCATCATATATTTCTTGAGGCATTATCAATTCTAAATCTTTTTCATTTTTATAAAAATATTTGTAATTGATTCTTTCATAAACATTTCTAGTTAATCCAAATACAAGGAAATTTTAATCAACTAATATATATCCTCTTTTATTATAATCTATTTCCCTTTTTTCATATTTCATCCTTTTTAATATATGGCCTATCATTAAAAACTAGTATTATTCATTTTAATAAGGAAATAGAGTAGTTAGACAAATACTAACCTTTTCAATCAAATTATCAGAATTTATTATAAACTAATCTGAATTTTAGTATAATCTACTTGATTTCCCTTTTTATAAAAAAGACTCAATCAATCCATTGTGAATTTTTCCTATTTTATTTGGCAATAATTACTCTATCTTAGTCAATGTTGCTCCATTATTGTTCTCATATCCAAAGAAATTGTAAAATTAATCATTTATTTATTAAGATATTTAACCAAATGTTTAAGTAGATATATTTGAAATCACTGACAATGCTTATCCTTATATAAATTATAAAGAATTAAAGTTTAATTACTTTTGATTAATTAAATCTTTTTCATAACTTTATATATGTCTAGCTATTTTCATTGATAAATTTATATCTTCCATACAAACTAAACTACTAACTAATTTTATTCTAAGAGTTAATATAGTATCTATTTTTGGAGATTCTTTTGAGTTCTCAAACTTTTTTATTATTTTTTTCAAAATTAATGTTCTTTTCATTATATCATTAGAACAACTTAAAATCTTTTCTAATTAAATTTGATTTCTCAGTTTTTCAATCCATAATTATTTTTATGTTACTAATAATCCATTAAGATTACTAACTAAACTTTATTCATATCTATAAAACAAATTAAATTCTTATAAAGTTAAATATTCTGATTGTGATATCTATGATCCTGCTTTGTTGATATTCTCCATTTCAACTTTATTTTAGTATTATATATGTTTAGCCAAATTTAAGAAAAAAAAGGGTTTTTTATCTGAATTTATTTTTTTAAAAGTTTAAATTACATCTTAAATTATCTTATATGATAACACTTAATTTTCTCTGTATTTTTAGAGGAAAGTAACAAATTTAATAGTTAATTATTCAAATTATTTAAATAGTTCTGTATTTTATAGAATAGATTTAATCATCTATTAAAATTCATACTGAACCCATAAATATATTTAATTTGTACTTAATTAATTATGATTGTGTATAAATTTATTGATCTTTTATTTGCAAGGACATATTAAATCACAACAATTTTAACAATGAATCTCTAAATATTTCAATACCAAAAAATAATCATGTTACTATTTTATATCTTAATGACATAACTAGCATATTACTTCTAAAGGATGTTCACTAATAGTTTTACATCTAGATCTTACAAATTATTAACATTAATTATCAATGTAATTATCATAAAATGCTTAATTAATTCCAAAAATCAACTATAATTAAGTTTAATTCTTACAGGTACAACTATGCAAAATGTTAAAAATATATGACCATCATCTAAATCAGAAAATATCCAAATTGCAACCAAAATTTCAAAAAATGTAGCACTTAGCAAACACTAACTAAAATGTATAGTTTCACTAGAAAAACCAAAAGGAAAATTGCTAAATGTATCTAGTGAAATTATAAACATTATCATTATAAAAATTACATGTATTATAATATTGTAATTATCATACATTTCTTTCCAAAATGAAGCCATTTATAATATCATATGTAATAAAATGGTTAAAAAGTTTAAATAACTAAATTTTCTCATTAGATCTCCTTATATAAATTCATAATTTCTAAAACAATATAATGAAAGGAATCCTGAAATAATTACCAAAGCTTATCCTAAAAAACTTATTACTAAAAAATGAGGAGATATTTCAGCAAAACAATTTCGAGGATTCAAACCTGCATGTTATTCCAAATAGGCTAAACGTCCACAAGTTAATACACCAATCATAGTTTCATGAAAAGGTGTTAAAAAATACCATTAAAAGTTCTAAAAGTAAAACTTTACAAATCTATTGATTAAATTTGATGGAGGCAAAGGCTAATTAATAAGTACTTATTATACTTTAAAAAGAATTTGAAATATTATAATTCCATAGATTGAACACATTGTACCAAATATACAATAATAAACTAATGTTGTAAAAGGATCATAATGGATAACAATCATCATAAATGGTATTGATGAGTATTAACCAATTTATGCTAAATAATCATTTTCATAAAACACTTGAGTTTTACTTTCAAATTAACTATATAGATATCCAAGTAATTAAATAAAATAAAATACTATCATGGCCAGATTTCCATAATCTACTTTCTATTTTCTTCTCTCTGTATTAGATCCTATTGTTAAAAAGAAGTAAACTAGTTTAGAAAAATATTTCATCAACACCTAAATTAATAATTATTGAATTATAAACATATCAAATCCCTAAATACAATTTAGATACAATTGACCTTTAAAAAAACCATAAAATCAAAATAATATTTAATCTATTGTTAATGACTATAAAATTTTGAGCTATTTACTCTTATAATTTATTGATACAAATAATAAAAGATCAATATGAAATATTTATTATTTTCTACAATATTAGAATTATTAATTACTAATCAAAGGTTAATATACTTTATAAAAAAATAATAATATAAATTAACTTTAAATTATCTTAGATTATATTCAAATAGAAAAAAAATAAACTCTATGTTCATTACGAAATCTAAATCGTATTTTTGTCATTCTTCATCATGAAATTTCATTAATTAAGGATTTTCTGATTAAGAATCAATCAATTCTTCAAAATATTAATCATCTTTGCTTTTTATTTCAAGACTGGCTGATGTCACTGTATGACTTCTCTAAATTGATTAAATTCTTGGTGTATCCAAATCTTCCAATAGCTCTTGTTATTATTACATCTATTCAAGCATTTCATAATACTCAAAGAAAAAATGAGTCATTTCTTGAAATCTTCTCTCTCCCATCGTAATTATATCTTCAGTATCAATTGTCCTGTAGTTTCTGATGTATATACAATTAATGTTTACCTTCTCATATTCTCGCTTTTTTGTAAAATACCATTAATAAAAGAGACTCTTTATCTAATAGCTGGATTTCTTTATATATTTTTTTATCTGTTTTTTTGAAAGTATGATTGAAGCTTAAATAAATTTAATATAGCCTTTTAAGCTAATTACTTTATTGAGATTTTTAAATTAGCTTTGTCTAACAATGTTATAGAACGCATTTCTGAAGTGAAAGGTTATAAATCAGAATACAGAATAGCTGTAAACAAAGATGTTAGTGCTACCCCATAGAATAAACCTAAAGTCATTGAAAACCTTCCAAGATCAGTTAAAGGGTATATATCACCATAACCGACTGTAAATATTGTTATCATACAAACCCAAAGAGAATTCTTAAAATTATAAGACATCACTTCTTATTCTGTTCTTAATAAAGATCTTTCTGAAATCTCTAATTAATAAGAGAAAATAAATAATCCTATACAAAAGAGTCCACAAATAGTCTTATAGGGATGTTCTCTTATTGCTACTTTAAATATAAAATGGGGACCAAAATCTACTGAATAAATACGACTTAAATTGTGAGAAATATATACCATAATCTATTGACTCTATTAGAATAGAAGTCTGAGAATTTAAATGCTATGTTTAGAATCAATAAGGATCTAAAAAGCATTATGAAAGTGAGAATCTCATTAATGTAATAAAATCGAATTTGGTCTGAATATCTTTATGTATAGAATATTTTGAATTCCATTGTATAAGGTGTAGGACAAGGTAATAGAATAATAGTCTCTAAAAACAATAGGAAAATCAAATTAGTTTAAAATATATTGCTGGCTTTAGGAATAGAAAGAGAACGTTTTTTAAATTCAAGTTCTGCTAAATAAGCAATAAATGTCATAATAACTAAATATATTAATAATATACTTGTAACTATAGATAAGATCATTATTAAATAGAGTAATATTTTTATTTCGTTATCGTAAGTGTCCGTTAATTGATGCAAAAAAGAAACTTCATACTATAATTATTTAATATAATTTACACCTCTAAAACAACTAAAACTAGAGTAGCACAAATTATCCAAAATCTACCTTATTCTAAAACACGATATCTTTCAAAATACACTCTTGTTACTCGACTATCTTCAAAGGCTTTATGCTTAGAGCTTTATATAATTGTCGATTTTCTTTTTGATCTTTTTCGTTCGATTTGATTTAAAATGATAACAGATAGTCTTTTTTAATATTATACTGCTTCATCTTCATTGGCCCTAGAAACTGGATTTCCAGACAACTCAATAGAGCCTTCATTTTATAAATTCATAATATAATTTTAACTATCAATTATTAATCAATCATAAAAGTTCATTAGCCAAAAATCTATAATTGATTTTTTTTTTAATTTTCAAAGAAATCGTTATCCATGATCAGTTTTTATTCTGTTTTCATTTAAATTACTAATTGAAAGGAGAACTAAATAAAACTGATTCTCAGTACTTCAATTAAAATTTAAAGTATTTGATGCTCTGTTTTTAATATAATCTATTTAGAATAATATTATGCTACCTAAATATTTTTATTACATGAAATATTAAATCTTAAAAATATCATTTAGAATAAAAAATTTCTTCTACTCTATTTATATATACTTAATATTTTAATATAAATTTTAATAATAAATTAGGTTCTCAATATTTAAAAATGTAAAGAACAGTTTTTCAATTTAAAAAATAATGTCATTTAGACATTGTTAAATATACAACCGTTTTTTCAATTCATTTCTTTCTTATTTTAATTCATTTATAATAATAATAATATTTATGAGTTAGCTTTTATTATATTCTTTGTAATTTTAGTATTATTATTAGCATTCATTTTACTATATTATATTGTAAATATTTGAAGAGAATTATTATAATTCTTTTATTTTTTTTTGATTGAACTTCTTATTTATTAATGAGAGTTATATTTCCTATACTTAAAAGGATTTGTAATTTGAAAATGAATTTACAATTAATTAAATATTAATATTAATAGAAATATATATTATTTTTGTTGAGTTGTTAATAAATATTTGAATATATTAAAAATTGTAATTTAATATAATAAAAATAAATTCATAGATATTCCTTCAATCATACCAATTATGATAATGATAATTTTATAAGGAAATAAGTTCTTCAAGCATTTCTTATATTTATTTATTTTGGTATTTACACATTTTCATAATGTCTTAATATTCTTCTAAAATATCATTAGATTCTCTTGATCTTCTTTTAAATAAGTTTACTATATTTTCAGAGATTATACTTTTATATTGTCTCTTCAACATCTAAAATTCTTTCAATTCTGTTTGTATAATTTTAACTCTATTGTATGTAAAAGGGTTTTTATCAAATTTCATTATATAATAAAATTGTTCTCCAATATTGCTTGTGACTTGATACATACTTTCTTTCATTATTAATTTATCTAGTAAAACACATGCTTAATATTCTCCATATTCTTATTCAAATGCTTGAATAATTGCACTTATAATGATTGAAGCCATTACAAAACCAGCATATGCAGCATATGATAATATAATTCTCCCTAAATTAGTTACAGGAACATAATCTTCATAAGCATATGCCAATAGGGATAAAATCACTTCTAAGAAACAATGTTTACTATAGTAATAATTATAAATTATGTACAATAATTAAATAGTCTATAAATTTTCTCTTTGAAGTGCTTTTTCAGCAATCCACATTGCTATTGTACAATACCAAAATGTAATACTAAAGATAGATAATATTAATATGATTGGTTAAGAATGAATCATATACTTGAATAAAAATTTAGGATTCATCATAATCCCATAATTTAATGATAATCTCTATGTTTGGCTATTATAAAATTTGCATAATCTCAAAAATATGAATAATATTTGGAATGATCTTAAAGTACTTATCATTATAATAATTTCATTTACAGTATAATAATATTCGTTGTTTTTTATAGTAAATGTTAAATGTATGTCTATTTAAATATATATATTATTATTATTACCTCTAGTAAAGACAGTAGGGAATATTAATAGGAATATAGTTTCTATTAAAAATGGTTTCATTTGATCTGAATGATAAAATGATTGATCTTTTGGAATTAGTAAAGTAGATTTCCAATAATTCATTAGAGTTAGATAACTTAAAAAAGTGAATAGAATGAGTATCAAATTTAGACTAAATGTAAGCCATAAGATCAAGTCTGATCCTTATTTTTCAATGAATATTTCATCATCAATCTATTTTGAAAAAAGGATTAATACTTCTAAAAACCATAATGCAGTTATTACAAGGATTAATTATAATCGAAAATTTTCAATCAATTTGTGTCCTTCCATAATCAATTTAGTTACTCGACTATCTTCAAAACAGATAATTTCTTTTTGTTAAACTTTTTGATAATTATTTTCCTTAGGTTGTATTTCATCTTGACCTGCAGAGAAGGATCTTTCATAGCCAAGATTCCCAATTCCAGTTTTGAATTGCTTTGTGTAAGTGACTTAATTAATTGAATCGTTTTAATTCATTTATCATTAGCATTAATTATATCCGTAAATTATATATCAATAGTCAGTCTTCTTCGAAACGCATTAAGTGAGAACAATTTATAGTTTCATTTAAATTGTCAAAGAAATCATCATCTTTACTACTCTCCTTTACTTTAACTGATTACTTTATTGAAAAATCAAAAGGTTTTTCTATTGTTGAAGCAATTAGTTTTTATTATTTTTAGATTTTCTCTAAAAATTCTTAAACATCCTCAAATTATCCATTAATATCCTTAAATTTTCTTTTAACCATAGCCATAAATTCTTCACCATCAATATCTCTATATTACCTTTTTAATGTACTAACTTCTTATAAAAGATTATTCATAGTCCCTATCTAATCTTTCAAAAAAGTTGCCTCTTCTAAAGATTTAATTTGATTAGTATGTTTTTTAGATAAATCATTAAGTTTTATTAAAATATTTCCACTAACATTTTAAATAATTTTTCTGATATTAGCTTTTTCCAATAATGCCCATGCCAAATATTCACCATTCATAGGAGTAAGTAAATTATATAGAGTAGCTGTAAAAAGTGATGTAACAACAACTCCATAAACTACACCACAAGCCATAGCCACTCTACCTAAATCAGTATAAGGAAAAAAATCACCATATCCAACTGTAAAAATGGTTATTAGATTTATCCAAAATCTATTACCAATATAAGAAGGATCTAAAGAGTCTTCTAATCTAAAAAGAGCACGTTCAGCTACTTCTAATGAATATCCAAAAACAAACATTCCACCTGCAAATAAAATTGATTATGTTTCAAATGGTCTATCTCTTATACATAATTTCAACATCAAATGTGTATTGAAATCAGCTGAATATAATCTACAAATTCTTCCTATTCTTGAAGATGAATACTTCTAAAATTTAAAAATAATGTTAAGCAATAAGAACCCTTTAAACATTGAAAGAAAGGTTAATATTTCATTAATGAAATAAAATCTAATTGTGTCAGTATATCTTTATTGAAATTCTACCTTTTAATAACGTGTATATGGAGTTGGTATAAGAATTAATAAAATTATTTCCCAAGCAATACCCCAAATCAATGATGTTTCAGATAAGTTTGCTTATGGAGTAATCATTTATGCTTCTTTTTGATATGCCATTAAAACCTGATAACTAATAAAAGTTAAAATAACTAAATGTTATATAAATAATATACTGCTGAGAATGGTTAAGAACATAATTAAATAAAGAAATAATTTCATTTCTTCATCTAATGTTCTTGTTAAATAAGTACTATATGAATATTCATATTCTAAGACAATTAAAGTTATCGTAGCAGTTATTGTAAAGAATCTAGCTAATTCAACAGTCTTATATTTCTCAAATAACAGCATAGTTATTCTACTGTCTTCAAATGAAGATTTATTTTTTTCCCCATCATTTAATATATTTGATTCCGCTTTCTATGATTTAGCCGAACTTCTACTCTCTTTTCTAGATCTGACAGAGTTTTCAATTTTCACAATTTTTATTTCCTCTTCAGGCACCATAGAAACTTTGTTGCCTTACACACTTCTCTCTGTGAATATTTAATTCATTGTTTTAATGAAACTAAAATAAATAAATTTTCTAATTACAGCAAATCTGCATTCTCCATCAAATTATGTTTCTTAATCTTCAATTTTAATATAATGGAATCATCCTAGTAATTAATACAAGGTACTCCTAAATTAATAACAATTTTAGATATACAAAATCAATCAAATGTAAAATATTCTTAATTTATAAGATGGACTAGAATCTACTCATTACTCATAATCATAATCATTTTCTTAGAATCATAGAATAAAACCTTGTAATATAAATAAGATATATATTCTTGCAGAATAAGGTATATAAAATAAGTAGATTTATGTAAAATAAAAAAAAACTTTCTTTTTTTTCAGATGAAATAAATTATTGGATATCAAATTTATTAAAGATTGATAGACATTATAAAAAAATCAAATCTTGATTACTCAAATAAACAATAAAAAATTGATACAATATTAATGATATTAAAAAATAATAAGTCAAATATTTGAATAAAAATGAGAAGAAATTAGTTAAACTACATTAATTAATGAAATTCGAAGAATATTATATGCAAAAGAAAAAAACAAGACTTATTTTATTAGCACAATAAGGTGAAATAGATTAGATAAAAAAAGAGATTTATATAAATAACAATAATATTATTAGTCATAATAGAGATCAAAAATTCATTTTAATAAAAAAAATAAGATAATATATCTCGGTTAAAAAAACATAATTAAAAGCTAAGCTTAAAAAACAATTTTTTTAATAAAAAGCTATGTTTAAATAGTAATCCAATTAATCTATGAAAAAAATTTGATAAATAAGAATTGGTATCTATTATTTCAATAAGAAAAAGAGCAATCAAATTTCAAATAATAAATTTGCTGAAAAGTTTTAAAACTTAGTATATTAAGATGTTAAAATAGAAGATTTAAACAAAGTATAACAAAATAATTCAAAGAAAACAAAACATTAATAATAAATAATAGAAAGTAAAAACATTTATCAAAATACAATAAATTGATTATAATTTTAATATCCTAGATTGATATTTTATTTTATTTTTCAAATAATTAATAAAAATGGTCTTATTTTTTGCAGAGCTACTTTCTCATCAACTAAAACAACTTCTTTATGTTATCCATTATGAGTAATTTCAGCTTTAGACTTATTATTTTTAAATACCTCTTAAATCATAAAAATAAAATGGTTCCCCTATTTAATATCTATATTTTCCTGGAACAGGCATTGTCTTAAATTTCAAATTCATTACTGCACCTGTTTCTACATCAGCCATTTTGAAATATCCAGTTGTCATTGATGTATCTGTATTGAAAAATTGCCAAAACTAAAAAAATTAATTCTTTTATTACCTTATTCTTAAATTCTGGGAATTTTTCAGGACATGGATATCCACGATCATATTCACAATCGTAATCTAAAACATGAAGAGTTTCATCCTTAAATAGAGCATTTATTTCATTATTTTTGTATAACATATCTCTAAGGTATGTTTCTTTGAAATCAGGATCACCACATTTGTCTCTTGCTCTCACATATAACATTGCCAATGGTAATACTGTTAAAACCTAATTGATATCCATGATTTCATACTTTAAATCCAAATGCTAATGGATAAAATTGATAAAAGAATAGACTAAATGCAGGCAAGAAATAAACATTAAATTTATCAAATAATCTATGTCTTCTTTCTATTAAACATGAGAAATTTGGCACCTAGATTATTAATATAATGTATACATGTCTATGTAATAAATCTTAGATCCAAGCCCATCCAAGTGGAACTGATTCCCAATTATCTTTTGGAGTTTTTACATAGGTATGCTCTTAATTAATATCTCTTGGATATGTGTAATAAGCATTCTTAAATTTGTATTGCCATCTTTTGTTATATGGATTAGATGATTGCCATACAATTTTGTTGTATTAGGAACGATGTACCAATTACTGCACTACTTTGCTCTTAATAATTTACATTATTAATATCTTTTAATTAGTAATATATGCTAATATAATCATTGTTTTCTAAACTTTTTCTCCCAAACATCCAACTCCTCAATCATTCTTCGATTTTCTGTTTATTGTTCTTCATACTAAAATCTATTAATATATTTACTTCTTTGTTAATCCCTATTTTTCTTATTGTAGATGTAAAATCTTTATGTTTTTTTATTGGAGGCATATAAGTTAATTTATCAGGTCCTCCTTAACTTTTATGTGTAAATAATATTTCAGGATTTGTGACATTTTTTGGGAACCCAACTCTTAATTGAGGTTTGTATTGCATAACAGGTGTAGGGTCAAAAGAAAAATGCCTTCTACCTTTTGTTTCAATAGTTCCTAAATCAAAGTCTCTTCCTATGCTGTCGATAGGTTTTAAGTGAATTCTACCTCCTTAAAATTTCTACGGTTTTGAACCTTCAGGTTAAACTGAAATCATTATATAATTTAATAAAATTATTGCATATTTCATCTTTTGAAATTGCTCTTCTGGATTTTAATACTCAACAAAATAATTTATTCTAGAAAGTAGATATTTATTCATTAATTTAAGTGATTTTAATTAATACACATATAGATATTGTGTACCATTATGAAAATACTCTCACCTAAAATAGAATATGTATCTTTAATCCTTGGAGTTCTTCTTCATATTTATTTTTTATTATCTAGAATTATTATGAAAATTAATCAATAAAAATAGAAATTTTATAAATTCTTAAACAATCTACAAACTCTTTAGAGTTCTTTATTCAATCAAAAGATCAAATCGACCTATCAATCTTATCCATATTTTTGATGTAATTATTGATGATATGAATATGAGATCTTCATCCTTATTTGAAAATAATCTACTATTTTAGAATACTATTTATTGCAAACTAAAAATAAATATATGTTGTTATAATTCTTTTTTTAGTTATACGATAAGATTATTTAGTCTCAGTAAATAAATGAGATACTTTTATTCTTCAAGAATATAAAATTAAGAATTAAATCCTATATACTTGTATATCATTAATATTTAATTTATATTAGAATTTCTCTATTCTTATTTTGTCACAACAAAAAAATATTTTATTTTATTCCTTAAAGAGGGGATTCTGATTTAAATTGTTAAATAATTGTCTCTGTTCAATAATTATTATTTTTGTTCAGACAATCTTATTCACAAAATATTATTGAAATTCCATTAGCAATTAAATAAATAAATGTAATTATTGAGAAGAGTGTATCAATTTGGCTCAACAAAACATAGATTTGCTTCAGATATTACAAGTACAAATAGATAGAAAATGAACTTGTTTCAAGCAATAAACAATGCTCTTGATATAGAATTAGGAGCAAATCCAAAGTACGTCATAATATATAAGAAAGGGCGTTATTATTTGGAGAAGATGTTAAATTTGGAGGTGTTTTCAGATGTTCATAGGGATTGAATGAAAAGTATGGTACTGATAGAGTATTCAACACTCCATTGTGCGAACAAGTATGAATAAATTATAATAATTAGGGAATTGGTGCTTTTGGGATTGGATTGGCAAGTGTAGGATACACAGCAATAGCAGAAATTTAGTTTAGTGATTACATTTTTCCAGCTTTTGATTAGATAGTCAATGAGGCAGCAAAATTCAGATATAGATCTGGTAATCAATTCAATTGTGGAAGTTTAACAATTAGATCTACTTGGGGAGCTGTAGGACATGGGTAAGAATACAAAAAATATAATTTAGTGCTTTATATCATTCATAATCTCCAGAAGCATACTTTGCTCATACTCCAGGATTAAAAGTAGTAGTACCTAGAGATCCAATATAAGCAAAAGGATTATTACTTGCATCTATAAGAGATAAAAATCCAGTGATATTTTTTGAGCCTAAGGCTTTATATCGTAATGCTGAAGATGAAGTTCCTTTGGATGATTATGAAGTATGATAAAATAGAATGAATTTTAGTTGGAATTATCTAAAGCAGAAGTAGTTTAATCAGGAAAACACATAACATTGATTGGATATGGAACATCAATAAGAGTGTTGAAAGAAGCAGCTAAGTTAGCTGAAAAGGATGGAGTAAGTTGTGAGATAATTGATTTATAAACAATATATCCATATGATGGATAAACTCTAGTTGATTCAGTGAAAAAGACTGGAAGGTATTGAATTAATAGATGAAATAGATGCATAATAACACATGAAGCCCCTTATACATGTGGTATGGGAGCAGAATTAAGTGCTTTTATTTAAGAGAAATGTTTCTTGCATTTGGAAGCACCAATATTAAGAATTACAGGATATGATACACCATTTCCATTAGTTCATGAACCAATTTATCTACCAGACAAATTAAAAATTTATGAGGCTATAAAGAAGAGTGTAAATTATTGATAAGAATAAATAATTATATTAAATGTTATAAACATATCTGACAAAAGCTTAAAATATTTGTAAGAGTTTCTATGAAAAGAAAGGAAATAAAGGAGTAGCATAATTAGCAGTATTAGGTTTGGGATTATTGTATCTTCAACATCAAATACGAAAACATAATGGGTAATTTATTTAATTTATGATTATAAGATGGTTAAAGAAGAAGAGTGTAAATAATGAACATATCTTTATTACAGGAGGAGCAAGTGGTATTGGTAGAAATATGGCATTTAGATTTGCAAAATTAGGAGCTAAAGTATATAAAATATTAATATTATAAAGATATCTATAATAGATGTGAATCAAGAAGCATTATAAAAAGTTGTAGATGAATTAAATTAGACTTATGGTTAAAAAACTGCTTTTGGAGTGATATGTGATGTTAGTAATCCTACATCTGTAAAGGCTGCTATTTAATAATGCAATTCTTTTCACAATAAAAAAATAGATATTTTGATTAATAATGCTGGAGTTGTGAGTGGAAAACAAATTCTTGAAAATTCAGAAGCTGGTATTTCAAGAACAATGAATATTAATACAACTGCTCATCATTGGACTGTTAGAGAAGTGTTAGGAGATATGATTAATAATAAACATGGTCATATTGTAACAATTGCTTCAATTGCAGGTTGGGTTGGAGTAAGAGGATTAGCTGATTATTGTGCTTCTAAATTTGGAGCTGTTGGATTTGATGAATCTCTTAGATTTGAATTAAGAGCTACTAAATCTAATGTAAAAACCACTTGTATTTGTCCATTTTTCATTAATACAGGAATGTTTGATGGAGCAAAATCTAAGTTTCCTTTACTATTCCCAATTCTATCTGAAAGTAACAATCACATAAATTAATTAGATTATGCTTCCCAAAGAATTGTTAATGCAATACTTTAAGAAGAAACGGTTGTAATTATGCCAATTATTCTAAATGCTGCTATAATTGTTAAAGCAATCTTTCCAACATGTATTTATGATAACATGATGGAACTTTTTGGAGTCAGTGAATCTATGGATCATTTTAAAGGAAGAGCATAATAAAAATGATGATAAAATATCAAATATAAAATATCAAATATCATAATTAGTCTAATAAGTTTATTCTAATATTTTCATATAATATTATTTCATCTTCATATTTATGCCATAATTCATTACATTTTTCACATGCTTAATGATTCCACCATGCAGTATTACTCCACCACCACCATTTCCAATCTTCTTTCTTATATGGAAGCCAGTCCCAATTTGTTAAGAAATCATCAAAAATTTATCTATGCATTTCCTTTAAATGAGGATTTATCTCTTTATCAAGGATTTAAATCATTTGATCCTTTATTTACATTAAAGCTTAAGAAGTTTTTTTCTAAGCATCAGATTACAAAGGACAATTAATTTTATGAGAATATAAATCTTCATATTAAATTATCCCACAACCTTAAGGACATTTACATTATAAACTATTTAAAGTTTTTCTCAATTCTAAATTTGGTTAAACTTCAGATATGTTTCTTCTACATAAAGGGCACTTCTAAAGATGTATTACACAATTTAAACAAATTGAATGGACCTGACAATTATACTTGACTGGCTAGAATAAAGTATCTAAACATATTGGACATTCAAAATCTTTAACTTTTTCGTGGATTACTAATTCTGATCTTGAAAATATTTAATATTGTTAAATTTACATAAATTATTTAATTATCATGAGACTTTGCTCGTTTTATTATCAATTTCAAGTGCTTTGGAATAATCAGCTATAGCCAGATCCATTTCCCCAATACTAATTTAAATTTATCAATAATTTACTTATCATAACAACATCCTCGATTGAAATAAGCATTAGCTCCTTAGTCATTCTACAATTATATTACTGAAGTAAAATCCTCTATAGCCTTTATATTTATATATAATCTACTTTACGAAATTCACCAATCCTCTCATTACAAATACCTCTATTATATATAGCATGAATGTTAACCGGATCTAATTTTATTGCTTTAGTATAATCAGCTATAGCTTCATCAAACTAACTCAATTTTGCCAAACAATATCCTCTATTATTTAGAGTTCTAGTGTTTTCTTAGGAACAAATTATTTCTTGTGAATAACAATATACAGCTGTCTCAAAGTCTTCCATCTTTCTCAGAACTAACCCCATATTTGAATAGATAATAGGGTTCTTTGAATCTAAAGATAAAGCCTTTTTAAAATCTTCCAAAGCTTCTTCAAACTTATTCATGCTTCTTTTACAACATCCTCTATTATGAATATATACAGGATTCTATGGTTCTATTTCTATAGCCTTATTGAAATCTTAACATGCTTTCTCAAACTCTCCAATTTTATCAAAAACTAAACCTCTTCCATTATAAGCTGGTGCATAATTTTAATCAATTTTTAGAGATCTACAAATGATATTAAATTCATTACGAATTAAAGTATTTTAATGCTTCTTCTAATTTCTATTGTCTATCCATCAAAATACCAATATGAGTTAAAGTATTTGGGTTATTTGGTACAACATTATTAGCAATTAAATAATCTTATTATGCTTTATCAAAATCTCCTAATTTTTCATAACAATTAGCTCTATTATAATAAGCTTTAAAATGATTTTTATCCAATCGAATGCATTCATTGAATTCTAGAATTGCTTCTCTAACTAAATTCTTTTTTTTCATCGCAAATCCTTTATTATGATAAAAGTCTGCTTTTGAAGGATCAAGTTCTATTGATTTAGCAAAATCCTTAATTGCTAAATTGTAATCTCCTTTTTTATCATAAGAAATTCCTCTGTTATAATAAGCATATGCATTTTTTGAATCCATTTCAATAGCTTTAGTATAATCACTGATGGCGTCATTATACATTCTGAGTTTATCAAATGCAAAACCTAATGAGATCATATATTCAAATTATACCTCTATTGAAAATTGATTTAAAATGATTTGGATTAAACATTAAAGCCATTGTATAAAATTCTATTGCTTTTATAAAATCTTCTTTTTTTCTAGAATCAAAACCTTATGAATGAAACCAATCTGATATTTTCTTATTATCATTTTTGATGTTTTCAGGTATCATAGATATCAATTATTATTACATAGGCTATGATATTTCTTTATCAATTATTTGAGATGGTCTTTGTATATTCAATTCATTTGCATCAATACTTATATAAAGAGGATTCTAACTCATAAAGCTAGTCTATTAAGGTTAATTTTGTATTTATGATTGATCATTTTATAAGTATTCTTCATCATTCTAAGGATTCATTAAATCATCTTCTTCAGGTTGTTAATATTTATTCTTTTTAGTAGTAAATTAAAATCCATCAGTTTTTGGATATGGTTCATCCTTTTTCATAGAACTATTTCTAAGTAAAGACCTTTTATTAATTGAATTAGATAGATTTAGAGATTTTGCATTATCTTTTTCTAAAGCTCTTGTATAATCTTCAATAGCTCCAGCAAAATCCCCTTTCAAATTTAAACAAGAAGCACGTGCAAATGCTGCATTAACATGATTTTCATCTAATGAAAGAACCTTTGAAAAATCTTCAATAGCTAAATCTATTTAACCCAATTTTTCATTTGCGCATCCTTCATTTTCAAATTTTAATACCTCTCAAATAATATCCTCCTACGTTATCACTATCTGTTTCAAGAAGCTAATTACAATCTTGAATAGCTGTTTAATACTCTCCTTTCTTAATATAAGCTGATGCACGAATATAAAGAGCTTTCTTGTGATTTGGACAATTCTTGAGTTTCCCTGTACATATGGCAATCAAATTGTCTATATTGATGGACTAAATTTGTTTTACAATCTTACAGGTCTATATTTAGGAACTTTCTATTGACTAGGCAATTTAGTTAAGCCTGGTGCTTACATATTTTAAATTTAGAGAAAATATTGAATAAATGCTATAAATTTTATTTAGATAATGATTATAATATTAGTAAATTACATTAATGTTTATCATTATAATTCTTGTATAAATTAGAATACACTAATTTTCATAATTATTACAGAATAATCATATTGAGTCAATATTAAATACAAAGTAAATATGGTAATTGTAATAATTGTAATATATAATTCTATATCTAAAAATTATATATAATAGGTTCTTCTTTTAATATTCATTTATTATATAAAATCTTTCTTTTTTTTGTTCATGCTTTATATATAATAAAACTAATAATTTTAGTGTATAAAAAAATCATATAATTTTAAGATTGTATATAATTAAGGAACTAACGTATAATTTATAAATTGAATATAATCATTTTTTAATATGGTTGGGAATGGAAGGCAGAGGTTAGTCTTGCTATGAAACCTATAATCCTAGTAATTTAGATTGTTTGTATGATGTTTGAGATAAGATATTTGAATCTAGAAGTTTAATTTTTGACCTAGTTTGAGATAATTTTAATAAAATACTAAGATGCAAGGATTGACTTTTCTTCAGTGCTTTAATTAGAAAGTTATAGGATTAAATTTTGATAGATTTCTTTAGAGATTCCTTTAGGACTTTAATGAATAGGATTGCTTAGCATTCTTCTATGAGATGAATCTCCTAATTTTTAATCTATTTTTATTCCAAGTTCAACTAATTTTGTTGCAGATAGTTAAAGATTAGAAATTTATTTATTATTTAAGTCTTTAATTAATTTCTATAATCTAACATTTTCTTTTGTAAGTACATTTAGTTATTCTTCATAAAATTATTTAAAGGTTTCAATTTCTTTTATTTAAGGTGTTTCTATTTATATGGGTTTAGTGATTGAATTCAATTCAGATTGTAAGGATATTATGATTTCTTATAAATGAGTATTGTCTCTTCTAACATTTCCCAATTCTTGGTTAAGGATATCAACTTAGTCTTATTGTAATTTTGCCCTTTCTATAAAAGAGCCAAGATTTTATAATTATCTTTAGAGACCATAGACAACTAATTCTAATCTTTGATTTTCTTGTGTAAGTTTCTTATTTTAGTCATGAAGATGTTCTTTGGTTAATTATATCATAATTAGAAATTTAGAATATATTTCTTGAAATATTAATTAATATTCACTCAATATTTTAGGATAGATTTTGTTTTAGAGTATGAATCTAATCTTCAAAATTTTTTATTTATTTCTACAAAAGAGAGTTTTCTAATAATAATTGTTCAATTTTTCTATTTTTTTCATTTAATATTTGCAATTACTATTTCTATTCATTAGGTGATGAATTTTATGACTAAGATTATAAAATAAATAATTTTACACTCATACTTCCATTAGATAGAAATTGACTAATCTTATCAGTAGAATATCCACCTCCTCCTCCTTGTAATTTGGAAGGAGTGAAATTACTTTAATTTGATTGATATCTCTTTTGAAATGCATCCATGGCTGCTTATTTATCAAATACTTCATCATCAAATTCTAAACAACTTAAAAATAATTTTGAAAATATTACATAGATTAGATTATAATTTATAATTCATCAAACCTTTAAGTCTTTTCAAAATCTTTAAAAGCTAATTCAAAATTTTTGATAAATTTTATTTAACTAGAATTAAGTTCACTACTTTTGAGAGCTAGAAGTCATTATTTATTAATGGTTTACAGAGTAATTCATTTCTTATCATAATGAGATCACTTTTTTAGAATTAGTTTCCATCTAATCTTTTTTTAATGTAAAAGAAATCAGGTTGAATGTTATTTGAATATACAAATGGAGAAGTATTCATTTATTCTTTAGATTGTATGTAGAATTCCTTGACTTTTTAAGAATTGAAATAAAATAGTTTAGGAAATTGCATTCCTTTTGATACTAAATTATTATATCTAAAATAAATAACTTCTTTATATTACACTCTCTAATATACTGATTATTATCCATCTATATTTGGATGCCAGATATTCCAAACAAATACACATTCACTGATCAGACGTATAAAAGTGTTACCAAGAACCATTAGTTGTTCATCTTGAATATATATAAATAACATCTACCAGGTTAATTGGAGTAGTATTACTTTGCTTTTTATCCTTTCTCACAATGTTAAATTAGAATTTGTTCATAAATTGGCATGATTTTTATTTATACTATTTCTATAACCAAAGCAATATGACAATCCATTATTTCCTTCACTAACTGAATACTTGATAATATCTTACTCTTGTAGATAACACTTTCTCAATTGGTTATGATTTAGCATCTTCCAAAATATTAGCTACTGCTTATATTGCTCCTTAAGTTATTTCACTTTCATAATATAAATCATTATACATATTGTTCTCTACAATATAATCTTTGATTTGTTTTGTCTATTTATAATGATTTTCAGAAGTAAAGCATTTTTTTATTTCATCTTATTTCATTTTCCTTTTTTTTATTAAAATATTCAAAAAAGTAATTGATAATGTTATGCAAATATACAAATGGATGACAACAATTAAATTTATTTAATAATTAAAATATAACTTATATTATACATAATCTATAAATGTTTCAATTATTTGAATTGGTTTTCAATATTGGAATGTGATTTCACTTTAATATCAAGATTGTTCAATAACATAATTGTCTAATTGCTATAAATATAAAATAATAAAATTAAAATGATAGGTGATGAAGAAAACACAGAATTTATTAATGAAATTAGTAAATAAGAAATTAATGAAATCAAAGATGATCTTAATTAGTAAAATAGAAAACAGCTTATTAATAATCTAATCTATTTTGGATCAATATTAATATTCACATGTATAATTATACTGCTATTTTGGAATATTAAGAAATAAAGAAATCCATCTAAATTAGTTGATATCCACAAAAACAATCCACAATTATTAGGTAAATTAATATTATTATAACAAGTCATTTCATAAGAACATTTTGATTATTTTGATTAGTTAAATAATACAACTTAAGTTTCTAATTGTAATTAGACTATTTTTAAAGAAAATATCTTAATAGTGATTAGTAATCAGATTATAAAAGATGATATTAAGGATTGTATAGAACTTTTAAAACCACAATTTAATGATATTTTATTGATAATCTATAATGCTACATAAGAATCAATTCTCAAAAAGGTTGATGACAATATGAATCAGTATTATTTATCATCCAATGAATTATCAATACAAAATTAAAAGATCTAAAAATTCGAACACTTAGAAGTAGATGAATAATAAGAAGTTGTTGTTTAGATTATTAACAATATATTTAAATGAACTTATATTAAATACATTAATTTATATTCGAATTTAGAGTAGTCGCATTTTCATTCTTAATATCCATCATAATATGTGAAGATTAATATAAATCAATATATTTATATTAATCTAAAATAGTTTATAATTTTTACAATTTCTTACTCCTAAGTCAACCTCATTACATTTGTACTAATATATTTAAAAGTTATATCATAAATTCTGATTTATAATAAAATTTATAATATATGTAGAAATTTTATTAACTATGTTCAAAAATTAAACTAGTTATAAAAACTTTAAAGAAGGAAATAGAAACTAATTATTCTAATATAGGTTCAGTTCTAATTTATTCATAAAAAAAAGTTTATTAAATGGATTAATCATATCTTAAATATGATTAATTATGAGTATATAAAATAAAGAGTTACAGTTGAAAGAATAATGAATTAAGCTCAAACTTTGAAAAAGAAATCAATAAACTAGAATTAATAGAAGAATTAAGATTGTTTTTCTTTGCAGAAATTGAAGATAAATATTCCTACTTCTCCATTAATATAAGATATATATTATAAGGAATTTGAATCGTATTAATTTCAACTAAAATTCAAGAATAGGCAAAAATACAAGTATTCCATACTGTTACTTCTTCTATTCTAAAATTACGACACCCTGTTAATCTAATTTAACCAATAGGTTCATTTACATCTTCTTCATATCTACATATTCCTTTTGATCTGACAATTATTAGTCTATTATTTACATTTAAACCATTTTCTTCAAATTTAATCCAATTTACTCTTAAACTTGTATTAAGTTATACTTTAGTATTTAAATTCACTAAATATAATTATTCATCTTATATCTAAACATTTAATTCAATTTTTTTGGATACATAAAATCCAAATGATGTATGTTTAGTCTTAAAATGAAATTATAAATTTTTTAATCCTATAAGTAGTTATAGGTTTAATTCTTTTCCTCTATATATTTCAATAGGTTCAATAATTGATAATGGGGATATCATAGTTTCTGAATTTTTATTTTTGACTTCAATTGTAGTATCAGATAAATCATCTTCTTCTGATTAGGATATACTTGAAACTGTTCTCATTTGATTTTTTTTATATTATTTTTCAAATTCTATCAAAATAATTTATTTTTATTCATTAGTTACTTAATCTTTAATAACAGCATCAGAGAAGATTTCTTATAATTTAATTCTATCATATCCATTAGTTAAACAATATTCACTTATTAAAAGGGCAATTTAAAATTAATCTAAAAATTTATTTTTATCAAAATTGATGACGGCAAGATGATTATGTAATATTAATAATTTCTTGAATAAATTTGCTTATAAATATAAATAATGAAGTGGAACTAATCTGGTTTTATTATTATAAATATGTTTTCTTGCTTTATCTTTATCAAGTTTTTTATTAAAAATACCCAAGAATCCATATTCTTTGAAATATTAAAAATAAAAGTTAGATAATGATTCAATTTCAAATAATTCAGATAATTAGTATCCAATTAAAATACTAGATTTATCTTAAATCAAGAATTTTTCTATTTAATTTTGTAGTTCTTGAATTTGAAAGAAATGTAATATTTAATACATTTCATATAATTCTTAAGGAGTATTTATTATTATTTCAATACCATTAAAAGCATTAACTAATTTAGCAACTAAATTGACATCCAAATTCTCTTAAACATAATCTATTTATCTTTCTAAATCACTTCCTTTAGACCATCGTCCTGAGAATTTTGTGTATGCTTTCTTTATCTAGAAATGTTGATTAGAGTAACGAGATAAGATAATCTTGAAGTATTAGTATTATTGTTATTATTGTTAAACTTGATTTGTGATTATATCATTAAATTTGAGCACAAGCATAATTCGTTTTTAATTAATTATATATAAAAATGAGAATCCTAATAGTGCTATTGATTGGTTTGGTATTAAGACTTCGTAATCATTAAAGGCATTAAGCAAATTGGCCACAGATCCTAAAGTTGTACTTGCAGAAATGGACAACAATCATATGGGAAAAACATTCTTGAATGCCATTTAAATTAGTTTAGCTACAGGATCACCAGTTCATGAAATTTAAAGTTATATTAATAACATTAGGTTTTATCTTATATTTATAATTAGATTTATGTTGGAATAAGAACAAAAAGACTCTGATCTTTATATCTAAAATACATAAGCTTCATGTAATAGATTACTTCATGATTTCTCTACAAATTTGGCATATCATTAAAGCTAATTGAAAGCTCATACTAAAATTGTAGATGAGAATACCAACAATTTACAAAGATCATTAAACAAAATTGCTGAAGTTTCTGTTGAAATTGAAGAAAATTCTAAAAAAACAAATGCAGGACAAAGCGAAAGAGATTTACAATATGCTGAATTTTAATCTAAAATCAAAGATCATACTGAAGCTATCTCAGCAATAGATGAAGCTTATGCTTTAATTGAGCATTTATCAGGGGGATCTTCATTCATTCAAGTTAAAGGAAGATTTAACAAAGTCTTATCTAGATTATAAAGGTAATATATATGATTATATTAATATTAGTTAATCAACATCAAGTGGATTATTGTTTTAACCAATTTTAACTATGATGACTCAATTATCAGCTAAATCAGATTCTGATACAGCAAAGAAAGTGTTATAGTTATTGTCAAATTTGAGAGTTCAAATTGTTGAAAGCAAATCTAGTGATGAAGATATTGAAAAATAATAAAGTTTGAATTGGTAATAATTTTTATCAGATTTAACCAATGAAAGAAATACTTTGTAATTCTATAATTTGATTTTTTTAGATCTGATTAAAGATAAAATCTTGAATAAGCAATCTTAAATTATTAAAGCATCATTGAAGAATCCTAAGGTAAAGTTGAATATCATGCTGCTGAAGTAGAAAGAAATCAAGTAATTCTATTTTAGTAATTATTTTTAGTCTAATTTGGATGGATAAGATTAATGGTGCAGATAATAATAAGATATTTATTAAATGGAAACTCAATCCAGAGTGCAATTATAAGACTTGATTTCTAGAATCTCAGATCACATCCAAGATAAGATTGTTACTCTTAAGGAATATCTTAGAGAGAGACTCTAATTAAATTGAGATTAACAACAAACATTTAATATTATATATATAATGAATTCATTAACCAGTCTAAATATTCAATAATTTATTCACTACACATTTATCAAAAAAACAAGTCTTAATAATTATTACAATTAAGAATAACTGGATTGATATCTAATAAGACTTCAAAATAGCTATACATAGTTATTTGTTAGGCTTTGTAAAGTAGTTTCAATAAATTTATTTTAATATAGAATACTAATTGCTTAAAAAATGAATAAAAAACCGACTTCTTTTATTAAGTTTAATATTTTAAATCTAAAAATATCTTGGGTTATTATAATACTAGATACAGATAAATCCTTTATAATCGAATTACTAAATAGTATTGTGATATACATAAGTGAAAGTAAGATGTTCAAATTTGAATAATCCTTAATTTATGTGAGAAGAAAATAATATTTTAAGCATTGTCTATTGTCTATTGAAAACTTAAGACAAATAGATTATAAGTTTTCATAGTTGTTTATTAGGTTTTAATAACAATAATTTGTGTAAGAATTTTTATGGTTTTCCCTTAAAGTATTAATGCAAACTCTACTACTCTCAAATATGTAATCATATAAGATGAAAAATGATTAATTAGAGCACATTTTCTTTAGAATTGATTACAAGATTTTACAAAATCCTAGAATTCTTTTCAAAAATTTCTTGTTAGCTTATTATTAAAATCTTTCTTATAATGCAATTTTAAACTATAGATTTATAAAGCTGAGTTAACCTTATTGACTGTAGTATATAAGAATTTCATTGATCAAATATTATCTTGTATGTATTTTATAAATGCCTTTTAATTGCATCTTTTTAATTCATTTATCAATAAATAATTACAATATTTTTGTCTTTTTATTATAAATTTTTTGATTAAATTAATATCTTTTTTATTCAAACAAACTAATTACTCTATACATATAGACATTTTATTCTTTATTTTTTTCGGACTTTCAATACCATATAAAGATTCCTACAATATTAGAATGTTTTAAGAAAATCTCGAAATAAACTAGATTGAGTACTTTTATAATAAATATATATACCTGTTAATGAAAATATTTAAACAAATATAAATGGAAAATTATATATATCAAACTTAAAAGCTGAGAATGGTGGCTAATATTTCTTTTGAATGTCATAATTATTTGTGTTCAGTTGTAATTAAGAATATTCTAACTGTCATCATATGATAATATGTATGTGATAATTCTTTTTTATATTCATTTTTTCTACTGTGGCGTTTATTTTTATATTTGTTGCTTTTGTTATATATTCTCCTCAATCGCTTGTTTTGAAAGTATGAGTAAAATAAGTCGTCTATAAATACTAGAAATGAATTGAGCAATTTTTAGTTAAGATATTTATATATAGAGTAGAACAAAAAGAAATCATATCAAATTTATCAACAATCCCATTCAGAAAAGGTTTTTAAACAAGACTTAAGTTATCCTTTCTATTTTGGTTCATATAGTGATGGATTGAAATTAAAGGTTTCTTTAGTCTATTGAATCTATTTCCTTAATCTATCTTTGAATTTTATAATGTCTTCATCTTGAAATCTTAAAAAAACAGTAATAGTTGGTGCAAATTTGACATTTTTTATAATTTTTTCGTTTCTAAAGCAATCAGTGCTTTCTATTTCAACATAAGAATATGGTTTTTCTTCTTTAAAAGTTTCCACTTATTTAGGCATGCTAAAACTAGGCTTTGGTCCTCTATTGAAATTCATAATTTTCGAATATATGAAATGAGAAATATTTAATATAAATAAATTAGTAATCACAATTATCAACTAAATTAAGTTTATTTCTTGCATTTAATAGAGTTGTTAGGAAGTCCTTATTTGTATACATGTTTGAGATTTTTATAACGTTCTAAGGATTAATCAATAGAGAGACTAATAGATTTATCTCTTTTGTTATAAAAGCTATTATTTAAAAGACATGAAAAGGAATCAGATACATTATTGTAATCAGTTCCAAGTGATGTGATGGCTAAATAAATTATAAATTAAATATACTTTCGATTGTCTGATTTTATTTATTTTTGTTACTAATTCTGCCATAAAAGGAATTACTTTTTTCTGTAATATTTCCATATCTGCCATAATAAGAATCAGAATCACAGGGTTCAGTCATAATGGTTAACTTTTACTTTTAGTTATTAATAGATTTAGATTTCTAAGATTTGTCAATTTAGTAGATTGTATGTAATTATTAAAGTTTTTCTTTGATATTTTGATCATAGAGTGCATAGAATGTTTTATCATATTTATTTTAGGTCTAATGATCTAATTTTCTTTGTAATTCCTTATTTAATAATATTATAGTTTACTTAATATTTTTGTCTAGCTTCTAATAAATCTTGGCAAATGGAAGCATTTAATTTTTATTATTGATATAAATCTTACTCAAGTTCTTTAACTTTATATTATAAGTCAGTCTTGTCCTTCAATGTTCAATAAAATAATGTTACATATTTAAATTTTTAAAGGTCAAGTTTCATTTAATTTAAGTCATGATAATTGGATTTATTTGGTTCAATATTTTGAGAATCCACTTGCATCTGATATTAAATCTTAATATATATATATAAACTATACTAATTCTTAAATTAACAATGTAATTAAGTATTTGAAATTAGACAACAATAAATCTATATTAAAAACATCTCCGTTCTTGCAATTGGCCATTTTATTGATTAAATACTAAAATATTGAAATAGGAAATACCAGATTTTGAGATCCTTTTATTTAAATTATTACCTCCTCATATAAATCAACAAATTTAGAAATAATTTTCTATTCAGTCATTTTTGTTGAACTCTTTATTGATTTACTTTCGACTTCATAATCAAGTTCTAATATAAGTGATTTCTAATTTTTTTGTTTTTGGAACATGATATAGTTGCTGTTAAATAATTAATTTAATTACTAAAGTTAGATAATGCAATAAAAAGAGGTTGAGTAAAATTTGGAGGTTAAATTTATCTTAAATAGTGATGATCGTGAAGGTCACAACATAACTCTACCAAATAATTATGAAGATTTCATAAATGAGATGTATGATAAATATCAATTAGCAAAGACAAATAAATATGAGTACAATATTTCATTAAAGTAGGTTTATTAATAAGAATAAGGAGATTAATATAATCATAGATTCTTAGATATCTTATAAAAAAATGATAGAAAATTTATAATAAAACTAAAATTCAGCAAATTTCCCATTGTTAAGAGTAATAAAAGAAAATTAATTTGATGTACTTTTTGTGACCGATTCGAGTGTTGAAAATTTGTAATTAGCATCTAATTATGAATAATTCTAAAAGAAGATGGAAAACTAATTTTAAATGCCAAAGACAACTAAATATATGTGAAATACTTTTAATTATAATAGCTATGCTGCAGACGATGAAAAAATAATTATAGATTCTAGTTCATCATATGATAAAGTTCTATAAAATTTAAAGATAGAAGCAAAAGCAATAACAAGAACTTTAAAAACAGATGATGAACATAAGTTTGACTATAATTCGTTATTTTTTATTGAAAATAGCAATATATCTTGTGTTTGTAAACTTTAAGGAAAGAATTCTAATTAATGTAGATTTTGTAATGGTACTGGTTTAATTAATAATTAATAATCAGAAGGGTATATAGAATTAAATAAAGCATTTGAAATATTAATAGAGAAGAATTTCCAAAAGATAAAAAAATATATTAAAGATAAGTATCAAGAAAATGTTGAAAACCTTTAAGATTGGGCAGAATTCAATTTAAAGTTATTTATTTTTGAGAATCAGAAAGAATTTTATTTTAAATGCACAAAATGTGAAATATTTTAGGTAAAAGTTAATATTGTACATGTTAAAAGTTAATAAAGACCTTAAGAGCCTGTTTGTGATAAATGTTTTAAATCTAACAATTTACATGGATATATTTAATATCCTAGTAAATTCCAACAAAAGAATTTAAACTAAGAAGAAGAAGATTTTTTACCTAATTAACCTCCAAATTTAATGTAATCAAGTCATTGATGATTTGAATGAGTTAATAATAATAAATATTATTAAAATAATTAAAAAAATTAAGAAGGCATTTTCATTTAGCATTCATCATTTACGATAATCCAGAGGCTATTAAGAAAGAGAGATAAACTAAAATTTAATTAAATGATAATAAAATTATTATATGATTGGTATTTTTAATCGTAAAATAAACCAATTGTATAATTACAAAAGATTCTATTTATAATAATAAAAGGTTAATCATATTATAAATAGTTATAGAATTCTGTTTACCTAGAAAGGAATTAAAGAATAATTATTTTCAAAAAAAATTTCCAAAAATGAAAGCAACATTTATATTAATAATTCCTCTAATATTATGTTAACAAATAATAATCAAGTATCTTAATTATTATCTTAAAAGAATGATCATGATTTATTTATTTGAGAGGTATTTGTAAAAATAGAATGTTCATTTTAGAAAGAGCAACTCATAATTATAAGATTGTAAATGATTCTTGAAGAGATTCTAATTATCGTTTTTACGTTCATTTAATGTTTATGATTAAATCAAAAAAGATAACTTCAAATAAAATTCAATCTATACCTTTTTTGTGAATTTCTTAAATTGATAAAATCTAAAAAAGTTTTGCATTAATGAAGAATTGTTAAATTAGTTTAAATTATCAAAATTTTTCAAGAAAATTGCTTTAATTATTTTAATGATATTATTTTTCATCTATTAAAAGAGTATTGTTAATAAATTTTGATTACGGTTTGAAAAGTAGAATGTAATTTTTAGTTTGCATAATTGTTGCAGGAAGTGTGAATATATAAAATAGTCTAGTTAAAATTTAATAGAATACAGATGACTTTTATAATGCTTTTAGGTATGTAGTAAATAGAAAACCTCAAAGACTTCAACATTTATTATGGAGACTTTTTTGAAGAGATAATATTTTTTAATATTAAAAACTTTAATCACTTGTTGAATTATTAGAACTTTAAAATGATATAACTTTAATAATAGTAAGCAGATTTAATATAATTATTAAGTTAGATTTAAATTTCAAACTTTATATGAACTATTTAAAAGAATTGTTAAAATATACAAGGTTATTTGGATATAAATTGAATTAAAAATGAAGATAAATGATAAAAGAAAATTTTCATAAAAAACACGATTAATATTAAAAGTTAAATAAATTTTTGAATCAAAAGAATGTTTTATGTAAAATTTATTTATAATAAATATTCATTCTTTTATGAGGTAAACAATGTATGTCATAATTTAAATATTATGTTTAAAATTTTTTTGTTACATTCCATAAAATAAAATAATTATTAATAAAATATCTATATAAATTGATTATTCTAAAAATGAAGGAATTCGGATAATAAAAAATTCTCTAAGTTTTCTATTTATTGTAATTATTTATATTCATATATATAACTTATCAAGTACTAATGCGAAATTGTACTTTGAAATTTTCTTTTCTAAAACTTTTCTACTTTTATATTTTTGGAAGATATTCACCCAGCATAGTACATAAAGAAATTTTATGAATGCGACAAATTTTATTAATTTATAAACAGATAAGAATATGAGCTTCCTTCATGTTCACTAATAATCTTATCACTAATCAACTGATGAGTCCTAACATTCTAATAAATTGAACTTTCTTCAAATTCAAAACGTTGACATCAGAGAATATAAAAAAAAATGGATGCTACACTTCAACTCCATTCCTAATTTTAAAGCCTTAGAAGGGATGTATTATTAGCTTCAACAAGCTAAGACTATGGATCACAGAGAAAAAAATGAGGAAATTTTACTTCAGTGTATTCTAATAAGTGTTCAAGCCCCTCTAAGTTTAAAACTTGTATATTTTATAACTATAAACAGTCTGATGAATAATGGTAGTTAGTTAGTGAATTGATGCCAACCTTTAGGACTCCTTAAGAATTTTAGTAAATGAGCCTATAATTTCTACCTTAATCAGCTTATAACAATCCATGGACTGAATAAGAAGATCAATAATTGCTTGAAATTATATTGTAATTTGTTTTTTCTATAATTTAGGTCATTTTTAAAATAAAAGAAAGGCAATAAATGGAGTAAAATAGCTAAAGAACTAAATGATGTATGTTAGAATAAATTCATGAGAACACCTAAATAATGTAGAGAAAGATGGGGCAATAAGTTAGATCCATCTATTAATCGGTAATTGATATTTTTATATTTTTAGTGAAGAATGGAGTGATGCAGAAGATCTTTATTTCTTATAATTACTCCTTTAACATGGGCGTAGATGGGCAGAGATTGCTATTCGACTTTCAGCTGTAACAGAAAGCAAGAAGAGAACAGAATTTGCTTTGAAACATCGTTACAAAAAAACGATTCTTTGTTCAAGTATTTAAAGTAAAATTGTTTAAAAATATGATTTTAGACTCTAAATAATATCTTGGACATAATTATTCCGTGTCTTCTGAATGGAATTCTAAGGAAGCCAATAAAATAATTGCCAAGATTTCTTAATTAGAAAAGGCAATCGAACCTTAGAGATCCAATTTATATAATTATTAACCTTTAAAAAAATAGCTTAAACTTAATGACTCAAGTAGATTAGTCCTAATAAGAGGATCAAGTAAGGAGGAAATAGATTTATCTAAACTTTTTCATTAGATGAATCTAATGTTTCTTCCTGCTTCGAAGGGTCAAGTTTGAGTATTCATATAATATTAAAGCAAAATACAATTATCAATTATATTAATATATATATATATATTCTAATTAGATATATAAATTAAATATTTAATTAAAACATGAATTCAAATATCTATTTCCCACAATTTAGTAAATACTTTTATTTTTGATTTTTAGATTATAAATAAAAATGATTTATTTTATTAAAATTATAAAAATATGACGAGCTAAATAAAAGATAGTGCATTCTATACTTTTTTTATAGACAATCCTGAAAATCACTCTTTATAAATAAATGGTCAGATGAAAAACTCAGACACTAAATTTAGATATAGAAAATATTGTAAGAGTTAAACAGTTGATGTCCGCTTTCCATGGAATACTACAAAGGTTCATTTTAGAGTTAGAGATCATAATGATTTGAAATTAGGTTTTGATTTAGGCTAATGGAAACTTGGTAAATTTGAAGCCACTTATTTTGCCAAAGTCTTTTCAGTTGATAAAAAACTTTAATATTAATTTGGATTGTAAAAAGAAGTAAATAAGTAATTATGGCATTCAGTTTGTAATCAATTTATTTATGTTTAGGGGTATCTTTCAATTCAGGATTGTTTATTAATTACAACTTTAATATCACAAAATCATAATGGTATATTAGAGAGGGAATTAAATGGAATACCAGCAATCATCAATTTAATTTTGATGGATTATTTAATTACACTTAAAATTTGAATGAATTCTTTATTAAAGCTTCTAATAGTTTAGATACAAAATTAAATTGTAAAGACTAAGAAATTAAATTGGGTTATTTAAGAAGAAGAGGAAATGATAAAGCTTGTGGATTCTTAGTTGATAATAAATTGAATGTTGATTTGATTTGTCATGCAAAAGTGAAAAAATGTGATTGGAGATTTTTCATTAATAAATCATTGGAAGTAAGATAATATGTGAGATACAATTATAACGATTCGTAAAATCTTAAAATAAACTAAATAGATTGACTATCCATTCAGGAATATCAGTACCACTTAAGACAATAGGTAAAGTGTGCCCATTAACATACTTAACTGCATTATAAGTTGAGTTGAACATTTGATATTATAAGATAGAAAAATAAAATCAAAACATAAATCCAAAAATATTAAATATCAAACATCATAAACATAATCTTCTTAATTATCTACTACTTATTCTAATTTAATAATTAACCTTTTAAAATTTTAACTATCTTAATATAATTATCAAACTTTCTCTATCTTTAAAAATAAATAATCAATTTTAATTGTAAATATTTTATGTCTATATCTACTAATTAAGTATATAAGTATATAAATTGTAATTATTAATTAATAATTGATTTTTCATTTATTTTAATGATTTAATTTCATAATATGAGAATTGATTATATTATAGATATATTTATAATAATATAAATCACAAGTCTTTTTATATAACAGTCTCAAATTCATCATCATCATCATCTATATCATCACATTAACCATAAGTGTTGCAATGTCTTCCATCTTATTCATAATCATCTTCTATTTATTATGGTAATTGATAAAATAATCCTGAATATATTTTCCATTTTGCATCTGCATTTTTGGTTGTTTAAGCACTAATTTCAAGTTAACCTTCTATTGGACAATGATATCCACAATTTCTTTGATTAAAATTATCTTTTTTATTACTCCTCAAATATTTTGATGTTAATTTATGTTTCAAATAAAACCACATTGATGCTTAAAAATGATCTCCATTTTTATTATCTACACATTCTAGTATCCAATCATCACCTATTTAATATATAATAATTTTATTACTTGAATCTCCATTACCATTATCTCCATAAGCAGAAACCTCTTAATTACCAGAAAAAGGTGCTTAATGAGGATGAGAATGTAAATTTCTATTTGTTAACATATGCTCTAATCTAATACAATCTCCACATTTTATTTGATCATCTATAAATAATACACGTAATTTAATACCATATTTTTTTAATGGTTGATTGTAACACTCTTTGATAGTCCATAAACTGTTATAATCATGATCAGCCTACATTCCTGTGACTGATTGCTATCCTGATCCACTTCCATAAGACACCAAATGAGAGTGAAGAAAATATTCTGAAGTTTAATGTTCTATTCTCACTGTAGATCCATAGTAAATCTTCTTTTTATCTATCTGAATAAATTTAGATAATACTGATTTCTTCTTCTATTTCTTCTATTGTTACATGAAAATCTTATGCTAGTAAATTTTCAATGATGATTAGAATGCAAAACCATTTTATCATTTTATACTGATTTATTTTAATGAATATATTTATGTATATAAAACAATCATGCTTCAATTCCTGCCATTTCAAAATGTTCATTTAACTTATTAATTGCACTAATATAAGCTGCCAATCTCAAATTGACTTTGTATTCTTTAGAAGTAGCCATAATATTATTGACTGCCTCTATCATTGATTACTCTAAAGCTGTATGAACTAAATCAGTCTAGTCAATTAAATAATAAAAATACTTCAGATGGACCTTCCAACATCTTTTTTGCAAGTTTACTATCCTTAACATTAATATTGAGACCTGTACTCATCTTAATAACTTCAAGAATTCTATGTTTTGCTTATTCTTCCCATCTTCTTGTCATTCTTCCTGGATTGATATGCTTTAAATTTTTTAACCATTCTAAATAACTAACTGTAACACCACCAGCATTAAGCAAAATATCTGGTAAAAATATCACTCCTTTTGATATCAATTTTTCTTCTGCTGCCATTGTTGTTGGTCCATTGGCACCTTCAGCTATAATCTTACAATTAAATTTATCAGCATTGCCAGCATTAACTGTTTTCTCAAATGCTGCTGGAATGAAAATGTCGCATTATTAATATATTGCCTATTCATCTTCCCAATACTTTGATGCATTAACAAATCCCTTAACTCCTCCTGTTTTAGTCTTATGAGCAGCCAACTCATATGGATTTATTCCATTTGGATTATAAATTGATCCATCATGTTCAGCTACTCCTATTATTCTGGCTCCATAATCGTACATGTATTTAGCACAGAATGAACCAACCTATATTATTATATTTAGTATTATACATTTCCATATCCTTATATTATTACTGATTTTCCTTTCAAACTTGGTTCAATACCTACAGATTAGCAAAATTTCACATCATTCAAAATTTCTCTAGTAGCAAAGAATATCTAATTTAGATTTCAATAAATTACTCCCATTCCTGTTGATTCTTGTCTTCCTGATATTCCTCCTTAATTGATTGCTTTACCAGTCACACATCCCAAAGCATTGATGTCTTAATGTCCTTTAAATTTAGTATATGCATCCTTCATCCAACTCATTTCTTATTCACCAGTCTGATATTACTAAAAATAATTACTCCAAGATCTGGTCCTGGTACATCAATAGCAGCACCAATGAAATTCTTTTTTGCTAATTCCAAAGTGTATCTCCTCATCAAAGTCTCAATTTCTCTCTTAGAAAATTTACGAGGGTTGATACCAATACCACCCTTAGCACCACCATATGGTAAATCCAAAATAGAGTTTTTTAAAGTCATTAAAAATGACAATGCTTCTACTTCTTCAATATTGATGTGTGGACTCAATCTTGTTCCTCCTTTTGTAGGCAATCTATAAGTCTTATGTTATGCTCTGTATGCAGGTACCTAATAATTGATTTCAATAAATTACACAAATATATGTTCCATCATCTCTTACTAATGGCAAATTGAATTTTATCACTATATCTGTACTCTTATAGAAGCTAAAATCATTAAAAATATGCTTACTCCAATTTATCTTGAGTTATATTTGTATGTCCAGATGCTTTATTGAAATAAGCCATCACTTAATCTAAGAAAGTGCCTTCATTTACTGCTGATGTTGAAAAGCAACTTCTATTGATGATCGATCTAGAAATCTTTTAAATATGCATACAGGAATTAAATTAATGATGAAAAATATGATATTCATCATCACATATATACGTATTATAAAATATTAAACGTCATTAAAATGCATTTATATATAAATAATTGATGACACAATATTTAATTTTTCAAACAATAAATTGAACTATTGCTTTTCTACTTATTCACTTTATGTCTCTTAACTTTTTAAGATATATTTTATGTTTTACTCTATCCTAAATTAACATTTAAGAAAATAAAATTGCAGTAAATCTAATAATTAATTTAAATCAATCATTATCAAACTTATCTCATCATCTTCTAGTATTATGAATTATTCACTCTTATAATTTAATGATATTATTATATTATATATACTTTTCTAATACTTATAAGTAAGAATATATATCATGAATCAAGAGAGATTATCAATGTTTAAATCTATAATATTTTCAAATTAAAGAGGAGTATTAATTATAAAAAAAAATCTTTATTATATTGTTAATTAATATATGAGATTATAAGGCATAGTAGTTGTTCAAATAAGTTCATGTCTGGTTTCATATAGGTTCCTAATATTGTTAATCATGTTAAAAATTAAATTATATGTATGTGCTTTTGAATAAAATATGAGATATTAGTATCATCATAAGCATAGTGTTAGACTCTATTTAGAAAAGCAAGATCTTGTGTAAAATTTATTAAATAAAATATATTTATGAAATTCCTTAGATCTGATAGTGTTATTTACACTTCTTAATAACGGATTTATTGGAATGTGCTAAATAAAATTAAATATAAAAAATGAAAAACTATTTATTTTCTAAATCAAAACTTCTAGTTAGTTGAATTAATAATCTTGATTTAAAAATAGTTCTAAATAATAATATTATCTTTAAAAAATTTAAATAGAATAATAATTAAAAACATAGAAAAATTCTTTAGATCTTGATTAATCTCTTTTTAAAACATTAATTAAAAATGATAGTTTTAAAAGATAGGTAATGATTTAATTAGGCAATACATAAATTGATATGATAAGTTTCTCTAAATATTTAGAAAAGATTATTCATATATTAATTAAGTTATAATGTAACATTATGTTAATTTAATGTAAATTTTATTTGAAGAAATTGCATTTGAATTGAATTATTATATAAATATAAGATAAATAAATTAGCAACTATCATTTAATTCTTTGATAAAAATTAAAGATATTAACATTTAAATGTATTATATAAGAATAATTATCTGTATAAGTAATTTTTATATAAAATAGCCAAATAAATAATATTATTTGACTATAATTATTATTGATAATTTTATAAATGGTCTAATAGATAATTAATATGATAGATATTGACAATAATATCATACATTAAGAGTTAATTGTAAATATTTAAAGTATTTTCTGTGTTCTATTTAAAAATTATAGAAAATAGTGATTATGGTTTAGAAGAACTACTTCTTAATAAGAATAGATTTGGATATTTATATATGCTTAGTGCTTTTCTTGATATGTTTAATGTTAGTTTTCTTATTAATTAGAGAATAATATTATATTTATTTAATACCTATTATTTGATTATGTTATTGATATAAAGTTAACAAAATTTATTTTAAAATAAAATATCATGCTTTTTAGAGTTTCAGGAAGAATTGCATCAAAGGTATGAATTTATATAATTTGACTAGTCCCAATTCAAATTCTCAACTTTGAGAGCCTAATTACATGATTTAATTTACAGAGACGATAAGTCTTCTGATCTTTACAAACTTGGTGCAGCTTGTCCCAAATCTGCAGTAGGACAACCAGGTAGTGAGATTAGAGAATAGGAAAGAAGATATGAGGTTACAAAACTTTCAAATGGGATCACTGTATTGACAGAGAGTGCTTCATCTCCTTCTAGAGTAGATGTTGGAATTCTTTTGGATGTTGGAACAAGAGATGAAACAAATGAAACATCAGGATCCTTATTGTCTATCAAGAATACTTATTATAAGACTGTTTTAAATACAAATGAGACAATCAATTAGTAAATAAAAATCTAATATTATTTAGTGGTGTTATTCAATAATCAGGAGGTGAATTTGAAATGGATTATGATTAAGAAAGTGCATACTTCAAAGCTCATTGTTTGGCTCATGATGTAGTAGATGTATTCAAAGTCGTATCTGATTGTGCATTAGAGCCAAGATCAGTAGTAGCTGCAAATTCTGCTGTTGAAAAAAATTATGGAACACATAATTTGGAAAATATCATTAAAAGTAATTTAATTAAAGATTTAATTTATAGGTGGAGAAGGATTTAATGAAACAATATTTAAGACTGCTTTTGGTTTGACTGGTTTGGGAATGCCATTAAGAGGATTTAAAACTAATATTGGAAATTTGAGTGCTTATACAATTTAGAAATTTTAATTGGAAAATATCAATCCATCTAAAATTATTGTTGCTGGTGCTGGAATCTACAATCATACTGAATTTGTTAGTTTGGTTTAAGATTCTCTTGGATTCATCCCTGCTGGTTAAACTTCTAAAGTTAGAACATAAACATAATATGTTGGAGGTGAAGTTAGAAATTTAACTGATGATAATGAAATTGCTATTGCTTTATTATTCCCATCAGCTAACTGGACCAATTCATAAGCTGCAGTATTTTAAGTACTCAATGCTCTTTTGGGATTATAAGGAAGTGCTTAATCAAGATTATAAAGAAACAGTATTTATACTTTTAACTATTATATATAGTCTTAAACAAGAATTCTTATGCTGATGTTGTTGAAAGTTTGAACTTCACTTTTTCTGATGCTGGATTATTTGGAGTTAAAATCATTGGATCAGCAGACAAAGGATCTGAATTACTTAGTAGTGTTGTAAATGAATTGAAAAATCTTACAGGACCTATTTCAAATACTGAATTAACAAGAGCTAAGAATATTTTAAAGACTTAATTGTATTTGGCACTTGAAAGAACATCAGATAGATTAGAAGAAGCAGCTAAAAGCGTATAATTAATAAATAATATATTATAGTTGAAAGTATTCAATGCAATTAAAATAAATGATTATGCCACTTATATTGACTCAGTTACATCAGATTAAATTAATAAAGCAGTTGCTGATTTATTGAAGAATAGACCTACTTTAGTTGCTGAAGGAGGATTAGCCAATAGATTACCTACATTCGATTAGGTGTTGAATCAATTAAAGTGATTCTATTATCAAATTATAAAATCTAAAATACATTATAGAAATAATTATTATTTATATATTTATTAGATAAATAGTTTCTTATATTAATATTCTATTCATTTAGAAGGGAAGGTAGCTTCATTTCTAAATAAAAAAATTTAAACTTTTAAATAATTTAAAATTATATTCCTAATAAATCCCATTAGGAAAATGTTTAATTAAGTCTCTATTCATATTTTTCATTTTAATTTTAACAATGTAATAAAAGCATATTTTAAAAAATGAATTAAGAATTATAATAACCATAAGATCAAATCATAGTTTTGATAAATTAACAAAAGAATCATCCATGGTCTGAAATTTAAATGGCTCATGAGCCTATAACACATTAGAAAAATAAGGAATTTAAAGAGAAGTACTTATCATCTTGTTTTGATGAAACTTATAATCTAACAAATTAAGAAATTAAAGAATGGTGGATGTTAAGAGTTGAATTATATCCTTTATATTCTCATAAAGATGAAAATTGTGTGAAAAGAATTAAAGGTTTATGGTATCTATTAACAGAAAGTGATTTGGAAGAAATTAGAAATTAAAAATGGACTGAGTTTGGTTTTTAATAGGCTGATCCAACAACAGATTTTAGAGGAGGTGGTATATAATCATTAGATGATATTATTAATTTTGTGAGTGATTATAAAGACAATATGGTTAAAGAAATGTGTAAACCATAAAATGATTTTTATTTTGCAGCATCTTCAATAAATATCACTTTCTTTATTAAGAGATATTTTCATTTGTAAGAGCAACTTGATGAAAGAGATATTAAGGTATAATTAATATTAATTTTATAGGAAATTGCAGATAGAATAGCACTTAAAAATTTTTGCAGATTTCTTGTTAGGGAAGATAATTTTTGGAAAAAATTACATTAATTATTACTTTCAGATCTTTTTAATGAATGGATGGCTCTCAAAAAAAGAAGACCAGAAACAACTATAATGGATTATGGTCCTATTTTAGAAAGAATTAAACAAAAAACTAAAAGAACATTTACAATTAGATTATTTGGCAATCTAAAATAATTAATTGAGTTTTATCAATCATTATGATTTATATGTCAACCAAAGCATTAAACCAAACGAAATAAATTTATATTGAAATTATTTTCGAAAGTTCTTACTTTTTCATATAATCATATGGATAAATATATTGATTATTCAATTTCAATTTAATACATTTTTTTATTAATATAATACTTAATATATCCATTTAGAAATTTCAATATACAAATTCTATAAAAATCAAGACATTATTCATTCAAAAATAATAAACTCATTATATGAATCAGATATTATCTTGATATAATATAAAAAACACAGAATAATTAGTTTTAAATTTTATTAACTCGAGTTTATGAAAAATATATAAAGTTTTAATTGTAGTTATAATCAAAATGATTCTTGTTCTTCGTCTTAAAAAATATGAGTCTTGAATTTAGGATTCATACATTAGATTTCTAAAATAGATATAAAAATTAACATAATGATATTCCTTCAGTTTTTAGCAATTTAAAATATGGGTGACATAATAATTCTTTTAATTGAAAATGTGAGTTGCTTTTCCAATTCAACAAAGATTCTAATAGTGAATTTCCTTCATCTGGTATAAGAGAGAATTAATCATCTTGAAAATTCTATTTTTAGTAGCTATTATATTATTTATAATCCTTACAATTTATGCATTATAATTCCGATTTTAAAAATGTCCAGTCTAAACTCATTGTTTTGAATATTAGCATTGTTAGCTTTTCCAAATCCAACCAATTTTAATTTATTGTCTTCAGTAAACATAATATGTGATTTCTTTATGCTTTTATGAACAATATTCTCCTTATGAAGTAGTGATATACTTTATATCAAATTCTACATTTAAAAAAGTAATTACATAGAGAAATAACATAATATCATCTTCCATAAATGCCTAATCCTATATTCTTTCTAAATTTTCCATTATTAGATATACACAATTATTTGATGAAAAACATTCATAAATTTTAGGAGCCAATCCATATTAAGAAGCCTTCTTTATAATTTCGATCTCCTTATGAATCTTTTCTATTCCTATTACACTTTTCTTAAAGCATTTACAAGAGAACTTTAATTTAGTTTACCTATTGATGAGAGAACAAACCTTTTTATTATACATATAAAATACTTTAGTTGCTTTATTTTTGCCTACATTTATCTCACCATTAAAGGAATAGAATATTTAAATCCCTGTGTATGTAATTTCACCTCCAAGATATGATCTAAGCTATTTCATATTTAAACTATCTCCTTCTACAATTAGATTTTCTAATATGAAACCATTCATTTCATTTTCTCGAAATAACCAAGTTATAATAATCTTCAAAGATAGATCAAATGTGTATGAGGTAGATTAATTACTAATTGATAAGGATTTATCCTTAACATTTAAATAAAAGGATTCTCTTTCAATAATGCAATTGAATTCCATTTTTATCTTAAGATCTTAAAAATAATAAAAAATAAAAAGAAATGTAATTAAATAAATTCATTTTAATTAATAGTATTTTTAATTGCTTACTAATTATTAATAATTTATGTACAAAAGTTGATAGATTACATATGAAATTGTAAGTTCTAAGTATTATATATTTCATAATTGTTATTAGTTTTTTGAAGTAGGATAATTTTAAAAGAATTTAGTTGTATAAAATTAAATTTACAATAATAAGTTCATTAAAAAAAATAAAACTTTCCATCATAGAAATTTTATTTATAAATTATATAATTATATAAAATAATTGGATGTAGCCAGAGTATTTAAAAACTTTAGAATATTGTTAATAAAAGTATTAGACAATTCTACCTAATCAGGATGTAAAGTTGGTATATTTCTTTATTAAACTAGATGTGCAAAATCATCAAATTATATAAATTTTTACTTAATATGAAATCTTAGTATAATTGCTGATTTAAAATGCTTTGTTTTGTAAGTCTGAAACTTTTAGATAAAAAACAATATAGATGTTAGAATAACTTGAAAAGCAAGATCATGCATAATTATATAGTATTGACTTTTCACAATTTAATGAAAATCCTTTCACAATAGAAGTCTCTCCATTATAAAGTTCTTTTTAATTATCTCTTTTAAAATAGTTTAAAACCATCTTAGAAAATATTAATAAGAATTTCGATGATAAAATACTTATTCTTAAGAAATACATTCCTATTATTTCAAGTAGTTATCTCTCATAATAATACCAAATTAATAAGGTTATGTGTAAATTCTGATTTGTGGATGAAGATTTATTATATTAAGGTTTATAAAAGCATGAAAGTAAGAAATTGGAGGCAATTTAAAAAGAATTTTTGGGAAAAAAAAATTAAATAAATAAAAAATAAGTACAAAAACTCAATTTGTAGTAATGCTTAAATAAATTAAATTAAAAAATGGAAATTTATTTAATATGAATATCTAAATCAAAAAGAAATATCATAATTTATCAAAAGAATTAAATGGTTCGGATAAGATAAATATCAACTCATTCATAAATTCTTTATAATATCAAGAAGTTCAGATTTTTTAAATAAGTAATAAAATCTTATCATTATTTAGTGAATTAAATAAAGCTGAATAATTGTTAAAAAAAATGAAAAAATCACAATATTTCAGAATCATATCCTAGCCATTATGAGTAAATATGGAATGCAGAAAATATAATTAAAAGTAAATTATTGAATAATTATTAAGCAAATTTAAAAAGAAGAAGAATTACCAACATTTATTAAATATTTTAATTTATCATGTGAGTATTCTAATAGTTGTTATAAATCAAATGTAGAATTTAGTAGATTAGGAGGATATAATTAATTTTATAACTAATTATAATAAGCAAACTAAATTTAATAATAATAACAATAGAAAGTTTAGACTCCCTTTGAAGTTTGAAAAAATTCAATTAGTTCTTTGCCTGAATTAAAAGGCTGAATATAAATTATAGAATCTAATTTATTTCTGAAAATCAAAGTAATTGATATTAGATATTTTCAACTTAATATTGGAAATTATTTTTATAATTTAACTAGTATTACTTTATTTCATAGTTTTTTATAAACTAACAAAAATATTAAAAATGCTTATCACAAACTAATTTAAGGAATTACTTGCCAAATTTTTAAACATCATTGTGATTCTTTTTACTTTAATTAATTATACTTAATCTAACAATTATTTAATATTTATTCATATGGACTGAATTTATTGTATAAATTAAATAAATCTCAATATTTTAATATGATAAGAGATTTAAATAATCTTTATATCGAATTAGTATTGATTGTTGATTTAAACAATTTAAAAAATTCTAGATAATCATATAAACCTTAATTTTTGTAGCATTTTATTTATAAAATCATCATAAATTATTTAAAGCCACTGGATTTTATAGTGGAAGGTTAAAATATCATAGAACTTATGTTAGAAAAGTAAGTAATTAAAATAATGATTTGAATTCTCCATGAATAAACCATGCAGAAATTGAAAAAATGAGGTATTTTAAATAGAATTTTGAATTTCTAATGCAATTATCTTATAAATTTAATTTTGTATTTAATTGATGTTTACTTAACAAGGCTATTTTAATTCGAAGTTAGACAGATAATATAATCTAGAACAAATAAGCTAATTAATGAAATTATTATTAAATTAAAGTGCCAGAGGAATTAATTAGAATTTATAATTGAAAATTATTATAAAGAAAAAATAACCTTAAAAATTTTGGACTTTGATTTTTTTAATTTTTATTAAATAATAAAAAATGAGTGATTAAACAAATTTGATTACATACATTGTAAAATTAGAGGCTTCTTATGCAAAATTAAAATAAAAGATGACAAGAGAGAAGAATATGTTCAAGAGTGTAATTTAAAAGTAAATATTTTATTAATTGAGTTTATCTTAAAATTTAGGTGTCAAATATAATGAATCCTATTTTGATTCCTTGGTTATTTAAGATTAGGATCCTCTTACTAATTGGAATGTTTTACTCAATAAATAAGATAATGTTATAAAAATAAAGAAAGAAATAGCAAAAAAAGAAACAGTGTAAATTAAATAAAAGAGAAAAAAAAGAACTAAAGAAGAAATGCATTAATAAATACAATTGTAATGAATAATGGATTATTTTAAATATAAATATGTATACTCAATTCTTATCATTCTTTATTAATTTACAGAAATAATTAATAATAGATGGAGCAATCAAATTATTTATAAAACTTCCATTATATTTAATGATAAGGTAATTAATTTTTAGATTTAAATACTAAATTAAATATATGAGTAAATTCAATAAATGCTTCTAATAAAATAAATCATAATTTTCTGTATTTTTCTTAAATAGATATACATTAATTATTTTTAAAAGTGATATATGCTCTAATTTTTGATATTAATATAAATTAAATTAGATTTAGATATTTAAAAGGAAGCAATACTATTAAACTCATTTGATATTATTAGGAAAATAAAATATGATTTATAAAAATAGTTCTATTTAGGAATGTCATACTTATTGTATTTTATTTTTTTATTTTTTTATAATTTTGCATTTATTATATAATTCAACCTTTTGTTAATGTTGACTAAAATTTTTGAAGATGTAATAATTATATAACATTATATAATTTGTATCAAAAGCAAATAAAACTTTAATTATACTCTATTACTAGATACTTCTTAAAATATTAGATCTTTTAATTTTTGTTGTGGATATCTTAAATGTAAATCATTTATTTTTAATTTAAAAATAACTCTTATTTCTTAGAATCTTTGATAATGTATTTCTATAAAGTATCTTATAATTAGTATTTTTATTGAAATGAATTTTAATTTTAAATAATACTTATAATCTTATAAATATTGGTTTCATTAAATTTTTTTATGAGCAAATTTTAGCATTTTATTAAAAATAACTATTTTATATTAAATTAATTACCAACATTTTTTTGTTTTATTATAAAAGAACGTTGTTTTTTTTAAATCATTTTTTAATATTACTAAATCCTCTTAGATTCATTAAGGATTATAAATCATACAGCAATAATTTAATTATATGAACTTTTATAAAAAAACTTTAACTAACTTTGCTTATTATTCAAAAAAAAAGCTCTAAAATAAAAAAACATTTCAATATCAGTTTAAAAATAATTATGAACAATTAATTGAACTTCATTATTAATTATTTTATAAATATGATGATATAAGATGAAATGAAAAATGAATTTTTAATTCTTAGTCCTTCTCAAAGTTATGATGGAAGTATAATGTAAACAAATTTCTAAAAGCTTAGACTAAACAACAATTAAAAAGAGAATTCTTTTTAAGTTGGTAAAAGGATAAATATGTCTCATCCCAGACAACCTTCTTATGAAGTAGAAGAAGATAAAACACCTGCTTTTGAGATGTTTGATTTGAAAGCCAATAAGCAAACTAAAGGAATTACATGGTAGTTTAGAAATCAAAGAGAATAAATTAGTGCAAAAATCAATAATACAGAAGTGAATACATTTCAATAAAATTAAAAAAAGGTACTTGCATTTATTAATAAATTAAAATAACACCTTGCACTTAGAAATAAACAATACAAAATTATTAATTCTATGCTTTTTTCACCTCTCAATATTGGAAAAAGAGTATATAAAAATTCTCTATAACCTTTATTAAATATTATATGGGATTCAATTATTTTTTTTTTTTGCATTTTACTGTTGATCGTTTCTCCTATAGAATACATATTTTAAGCTAATGGTTATGGAAATTATTTATATGCTACATTGATTATTCTAACCATTTTAGATTAGATTTATAAATATATAACATAAATATGTTAGGAGGAATATTTATAATAGAGTAAATAATTTCTCGAATATATTTTTAAGTCATCAAAAATTTTGATGGATACATCTACCATTGTTTTACTTACAGTACTAATTCTTTCAGATAATGAACTCATAAAAACTATTTGTTTACTATTAATTGAACTTATAATTTATAAAAAGATAATTCTAGCTTTTAATAAGAGATTATTTTATGACTTAAGTGATTTAACTATTTAGATTATTTAAATTTTATTGACCTGCCATTATTTTACTTGTATAAATTTAAGATAAGAATATATAATAAATTAAGAAGTTAAAGAAGATTAAGAAATGTTTGAAGAGTACTTAGTAATATATATAAATTATATTCTTTAATTTGGAAATTTAAAATTTAATGTTGAAATTGATTTAATATAAAATCGGATTTTCAATATTTGTACTACATTTATCCTTCTCTTTTATAAGATTTTAATTTTAAAGTTAATTATTTTAGATTCTCTTGATTTTTATTAAGAATTTAAAAAAATAAAAGATTTGAAATTGCTTTAAAGATTCTTGTACAAATAAAATATTTCTTCAACTTTGAAGTTATAAATTTCTTAAAAGTTAGATGAAATATGTTTAAAGGATAAAAAAATATAAAATATTGAAAATTATTTTGAATAATGTTTAGAAAAAGAATAAATATATTAAGAATTTAAAGAACAACAATTAATAAATTTTGTAAAATAATTTTCAATATTTTCAAAATTTTCAAAAGCATCTTTATAATAGATAGCTTAAAATCTTACACCAATTATTCTTAATGTAAATGATAAATTAATATGTAATCAATATGGTGATTAATATAATATTTATCTTCTAAATTAAGGTAAAGTAGCATATGGTTTAACAGAATCAATACCAGAATATACAAAAATTTTTAGTGGCCAATGTTTTGGTTAATATTCGTTTTTTACTGGCTAAGAGAACAAAAATTTAATAACTGGTTTAGATTATTGTCTTCTATATAAATTAAGTAGAGAAAAATTTCTAAAAATTATATCTTCAAATGTTTAAGATTTGGTATAATTTTTATTAATCATAGGAAATTGCCACATTCATTAAAGATTAAATTCTATTTAATAACAACTATTAAATGATAGATTCAGTTTGTTTATATTGTTAAGAGAAGACACATTTAATTGTTAATTGTCCAAAAATACATTTAATAAAAAACAATATTGATTTTTATGATAAATATCTTTATTCTGCAAATTAAACTAGAAGTTCATGTAAAATATAAGTAATATTTCCATAGATAATAAAAGAAGAAAAAGAAATCAAGTTAATTTTGGAAATCATTTTAAATAATTAAATGAAATACATTCAAATCAAGTTTCAAATGAAGAAATTTCATCTGAATTTAATTAGTTATAATCCAGTATTTTAGAATCAAATCAAGAAAAAAATGAGTAAAAATATCCAGGAGAATCATAAAATAATTTATTAAATGATCTTAATAATGAAATAATGAAACAGAGTGATTAAAGGGATTAGTAGTAATAAGAATGTTTTTCACAAAGCTCATCTTAAAAACAATAATAAAAACTCTAATCTAAAAATATTTTTGATTTGAAAATTTCGAATATATTGAATAGAGTTCATTCTTTTAAACTATTACCTTCACTCTAAGGCAACCCAAGTCCAATTGTGAAATTATAAACTCCTAGTTTACCTACTGTTACAGAATTCTTAAATTTAGTTAGCGAGGTATTTTATCTTTGAAAATATCAAAGAATCCTTGTATGGAGGATATCTATAAAGTTAATTTAGATAGAATGTAAGATTTTGATACCTATTATCCAGAATTTAATATTAGTATGGTACTTTTTAGGTATATATATATATAATATTAAATAAAAGAATGAAAAGAAATTAAAGAAGAAGTTAAGAATAAAAAAGTAAATTCACGATTAATTAAAGTGCAGCCATAACAATAGGTAAAATAATATAAAGAAGTGATAAACTTGTCAAAATATGAGAATCAACATAAATATATCAAAATAAACTATTAATTAAATTTATTAAAAAGTATTTTAGTATTGTGTAATAACAGAATCATTTTCAAGAATGTGATTAAATTTTTAAATGAATTTTTTATAGTCTCTCTTTTTTGTTTTTAAATTAATGATAAGTTTTTGAAATCCCTAAAATGATTAAAATAGCAAAACATTTTCTTATAAACCTATTATAGATAACTAAAGAAAGATTAATGTTTATTCAATAAACTCATGATTTTTTCTTAATTTAATGAATATTACAAATAATATATTTTATTTGACTAAAATAGTTATATTATAAGTTATTCTATAATTTTTTTCAATTTAGCTTAATTAAATAATTGTAATTTTTTGATCTTTTATATCATTAGAAGGAATGTAAACGATAATGAACATATGTAACCCAATATTAGCAACATAATTAATTAAAAATTGTCATATAATTGCATATGATAATAAAATTTTATCAAAAAAATTTAGAGAAAAAACCATCAATTGTTGTTCCATACTTAAAAAAAGTTTATAAATATTGAAATAAGAATTTATTCATCAATACAATATATTGAACTATAATTATACTGAATTATTTATGGCTACATTTAAACTATAATTATTATATTTTGTAAATTTCATTAAATTTTTAGTTACAATCATATTAAAATAAACAAAATTTAGAAAATCAATCTTTATCATCTTATTTGAATTGACAACTGGATCTTCCTCTTATTGGAATTTCATCTTCAACTTCTTCTTCTTCATATATTATTGGTTTTATTCCAAAACTGTTTCTATGTTAATTTGCTCTTACTGGAATTTCATCTTCCACTTCCTCATCATTTATAATTGGTTTTATTCCAAAACTATTTCTAGGTTAAAAGATTTAATCGGTCTCATTATTATCTTCTTCTTCTGTTTGAATTTGTTCTTTATCCTCTTATTTTTACATTTCTTCTTCCTAAATTCTTTTTGCCCACTATGTTCTTCTTTCTGATACCTTTTCTAAAATATTTATAGATTATCTTTCTCTAGTATTATAAGGATCTTCATTCAATAAATATTTTGCTTCTAATATATTTATATCTTAAGCTTAATCAAAGTTTAATTAAAAATATTTGACAATTCTAGTAAATACCCATCTATATCCTCTTGGCAATTAAGTTTTTAAACCAAATTAAAATTTTTCAAAATTTACATTATTTTTTATGAAATCAGTTATTATTGATTGAAACTAAAATTTTATTTGAAAAATAATACATATTATTTATGAGGTGTTTCCACTTAAGACATTTATTCATACATTTTTATAGCTATATTTTATAAATTATTATTCCATTCATATTTTATTAACAATTCAAGTAATATATTCTAAAATTTAATTGTCTCTGGTCTATTTATAGTCTATGTTAGTATATGTATGATTTTTAAATCAATTTCTGTTAATCCTTATGGTTTATGTAAGAAATTCATGGTAGATTTACAAAAGTCAAAATTTCTATAGAGTAATGATTCCAAATAAATAATTTAGTTATGAAGCCATTCTAAATTTAGCATATTCCATCCCATTAATAATTCAATTGTACATAATTAATGAAATGTAGGAGGAGATTGATTACAAATAACTCCAAAAATTTCTTAGTGTTGATTCACATATTATTAAAATAAGTCTTAGTATTTAATTATTATTCTAAATACATTCTCATTAATATTGGTTTAATTTAAAAGCATTCCTAACAGATTTTGTTTAAAATTTTCATCTAAATTATTGGATGCCAATATTGTAGAGAATATATTTTGAATGGACTCTTAATCAATATATTTAATCCATGAAGAAATCTCTAAAAAGGGTTTGATTTCATTTGATTTTAATAAAATTAGAGGTCTAATCATTTTTTCAAAGTAGCCACATGAAGTGTCATTTTATGGATAATTGAAGAATGTCAGCAAATATTAAATTGGTTCTCTATCCCATTCAAACATCATTGACAGTAGTTGTTCATAGCTTCCAAACATTAATTCACTAACAATGAAAGGATATCTAATTAAGGGATTTAAACATACTTTGGATGTAAGTCACTAGGTGTTTCAATAACTAATTTCAAAAAATCCAACATATTATTTTTATTTGAATTGAGGCTTGAATAGCATGCGATATTTACAATTCAAAGATCTCCTTTTCTTTTTCATCATAATTATCTAAAAGTTCGAATAATGAATTCATTTTGATACTTTTATAATTACTTAATAATATTTTATAGAATTCATAATAAGAAGTTTATATAACAATTTAAACAAAGAAGAAGAAAGTAGCATTAATTTAAAATAAAAAATGATAACCATTTTAAATAAAGTTTTGTTTTTTCATTTATTTAGATTTTGATAAAAAATATATTGATAATTTCAAGATAAATGATTGATCAGAATATTATATATAAGTAACTAGTATACTTAATATTTTTTTCAACAATTATTAAGTTATTAAGTTAATTAGATGTATTGTAAAAATATTGAGAATAATTATATTTATAAAGAATATTAAGAACTTGAATTAAGATTATATTATATTTTTGTTAATTATAATAATAGTTTTATTATATAAAAATGTATAATTCATTTAGAATAGAAAAAATGAAAATATAAAATATTTTAGAATATTAATACTAATACAAATATTCAAAGGTTTTATATATTATTTTTAATGATAAAAATGAATTATTTTATTAGTTAATAAGAATTGCTTGAATTATTGATAATTTATAATATTAACGTATATAAAATATGTCTGTTATTTTTGATTAGTTGGATGTATGCAATTTATTATAACTCTAGAATATCTAAACACTTAGATTTAAATTTACTTAGGCCATAAAGTTGGGTGTTTAGCTTTATTTTATTGATAATCACAACTTAAAAAGACTTGTAGTTAGTGATAATTAGATCACATAATTTACTGAATAGGAAGCAATAAATGTTCTATAAGGAGTTCAGCAAATTTGTTCTGATGGAAAAGTAATATTTTGTTTAATGAGTACAAATTATTATATTATTTAAAGGTAATGGAGATCTTTTTTAGATTGATTAATAACCAAAGCAATTAGTTTAAGGCAAAAATTATATGAGTATTACTCCAACAACTGCAATAGATCATTCTGGAAGAGGGTTTTGGTGGAAAAGTAATAAGACAATTTATAGTCATTGTAAACATATAAGTACTTACAAAGAAAAATTAACTTTAATAACAAGTACATAAATAATATGTATATTTATTAGTTGGTGGAAAAATATTTAATATTGAAAATGATATTTAAATACCAATTCAATAACTTAATGGATTAGGAATTAATGGATATTTTAAGAAATCCTTATTATTTTAATTTGGTGGTATAGCAATTACAGAAAATGGTGATGCTTATTGTTATACTAATAAAATGATAAAATTAAAGATTAATAATTTGGAAGATATAAGTGCTAATAATAAATTTATATTTGCTATTTAAGGGAAATATTTATTATAATGGAATTTAGAAGATTTTTAATCTCATTAATTTTATGTGAATTAGACATTATTCAAAAAGATGAATTATGGTAATGAAATTACAATTAATNTATTTATAAAGAATATTAAGAACTTGAATTAAGATTATATTATATTTTTGTTAATTATAATAATAGTTTTATTATATAAAAATGTATAATTCATTTAGAATAGAAAAAATGAAAATATAAAATATTTTAGAATATTAATACTAATACAAATATTCAAAGGTTTTATATATTATTTTTAATGATAAAAATGAATTATTTTATTAGTTAATAAGAATTGCTTGAATTATTGATAATTTATAATATTAACGTATATAAAATATGTCTGTTATTTTTGATTAGTTGGATGTATGCAATTTATTATAACTCTAGAATATCTAAACACTTAGATTTAAATTTACTTAGGCCATAAAGTTGGGTGTTTAGCTTTATTTTATTGATAATCACAACTTAAAAAGACTTGTAGTTAGTGATAATTAGATCACATAATTTACTGAATAGGAAGCAATAAATGTTCTATAAGGAGTTCAGCAAATTTGTTCTGATGGAAAAGTAATATTTTGTTTAATGAGTACAAATTATTATATTATTTAAAGGTAATGGAGATCTTTTTTAGATTGATTAATAACCAAAGCAATTAGTTTAAGGCAAAAATTATATGAGTATTACTCCAACAACTGCAATAGATCATTCTGGAAGAGGGTTTTGGTGGAAAAGTAATAAGACAATTTATAGTCATTGTAAACATATAAGTACTTACAAAGAAAAATTAACTTTAATAACAAGTACATAAATAATATGTATATTTATTAGTTGGTGGAAAAATATTTAATATTGAAAATGATATTTAAATACCAATTCAATAACTTAATGGATTAGGAATTAATGGATATTTTAAGAAATCCTTATTATTTTAATTTGGTGGTATAGCAATTACAGAAAATGGTGATGCTTATTGTTATACTAATAAAATGATAAAATTAAAGATTAATAATTTGGAAGATATAAGTGCTAATAATAAATTTATATTTGCTATTTAAGGGAAATATTTATTATAATGGAATTTAGAAGATTTTTAATCTCATTAATTTTATGTGAATTAGACATTATTCAAAAAGATGAATTATGGTAATGAAATTACAATTAATTGTAAAAAAAAAGAATTTTAAGAAATTAAGTTTATATTTTCAGATATCTATTCATAATTTTGTTGTGCAACATTAAAAACAATATAGAAAGTTAATTAAAATGATTAATCAATATCAGTTTTAGAAAGAACATTTTGTAGAAGTAATGTTTCCACATTAAAATAATAATTATTTGATTCTTGGGATCCTCCAAATAAAAAAAGAAATTAAGATATTAGACAAAGTAAATAATTAAAAGGAGATAAAACTGAAAGATCTGATACTAGTAATAGATTAACTGATAGATATGATAGAAAAGATGATTTATCTTCAGAATCAAGATTTCGTTAATCTACAAATAATAATATTCTTGATACTTTTTTTGATAGATCAAATAAATAAGAAAACTCAGAAATTGAATATAGATCAGAAAAGAAATAAGAAACTAATTAATTTTTTATAGATACAACTTTTAATTTTAAAAGAAATACATAATCTAATTCTGATATTATAGTTCCACTTGAAATAACAAAATTACCATAAATTGAGAAATAAGTTACAATTTAAGAATAAGAATAAACAAATATAAATGATAATTATACAAACTTAGAATTGGAAGATATCTAAATTAAACCATCAAAATTGTTAGAATAATATAAAAATAAATTTGAATTATAAACAAAACCAAATAATGAAGAATATAAATAAGAAATATCTGATAATTATTGTTAAGTTGAAAAAGTATAAGATAATTTTGATAAGTAAACTTAAGATTTACCAATTTAATCTTAACATATAATAAGTTAAAAGTTGTAATCTATTAGAGAAACTTATGATTAACCAAGATTTAAAACTTAGAATAATAGTTTATATACATTGGATGAAGAGAGTTCATTTGAATAGAGTGTTTGTCAAGATGATGATGAAAAAGGTAGGTTTTAGTTAAAACGATAAGTATTTTTAATTAATGATATTTTTGAAACTAAAACAGAAATCAAAACTAATTCTAAAAAATTAGATTAATTGAAAACCAAATTATAATTATAAAAGGATATTGTATCTAATTCTTTGCCTTAAGATAATAATATTTAATTATAAAAAATTGTAGTATTAGATATTGATTTACCACCTGTTCAATCTAAACTAAATAATTTTATTAATTAACTTTATGTAAAACCAGAAAAATCATTAGATTAAGTATTGGAATCTTAAACACAAAAAGATGATTAAGAATCAGTATCATCACTTGTACCTTTTGAATCTTAAACTATAATTCCTGATTAATAATAAAAATAAATTAAATCATTTTTGAAGATAGATTAAATTTAAAATTCAAAATAAAAGAAAACTGTTGAAGTTATGGAATAACAATCAGTTATTGATTATTAAAATAACAGTGATTTTATTGATTAATAATAAGATAGCTTTATGTAAATTTTGTAGAGTGAAAAAAAATAGGATAACAATAAAATATAAAATATAATGTAGATATTTGATTAAATATCAGTTTAACCAAAGAAGAAAAGTCCTATTAGACATAATCTATTTAAAAAGTAAGAATAAGAAAACATATTAAAAATTGATATTATTCCTGAAAAGAATGAAAAAGTAGACTTGAACAATATCTTAACCGAATAATAAAATGAAAATAAAATAGTTAAAAAAGAAGATTCACCTTAAAAGTTAATTGTAAAAGAATAAAAACCTGTATTTACTATATAAGATAATCATTCTGATGAAGATAGAATTGTTTAAGTGAAGATAATAGAGATACCATAATAATCTAAAATCATAAAATCACCTTAAAAAGATAATGAAGAATAATTAACTTAATTATAACCAATATAAATGAATGATTCAAGAGTTTTAAAAAAGGTGAATTAATTGACTGAAGTTAAATAACCAGCATTTGATAACAAGTCGTCAATAAATTTTTCTGAATAAAAATAAGCTGTTTCTCGTATCAAAATATAACCAATTAATTGCAATGCTTTAAGACCAGAAAAGAATTTTACTCCTTTAAGAAGTAGAAGAGATAGTAGTGCAAGAGGTTCAAGTATTGATACAAATAGATTTAAACAATTATAAATTGAAACTTAAATTTAACCTTCTGAGATCCCTTATCAGAATCTTGATAACAGTAATGCTATTTATCATATTGATTAATCTATTTTGGAAGATCCAACTAAACGTACTCCAGTTGCTTAAGTATTAGATATTATTAACTTAAACTAAATGTCTAATTAAAAGAGCAAAGAACCTACATTAGTAAAAGTTTAAGCAACATCTTAAATTCCATAATCCTTAAGATCAACTAGTATTGAACCAAATATTAAAAAGACAGAGACATCTCCTATAAAATAATTAAAGATTCCAGTTAGACCATAAAATAATGATAAAATATCAAATATGAAAAGAAGATAATAAGATGTTATTTTAAGAAAATTGTTTTTCAGAATTGATATTCATGTTAAATTAGCAAAGTTAGAATTTATGTTTAACTTAAAGTAAAAGGCAGGAAAATGATTTAAAACTACTATTATATATTTATTATTAATTTTAAATATTACTTATAATATAATAAATGTTACATTCATGTTAATTTAATTTAAAAATAAATAAATATTAATTATTTTGTATTTGTTTGAGGGTTGTTGACTAATAAATCAAATAGTTCCTGTTCTAATTCTTTTAAAAAGAGAACTTTATGTATTAAGATAAAAAATTTGATTTTTTAAAGCACATTTTGTCTTTCTTACTTATTTTAATCATTATCAAAAATTAAAATTTATTACCAATCAATACCATATTATTCTGTATCTTTTATGATTTCTTATCTTAAGTTTGTTAAATATTTCTAAATCGCTTCAGATAATATATTTAGAAATTATTGAGTTTATTATAGATTTATTAATTCAGGTTCCCAATTTTCTTAAATAATATTTAATTTTTTAAGTTTAGCATAATTTGCCCTAAAGAATAAAATAGTCAATTACATTACAACTTAATGTTGATATGTTAGAATTTAATGGGTAGTAGTGATATCATAAATCTTATTTTTATTTTAATCCTCGTATTCCTATTATTTTTAATATAGTAATTTGTGAATTAGGAAACATGGAAATAGACACTAAATATTTATTTTTACTTTACCATTAAAACTTATCTATGATAAACACTATAACTAAATTCTTAAGTGTATGTTAAAAATGATATTTGAGATACTAGATTAATATAAGTAGGTTCTTAATCAATTTTTTAAATATTAGACTATATATAATTATTACATATCTGTTATTCATAAAAAATAATGCTTTAGACTGGATCTATTATATTTTCATCATCAATAGTTGATAAACCAAAAATTTCTTAATATGATTTTTAGAATACTTGAATAACTATTTGTAAATAACTTAGATTTAAAAAGATCAGGCCAATCTAATCTTTGAGCTGGATCTTTTTTCAACATTTTTGTTAATAAATCTTCCAAATATTTTTCTACTACTCTTCCATTTTTCTAAAAAGAAGGTGGATCTAAAGAATTCTATAAATAAATACTGTTATTTGTAACATCTATTATAAAATCCTTCTCATTCTTCTCACTAAATGGATAATCAAAAAATAATAATTAGTATAGAATGACTCCAATCGAAAACATATCTGATTTTAAACCATAGGGTTGATTATCGATAATTTCTGGTGCTTAAGTACCAAGAGAACCTAAATTTAAATTAATGCTGCTTGTCTTAACTTTAAATCATAGATAGTTTACATCTAAATTTAAGAAATGACAGAAACCGAAATCTGCAATTTTTATTTAATTATTGTGTATCAAAATATTAGGTAATTTAAGATCTCTATGAATGATCCTTTTTTAATGAATTTCTTTCATTCCTTATAGAATTTATTTGAAAAATATGATTGCATTTTATTAATCAAATGTATTTTACATTTTATTCTAATAATCCATAAGATTTCCACCTAAAGAAAAGAATTGTATATTTACCATCACAAAATTCTAATAATATACAAAAAAGAGTTTAGCCTTCATAATCAAAATTAAAAGTTGTTATTAAATTAACAATATATTAATTATCCAGTTTTTATAATGCTTCTACTTCATTCATAATTAAACTTCCCACCCATCCTTTCGCTTCACTAAAACGGCTTTTAAATATACATTTAAGAGCATATACGTTTCCATTAGGATCAATAACTTTATAAACCTAGTTTGATATCGAAATTTTACTGCTCCAAATGACCCACTTCCTAAAAAGGCTTTTACTTAAAAATTTTCAATTACATCATCGATTTTTAAATTCGGAGTTTATGACATTTTATAGATACAAAAGAAATAATAATTTTTCCTAAAATAGACAAAAAACAATATATTGAATTTTCCCAATACTTATTCTATCTGGTTAGATATCATCTTATGTTTATAATTTTTCGATAAATCTAATGCCAATCTTTAATTTTAATGATCTCAATAAGAAAAATATAATTTTTTAGAATAGTTTGATGATTTGATTTGTTCTGAATGAAAGAGAGGTTTAATTTTTATTTTAAGAAATTAAATTGATATATAGGATTTTAAGTATTCAAATTATGTTAATGTATCAACCAAATGTAATTTAGCTTTTGAAAAGATCTCTGAAACTATTGGATCTTCGAACAGAATTCTTTTGTTAATTGAATTATTAAGGCTAACTAATTTTTCGAGGAGCTGCCACACAAGTTTAAGGGGCATTATCAAATGAGACTTATGATCGAAAATCTCTATAAGGAGAAATAACTTGTCTAAGATAAGTCCTAGGTTCTTAAATATCAATATGCAATATTTTCTATATTAATGAAATTAGATACTTTTCGGCAAAGGCTTTCATTTAATCCAATGCTTTCATTGTTTTTCTTTGAAGACTTAAACACAGATTATTTAATTGAAGGAGTCTGTTTGAGGATCTGAAATAATTTACTCGCATTGCTAGATTATGGATAATTAAATCGTTTAGAAGGTCGATTGATAGGTGATTATACATTTTCTTTTTATTCAATTCTTCTTTTTGATGTACCAAACAATTCTAACACAACGTTTCTCTTTTGATGACTCAATTCCCTAATAACAGACATTTTTTATATTTAATATCATTTTTAATCATTTACATTTCCCATTCAATAAATGAATAATCAATATTATCAACACTTTCTTATAATCAATCTTCAACAAATCTAAAATAATACTGTTCACAAAGGTCTGAAGATAAATTTAAAAATAAACTTCATATTTAGACTAATTCTTAACTAATGTGTAAAATACTTAATCTATATATATCGTTTCTATAATAAGTTCATATGAGGATAACAAAAATTGAATAAGTTAATAATACTAAATCAATTATTATTTTATGAATTATATAAATATTGACATAATCATTATACAATTAGATTATATGTAATCTATATAATAAGTAAGGATTATGTTACATCATTAATATTGATAATTTGAAGTGAAAGAATTTAGATATGACAAATTGAAATTGATGGATATATTGGAGCTATATAATTATAATATTTATATTATTATTGCCCTCCATCCTTTATTATTTATATTTCCACAATTTTATGAATATCTAATTAATCATTAATCATCTTCTCCTTATTTTTTAGGTCCTTGAATAACAATTAATAAAAGATCTTTATCAGGAGCAATTAGAATTTCATTTAATTTTGTTTTAATTCTTAAGAATGCCAAATCATTAGTGGGGTCTAAGTCTCTAACCAAGGATCTTGCTTTTTAAGCCAAAATAGGAATAGACTTAGCAATTGTATCACCTGAGATGATTATGGAAGTTACCCTCATCTTTTTTCTCATTTAAGTAAGTAGTTCTCGTGATAGCACCTTCACTATTTACAATCACAATTCCTTAGACTGATTTGTGATTTTTTATTCTGTTTATTGTGTCTTCTATGTCAACATCAGACATTTTGAATTAATAAATATTTATATATATTTTTAATGAAATACTCATGGATTGGTTAAATTGGCAATGGCTGCTGCAACTCTTGCAATTGGAACTCTGAATGGTGAGCAACTGACATAGTCTAATCCAACAATATGGAAGAATTCAACTGATGATGGTTCTCCTCCATGTTCACCACAAATACCAACTTTCAAATTTGGATTTGTTGATTTTCCATTCTTAACAGCTAATTCAACCATCTTTCCTACTCCTTATCTATCCAAAACTTAGAATGGATCAACTTTCAAGATTCCATTGGTAATGTAATATGGTAAGAATTTACCAGCATCATCTCTTGAAAATCCAAGTGTCATCTAAGTCAAATCATTTGTACCAAATGAAAAGAATTCAGCAATTTGACCAATTTAATCAGCAACTAAACAAGCTCTTGGTACTTCAATCATAGTTCCTACTAAATAATGAATAGTGTCATTTCTCTCTTTGAATACAGCATCAGCTGTTTTTCTAACAACTTTCAATTAATGTTCTAATTCATTAAAATTACCAACTAATGGAACCATAATTTCTGGTTTAACATCTAATCCTTTGGCTTTGATGTTAAGAGCTGCTTCAATAATAGCTCTTGTTTACATTTCTGTAATTTCTGGATAAGTAATTCCTAATCTGCATCCTCTGTGTCCCAACATTGGGTTGAATTCTGCTAATTCATGTACTTTTTATTTAACTTAATCCAAAGTTAATCCCATTTCTTATGCTAATTCTTATTATTAAGCAGTTTCATGTGGAACAAATTCATGAAGGGGTGGGTCTAATAATCTGATAGTTACTCCATATCCATTCATAGCTTCAAAAATACCTTCAAAGTCTGTTCTTTAGAATGGTAATAATTTAGCCAATGCAGTTTATCTACCAGCTAAATCAGATGCTAAAATCATTTCTCTCATTGCTTTAATTCTTTCACCTTCAAAGAACATATGTTCAGTTCTTGTCAATCCAATACCTTTAGCACCGAATTTTCTAGCAATTTAAGCATCTTTTGGTGTATCTGCATTAGTTCTAACATACATTCTTGTATATTTTTCAGCCCAATCCATAATCAAACCAAAATCTCCACTGAGTTATGCTTCTTATGTTTATAATTTTCCTTCAAAGACATCTCCTGTTGATCCATTCAATGAAATCCAATCACCTTCAGCATAAATTTTTCCATTAACTTCAAGTGTTCTTTATTTATAATTGATATTTAATGATCCAGCACCACAAACACAACATTTACCCATTCCTCTTGCAACGACAGCAGCATGAGAAGTCATACCTCCTCTAGCTGTCAAAATACCTCTAGCAATGTTCATACCTTCCAAATCTTCTGGAGATGTTTCAATTCTTACTAAAATACTTTGAGCAAATTTCTTAGCTTCATCAGCAAAGAAAACAATTTATCCTGAAGCTGCACCTGGAGATGCGGGTAATCCTTTAGCAACAAATTTAGCTGTTTTCAAAGCTTCTGGAGTGAAAATTGGATGTAATAATTCATCTAATTTATTTGGTTCAATTCTCTTAAGAGCTGTCTTTTCATCAATCTTTCCTTCTCTAAATAAATCACAAGCAATTTAAACCATGGCAGCACCTGTTCTTTTACCATTTCTGCATTATAATAACCATAATTTTCCATTTTGAATAGTGAATTCAATATCTTACATATCTTTGAAGTGTTATTCTAATTTCTCTTAGACATTCTTCAATTCTTAGTAAGTTTCTGGTAATGATTCTTCTAATGATGGGAATTAGGCTTTTCTGACTTCTTCAGCAACTCCTTATAATTCAGCCCATCTTTTTGATCCAATCAAAGTGATTTATTATGGTGTTCTGATACCTGCAACGACATCTTCTCCTTAAGCATTAATCAAATATTCTCCATTGAAAATATTTTCTCCTGTAGATGCATCTCTAGTGAATCCAACTCCTGTTGCTGATGTATTTCCCATATTACCGAAAACCATAGCTTAGACATTAACTGCAGTTCCCCAATCTTCAGGAATCTTGTTAAGAATTCTATAATATTTAGCTCTGTCATTGTTCCAACTATCAAATACTGCTTAAATAGCTCTCCATAATTATTATTATGGTTCTTATGGGAAATCTTTTCCTGTTTTTGCTTTTACAGCTTCCTTGTACTTGGCAACGAGTGTCTTAAGATCATCAACATCAAGTTCGGTATCTTATTTAACTCCTTTAGCATGTTTGACACCTTCGATGATTTCTTCAAATGGATCGATGTCTTCTTTAGTTGTTGGCTTCATATCCAAAACAATGTCACTAAACATTTGAATGAATCTTCTGTAAGAATCCCATGCAAATCTTGGGTTATTTGTTCTCTTGCTCAATCCTTCTACTGAGACATCATTTAATCCCAAATTAAGAATGGTATCCATCATACCAGGCATAGAAACTCTAGCACCAGATCTAACAGAAACAAGTAAAGGATTTTCAGCTGAGCCAAATTCCATCTTGGTCAATTCTTCAACTTGATGAAGTGCTTTTTCAACATCAGCCTTGATGAGAGCGAAAGTGTTTTCTGCACCATTTTTAGTGTATAAATTGCAAGCTTCTGTTGTAATTGTGAAGCCTGGGGGTACAGGAATACCAATCAGATTCATTTCTGCTAATCCTGATCCTTTGCCTCCCAAAAGATTCTTCATAGCTGCACTGCCTTCAGCTTTGCCATCACCAAATGTATAAATATATTTGCTCATTTATTTATTTAATTCATGAGACGTGTATCCATTACCTTTTGTATGAAATTTTTATATACTAATTATTTCTACTTAATATCTTGTTATTGCGCACTATCATTTATTATTTTCTAGAAAATACTAATTATATATAAATCTCATTCATAAATAGTAAAAATTGGGAAAGGATTATATAAAGATGACACATCAATATTATCAATCTAGAAAATCATGCCCATGTTCTTAAGATAATCCAATAATGTAAAATAAAATAAACTAACGTATGAACAAGTTAGAGTAACACTAGAACAATAAAGTTATAATCAAATCAACTTTGGAGACCTGATAATTAAAAATATTACAGATTAAATTAAATTATATATAATCTTATCATAAAAATAAGGGATTCTTCATTATATCAAAAATATTCTATCTCCTTCTATATAAAGAATTGTAAATTAATTAAATTTTTTATATCAAATATGTTTGTTAATTAAAAAATATTTCTTGATTAATTCATCTTATTAATTTTTAAATACTTTTTTTCAATGAATAAGCCAAATATCTTATATTTATAAACTTTCTCAAAAATCAGATATCTATGATTGAAAAAATCTCACAATCACAAATAATGAATTTAAAGTGTAATAAACTTGTGAAATTAAAATTTTTGTACTTATAAATTATTATTTTATATATTGTATTATTATTTGTAATTGATCATTATTTCATAGCAAGACCGGCTTCTGGGATGAAGACTTCTAAGATACTCTTCAATTCAGCATCATCTTATTTGCTTAATTCACCAGTACTTAAGGAATTATTCTAATAAATACCTTCTAATTCTTTCTAACATAGCTGGGAAATTAGTTCTGAGATGAGTGAGGAATTTCTCTTCGAATTTTGCAATTTCTGAAGTTTATACTTTATCCAAAAATCCTCTGACACCAGCATAAATGACACAAACTTATTCTTCAGCACACATTGGGACCTATAATATGATTCCTATAAATAATTACGTATTATTTTTATTTGAGTAATTCAGTCAATTAAGCACCTCTATTTAATAATTATTAGGTAGCTGCATCCAAATCTGAACCAAATTGGGCAAATGCAGCAACTTCTCTGTATTAAGCCAATTCTAACTTAAGTCTACCAGCAACTGTTTTCATGGCTTTGATTTAAGCAGCTGATCCGACTCTTGACACTGACAAACCGACATTGATAGCTGGTCTAATACCCTTAAATTAAATTAGAATTCATTATATACCTTAAAGAACAATTCAGTTTCCAAGAAAATTTATCCATCAGTAATAGAAATAACGTTGGTTGGAATATAGGCTGAGACATCACCAGCTTATGTTTCAATGACTGGTAAGGCAGTCAAGGATCCATTTCCATTTTCAGCATTAAGTTTAGCTGCTCTTTCTAATAATCTGGAATGCAAATAAAAGACATCACCTGGATAGGCTTCTCTGCCTGGTGGTCTTCTCAATAATAATGACATTTATCTATAAGCAACGGCTTATTTAGAAAGATCATCATAAATAATAAGAGCATGCATTCCATTATCTCTGAAATATTCTCCAATAGCACAACCAGAATATGGTGCTAAATATTAAAGTGGAGCAGCTTCTGAGGCTGTGGCTGCAACCACAATTGTATATTTCATAGCACCAGCTTATGTAAGAATTTTGACTAAGTTAGCAACAGTTGATCTCTTTTAACCAATAGCAACGTAAATGCAATATAATTATTTATTCTTGTCACCAGAATCAAA